ACCATTTACCTGTGGAGAAGGCGCCTGTCCCTGAAAAGTCTGCTTCAGGATGGCTACATCGAGATTTTCCTGTATGTTGGGGGGGAGGGGCATGTGGGCAAGAGGCCATTATGGGTGGAGGTGGTTTACAATTCAAAAGTTCTCCCTGTTTCGTTTGCGGAGGAGAAAGGAAGCCCAGAATCAAGTGACGCTTTGGCTAATCTACACAGAATCCTTGATGGATCCATCATTTTATAGGGGGTAGCTCTGCTTTCCATACCGGCCTTGTTTTGTATAAGCTCACAAAAACATCCACAACAAAATTTCTCTCCCCCCCATTTCTCCCACCATAGCCTGCTGTCATGTACAATAATTTTGATTGATTCAGTTTGTATTGCAAGACATTTCAATATTTTCAGTATTTAACAATTTGCACTTTTTGAAAGAATACGAGTTGAGTCCTGCAGTACAGCCTTCCTTCCAAATCTGCACTTCTCTACAGAAGTGTGCATCCTAGGAGAATTTTATTATTTATTAATTAGTATTTTAAATAGTTGTTTTCAACCGTTTTTACTGATTATTTCATTGCTTCCTGCATTTCGTAAACCACTTTGAGTTTTTTATTTTTTGCAGTCAAGCATTAAATGTGGTTTGTTCTTGCTTCATCTCTCATGGTTTTTCCGGTGGGGGGTGCAAATCACAAGCCCAGCTTTGGACGTAGTGCATTCTCCAAGCCATGGCTTAGCTCTGGACCGAGGGAGGAGTGAAGAGGCTGCAATTTTCCCTTTTCTCACTCATTCATGCTTAGCTGGGGCATGTGGCTTAGCTTTTGTGTGTTAGCAGGCCAAGGAGACTCTTCTATGCCTTAAAGGTGCCTCCTCTGGCTTCCTTGTGGAATTCTGCAAGGTATATCGAACAGATTTTGCATGCCTTATTTGTAAAGGAAACCTCTAAGCAGGGATCATCTCTGCATCCCCCTCATTTTCTCACAGGCTGTTGCAGTCAGTGACCCTGCTGGTTTCAGCAGTGATGTACCTTGCAGGGATGGAAGATTACGTACCTTGGATGGTTTCCTCCCTCCTGCTCGGCTGGATAAACCTGCTGTATTACATGCGAGGATTTCAGCAGACCGGGATCTACATTGTCATGATACACAAGGTTGGTAGAACACCAATCCAATAAAAACTGCTAGCATATTTGCAAAGCAAAGTCTGGTTTTAATCCAGTCCTTCTCCTTCTCCTGAGTAGGAATCATGCCACCTCAGTTGTGAGGCTGGCGCTGCTCTTAGGCCCAAGTTCATCCACTTGAATTTCATGCCGGGGCAAAGATCTGAACCTGGGTCTCTTCCCATTCTTAATTTCTATACTCTTATCCACTACACCATGCTGTGGTCCCTTGATTCACTTATATCCTGCTCTGTGTTCCAGGCTATTCTGCGGGACGTCTTCCATTTCCTCATGGTCTATTTGATCTTCCTCTTTGGCTTTTCAACAGGTGAGTCTCTACTTGTCGCAGCAGGAAGTGCTGGAATGGGTGGCAGCAACCAGAATTCTACCTGTATTTTGGGACTGGATTCTGGTACAAACAGAGATGTTTTCAAGGTCTCTAAGGGCCTCTTGGTTTGAATATTCTGGTTTATCATTTCAGCCCTTGTCATACTTACCGGGGAGCCTCCCCAGCCAGTCCAGAATGGGTCTTCCCTCATGAACAGTGATGACAAAGACCAAGTCAAGTATGCCGGGCTCCTGCAAACTTCCCTGGAGCTGTTCAAGTTCACCATTGGGATGGGGGAGTTGGAGTTTCACGAGAACCTGAAGTTCAATTACTTTGTGATGCTCCTCCTTCTCTTCTATGTCATCATGACTTACATCCTCCTCCTGAACATGCTGATTGCCCTGATGAGCGAGACGGTCACCAAACTCTCTGGACACAGTGAAGGCGTTTGGAAGCTGCAGGCAAGTCCATTGCTCATTGCTTTGGGAAAATAAAGCTATTGTGTGCAGCATACAATGGCTGAAAATAAATAAATACATAAATTCCTGGCTCCTCACTCTCCAACCCTTGATCCCACTCTGACAGCTGTCTGTTAGCTCAGCCCTGACGAAGGATTCACACATAAGGAACAAGATCAGATTAAAAGCCCATTTAAGTTCAGCATCCTGTTCCAAAGTGGCCAACAAAGTCTACAAGCAGAACAGCAGTTCAGGGTCTGGAAATCTCTGCTTCCTAAAACCCAAGAGAGCCACTGCTAGATGGACCAATGTCAAATAAGTGTATGGAGCAAAGAGACAGATCTCCCCTATGGATCTAAGATGGTGGGAAGGTAATTGTGAGATGTTCATTCTTCCTTTATTGCATCCACAGAGAGCGATTGCTATTATGGAGTTGGAGAAAAACTGGCTTTGGTATTGGCAGAAGCCCAAGAGATCTGGTTGCCAGCTGTCTATTGGCTCTGAAGAAGAGAAAGATAAGAGACATTTTTTCCGGTGAGTTTGGCCATGCCCCACACGGTTGCAAACCCATAGGGCACCTTATGGTTGGGCTAATGTTCAGTGCAGCACAATGGTGACTCTATTGTAGTTTTGTTACGTATTGACAGCGGCGTAGCGTGGGTTATCAGCACCCAGGGCAAGGCAAGTAATTTGCGCCCCCTAACCCGGGGCAAGGCAAGTAATTTGCGCCCCCTAACCCGGGGCAAGGCAAGTAATTTGCGCCCCCTAACCCGGGGCAAGGCAAGTACAGTAATTTACTCTCCCAAGCAGCAGCAGCGAGGCTTCTCTTTCCCCCGCGCTCTCCTGGAGCTGCCTCTTTTCTTTCCTTTTTTCCCTTTCTCCAAGGCTTTTCGCTTTCTCTCCTAAATTGATTCCTCCTCCACACCGCGGCGTTTCCTGGCTGCTCCCCCCCCTCTCTCCTCCTCGCTCTGCTTGCCTTTCCCTGCCCTGCCTGAGGGCGCCCTGAGGAGACTCCGCTCTCCTTTTTGACCAGGCGAGGTGGAAAAAAGGGGGGAAAGTCTCTTCCCGCCCCCTCGCCAGACTCCCTGCTCGGCTCGGCTCACTACCCAGGCGGCCAGTGGAGAGAGTCTTGAGCCGCTTAATTCCCAGCAAGGAATTAGCAGGCTCGCTCCACCTCCTCCTCCTCCCGACTTTGCTGCTGCTGCTGCTGCTGCGCGGCTTTTTTCCTCTACCAACGGCATGCTGTGCCTTGGAGAGGTTCCCGCTTCCTCGAGGGGGGCCGGCCAAACGCGCCCCCCAAAATGTTGCGCCCGGTGCGGCCGGCACCCCTGGCACCCCCCACGCTACGCCACTGCGTATTGATACAGCTCTGTCTATGTATGTCAAGAGTGGGGAACCCTTTTCAGCCTGGGGGGCCAGATTCCCATCCGGACAACCTTCTGGGGCCAGCAGTGGGTGGGGCCAGAGGCAAAGGTGGGTGGGGCAAGCAGAGTGAATGTCACCTTTGTATATAGTAGCCTAGTTCCTTCACACAGGTCTCCATATCCTCAATGCAGGCAAACAAGGAGGCATTACCAGAACTCAAGGACACGTTTCCAGGGTGTGAAAGAGGACTGGTGGTGTGGCCTGGAGAGGATGCCCAGGGCCACATAGAGAAGCCTGGATAACTGCATTTGGCCTCAGGCTCACCACTCCTGATGTAGATTTGTGAGGGGCGTCCGAACAGCTATCAGCACCCTTAGCAAGCTACATTTCCCAGGACTGCTTGGGGAAAGCCATGACCATTAAAAGTGGAATGATACTGATTTAAATATTTGGTGTGGATGTGACCATAACCCCAAGGAAAGCTCAAAGTGGTAAATAGCTAGGGCTGCCATACATCCGGAGTTTCCTAAACACTACTAGGATTTCAAAGGTGGAAGTGATGTCTTGTAAACCAAAAAATTGCAGGTTTTGGGTGTGTTTTTTTTACATTTTCATTATAAAAAGCTCAACAACGTTTGCGCAAAGCCATTAATACACAACGTTAGCCTAGTCATTATTATTATTTGTATTATTATTTATTAAATTTCTATGCTGCTCTTCATTTGAGGATCACAGGGCAGTTTGCAATATGAAATCCCCAAAATGCACAATATGGTAACAAACAAAAACAGTACTCCCCAATATAATCTTCAATGTCACAGAAAATTGCAAAATATCAAAAAACAAAAAAGACAGAACCAAGTTCATATCCAAGCTGTGCCAACAACCAATATCTTAAATTCATAAAAAATAGTTCTTCGACAGTGGAATTTGCTGCCAAGGAGTGTGGTGGAGTCTCCTTCTTTGGAGGTCTTTAAGCAGAGGCTTGACAACCATATGTCAGGAGTGCTCTGATGGTGTTTCCTGCTTGGCAGGGGGTTGGACTCGATGGCCCTTGTGGTCTCTTCCAACTCTATGATTCTATGATTCTATGACAATTTCTGAATGACAGTACTATTCTTACCAATTAACAATAGGGTAAACATATCAGAAGCATTTATGAGTCAGTATTGCAGAGCCACTGAAAATGTAATTAATCTGTATTGGGATATTTTTGAAGTTGTTTTTATTGTTTTCTCACTTGTTTGCCACCCTGAGCACTTTTGGGAGCAATGGCAGGATAAAAATTTAATCATCATCAAAACAAACAATTATGCCAAAAAAGCTACACAGCTAAGCAATATGTCGACTATATATTTGCTCCCAACTGAGTGATGGGATTCAGGCGGTTCATTGCTCATTTGTGTTTGTATGTGTTTTGTAGTGTGGAAGAGGTAGATTGGGATAACTGGAAGAAAGAATTGGGAACACTCAAGGAGGATCCTACAGACTCAGACCACAATGAGATGGTGTCAAAAGGTAAATAAAGAGCAAAACCCAACTCCAGACATGGGTAACCTATGATCGTCCTTGTGTTATTAAACTCCAGATCCCATCAGTCACAGCTAGTATGCCCTGTGGTCGGGGTGGTGGAAATTGTGGCCCAACAAAATTTGGATGGCCACAAATTCCCCATCCCTCTATTACTCAAAAGGTTTGCTTACCTTCCTGCCTTCAGAGCCATTAATGCACCATCAGGGAAACCTCTGTGGCACGAGAGGTCATTGGACAGCACCACAGGGCCATGCCAGCTGGTGGTGATGTTGCTATGTCAAATCAGGAAACTGGTCCTAGGGGAAAGTCTCATATCTGCCCATCTCAGCAGCTGAGTGAATTCATCTGGCAAAAAAAAAAAAAGAAAGAAAGAAAGAAAAGGGAAAAAAGGAAATTTTTTAGCCTCCCATATACATTCAATAGATGGCATACATTCAATAGATGACTAGGCCTCTGGACATGGTGGAAAGGTTTAAACTTTTTCACCCTCTCCAGCACTGTGTTTATTATTATTTTTTAAAAAATCTTTTTTTAGCCATTACTCTCCATATTTGTTAGAGCTTGAGGGGGTGTTTTCAGAGGACCACTTCAGTCCCCTGGGCTGATGTTCACTACCCCTGCCTTACACCAACCCTGTAAGGTGAAATGAACATTATTCCCACAAATGGGCCTGCAGCAAAATGTTGCAGCATACGCATAAAAACAGTGTTTCTGTTTATGGACAACAAATAATATTCTTGAAGTCATACCCACTCTCTCTACACTTACTAGAGTTTCTGCCCTTGAGAAATCTTTTTAGTAGACCCAGAAAAAAGAGATTTCAAAGTTCCTTGCTTGCAGCATCAAATGCTGCTGAATAGAAGTCAAATATACAAGGCAGATATATATATATAGAGAGAGAGAGAGAGAGAGAGAGAGAGATATTCAATCCCGTATTCCCTGATCATAGGAACCTGACTTTAGTCTGACTTGATATATCTGTCCATGTAACCCATCTATATTCTGACCAGCAGTGGCCCTCCAGGGTATAACAGAGAGAGAGGTCTTAACCACCACCTGTTCCCTGATCATTCTATCAGGAGATGTCAGGGATTGACATCTGCAGTATTTCCACTAAAAATGAAAGAAGGTTCTAGTCCTCATGGTTCTGAACAAAGAGTTGACATAGCAGCATACGGAACTGCCTTATAGTAAATCAGACCACTGTTTCATCTACATTATCTACTAAATGGGTAGCAGCACCTCTCCTGGCAACAGGCAAAGGGATGCCAGGCATTTTGCTGTTTTTTAAAAGTGTTTTATTATTATTATTATAATAAGAGAAAGAACACCATAAAATAACAACGAGGAAAATGCAATTCATGCTCTCTTTTACTGCCAACTCTTTGAGGCACCATCATTCCAGACAAAAGTATACATATTTTACACCGCAAGCATCAGTGGGCATGCAGTGACAGGCAGAAAGATTTCAGGAGATGATGCCAGGGTCTGAATTCTACATACGAAGCAGGTGTTCTGCCGCCCAGCTGTGGCCCCTCCTAACCATAGCTGTCAATGTTTCCCTTTTTTAAAGGGAAATTCCCTTATTCTGAATAGGATTCCTCGCAAGAAAAGGGAAAAGTTGACAGCTATGCTCCTAACCCATTTTCCTGGGCACAACAGCTTATCTGTTTGAGGACTTGCCTGTTCCTGCTGGACAGGCTTGATAGATGCTTCCCCCTTCTTCTGTTTCCTGTTCCAGGGAAGCGTCTATGGAGCTGGGTGTCACAGGGGATGACAAACATGGCGGCGTCAGACGCAGAGGAGGAGCAAATACCCTTGCGTGACAGAAGTCAGTGAGTGAGAGAAAGCCACAAGGAAGACACGGTGAATTATTTGGGCCACATTAACAGCGACGTTCCTTAAGCTGTGAAGTGCAAGAGCTTAGCTGGAGCAGCCTGGCCACCGCTAAGGCCGTGACTCAGACCCAAGTTCCATGTCATTTACAGATTTGTGCTGACAGTCTTGCCTTAGATGAAGGATTATTCAGTCTCCTGTCGAAGAGTCTCAGCCTAAGAACCGAGGAAGAGCCTGGCCGCAGGATCAGGCCCATCTAGTCCAGCATCTTCTTCTCACAGTGGCCAACCCTAAAGCAGGGCATGAGTGCAAAAACACTCTGCCCACCTGAGATTCCCAGCAACATTTATTCAGACGCATCCTGCTTCTGACAGTTTAGGGAAAACGTAGCCATTGATATCCTCCATGAATTTCCCTAATCCTTATTTAAATCCATCCAGGTTTGTGCCCATCACTACCTCTTGTGGGAGCAAATTGGCTGTTTTTTAGTCGACACCCTGCAAATGAAAATGGACTCCACACCTTCTCTTATCTCCTGGCCCCCATTTTTGTTTTCACTTCATTGTGTAACAACCTAATTCACACTTCCTGAAACAATCACGGGTTGAAGGACAGCTGTCCTATGAAATTTGCACTTCTCTGAATTTTCTGATGTTGAAGTATGTGAAATTGGGCAATACAGAAAGAAGCACCTTCGCGTCCTTGATCCTATTAAAGACTTCTTCAAAACAAAATTCCAAAGGGACTGTCTGGCAAATAAAGGAATGAAGAAAATTTGTTTTACATTTAAATTGTACACTTTATTTCGTACTGAACTGTCAAGCTGTAGGCAGAAAAAACACACACCAGACTAGCACCTGAGGTTGTATCTGCCCTCATGTTCAAACCACATCCAAGTTACATGTATTGTGCAGAAAACTAAACTCTACTGAGCGTATTTCAGGGGTTCCTTAAGTCAATGAATTGAAACCCAGGAGAAAAGAAATGCCACTAAACATTTTCAATAGCTAAGGGAAAATCCTCATGAAACTAGGAAATTAGGAAAAGCCCATTTTGTAGTTTCGTGCAGCAGGGTAATTCTAACCCATCCTCTAGAGGAGCCCTAAAACTCCTCATGAGGTATTTAAATGAATTTATTTTATTCTGAAGCTACAGTATTTAGAAAGACCAGCTGCCTTTGCAGATGCCTCCACATAGTGATTAATATTATTTCATAAAAACTATACACTGGTGTTGTTTTTTTAAAAAAACAACAACCTCAGAGGGTCTCCCTTCTTCTTGTAAACTGCTTTGAGGTTTTTTTTCTTATGATCAAGTGTATATAAATAAGTAAGCTACCCCTCATGGCGGGAAGCGAGGGAGAGATAGCCTTTTGAATCCTCATGGAAAACAATTCCCAAGGGAACGGGTGTTTATGCACTTATTCGACAGCAGCCCTCAAGAGGCTTTAACCTTGGAAACGTTCCCTTGGCCCTCCATGCTTGCAGGGAGAGAAAAGGCAGCTCTCTAAAGGGAACCATTCTGAGCCTGAGATTCTGGCAGTGCCATGAGGGCGAGGAAGGAAAATGGCGGGAAAACTCCTCAGCTAAAGGACCCTATGGGCGAGGGGCAGGATCCTGAGGGCTCGCTTTTGGAAGTCCCTGGACACAATCCACACTGCCTTTCCCAAGTGTCATGAGCGGCGTTCCTCAGCATTGCTCAGCCCACTCCCTGCTCTGAGGCATACGCCACAGCTGTTATACTTTTGCCTGTTGCTTCCGCCATCTCTGGCCAAGATGGCCGCCCAGGAGGGGTCTGGTCAAGCTCCCATGGCTCTGCCTTTGACAGTGCCCAGGGCTCTTAAGGCAGGGGCTTCACATTCACCGGCTCATAGTTCAGGGATGGGGTGTGTGTGTGAGGAATGCTGCTTTCTGTCAGTTACGCGGTTTTTCCTCTCATGGGTATGCTCCCCGCATTTCCAAAGAGGTAAAGGACTCCCGCCCTCACAAAGGACGTGTTGAATTTTTCAACTTTCAAATTCCAAAACTGCGAGGTGATAAAAAGTTGTAGCACGACTTGGGGGAATTCAGAATATATTTCGGTTAAATTAATATGATTGAGTAAAGTGTGTGCAAAATCATTACGAATGATCGCCAACTACTTGCTGCTATATTATAAATTATTGTTATTTGTATTATTTAGCATGACCTGACGTTAACAGGAGGTAAAATTAAAGTTCTTTGGCTTTCCAAAACCAGTTGATGTGCTTCTTCATGCAATGTAGACTTACCAAGTTGAATGTTGTCCAGTCGCGAAAAATAATAGCGGACTGGAATCTCTCACACCCCAAAACTAACTATCTATCTATCTATCTATCTATCTATCTATCTATCTATCTATCTATCTATCTAATTTTATTTATTTTCCATTTAATATTATACATTCACATCTTCATTATCCACTTACTGCTTTGGCTCTTTAGAGCCTATCGACTTCCTTCCCTCCCACCTCATAGCTTTCAAAATTAACCTTTATACCATTGCATTTTGTATGTTTTCCAATAACACATTACAAAACAGTTCAAAATTTAAATAAAAATAAAAAGACAGAAAATTTCTCATTAAAAGTCTTCAGACAACCCTGCTAGTTATGTTAATTGCTTACAATAATCTTTCAAATGTTGTATAAATTTACTCCAGTCCTTGATCATGCTGGTTTCGGATTTTTTTCTGTCAGCTTCACCAGTTCTGCAAAGTCCATCATCTTCATCTGCCACTCTTCTCTAGAAACATATTTTTTAAGACCCTCCCTCACTGAAGTAATTTGCAAAAATTGTTTCACCCCGTAAAATGACACACTCTCACAGTAAAGCATAGAAGGGGGAGCTCCTTTTTACGGAGCTCCATGAAAAGAAAGAGGTATACTCTCTGGGTGGTATAAAAGAAGGCAATCGCACAAATCTCCCTCATGCGGTGCTTCTGTGAGGGTCTCCTTCCTCTCTTGTCATTATGGAGCCAGCGAAGAGACACATGGCGCTGCTAGCACTTGGTCCTGAAGGGAAGATAGACCACTGCACGCTTCTGATGCTTCAACATCTAAACCTCTTTGAATAGGAGGACAAAATGGCGGTGGTTCAACCTTAACCAAGGTTGTTGCCTCCTGAAGCTTTTTCATCCTGGCAAAAACACAGAGGGTGTAAGTTAGCAGCTTCCTGAATCATATAGGATTGTAGAGTTGGAAGGGACCTGTTATGTACTGAAGTTCTCACCCTGGGCCAGCAGGGGCATACTGTACATCGTTTTCACTCAGGTCCACATATGCAAATAAGGAATTGAAAGTGACGTTCAGTGATTGGATAGTTACAGAAAGTTGTTACTGTTGCTTTGTAGTTGAGCTCTACATAAGCAGGTTGGCTGAACCCTTCAGCTCAGTTCTGTTCTGGCCTGAGAATAAACAAAAGCTGTTTGAAGAATCACTGTGCCGTCTGATATGTTCACCCACAACTTAACAGGACCCACGAGGGCCGTCTACTCCAACCCCCTGCAATGCAGGAATCTCAGCTAAGACAAGATGGCCGCCCAACCTCTGCTTAAAATACAGTGCTCCAAGGAAGGGGAGGCCACAACCTCCCGAGGGAGTCTGTTCCACTGTAGAACACCTCTTGCTGTCAGAAAGCGCTTCCTAATTTTTAGCCGGAATCTGCTTTCTTGCAACTTGAATCCATCGGTTAGGTCCTACCCTCCAGAGCAGGCATGTGTTGGATTTCAGAGCCTACGAAGAATGCCTTTCCCATGCCATGGAGTAATCCAAGAAATAAGATCACCCCCACATGTATGAGATTAGGTGGGACCTTTTAATTTAGAGGGGGCGATGCAGCAGGTATTTCTTGCTGATTATTATTATGATTCTTAGGAAAAGAGATGACTTGCTAAAAACGTGACATGAGATGGAAAATGGTGCAGGAATGGTGTGTGCGCTGCATGTGTTGGATTTCTGCCTGTCTTGCAGTCTATCCTCTGTTCTTCCGAAAGCTCCAGGGACAGTGGCATCAGAATAAGCATAGCTAGGGTCAAAGTTCTTGGCTTCTTGCCCCAGAGCAGCTGAAGGAGCCCAGCTGTTGGATCAAGTCGGTCCCCCATCTAGTCTTGCATTCTGTTCTCACAGTGGACCCCCAGATGCCCCCAATGGGAAGCCCCACAAGCAGGACCCAAAGGTAAGAGGAACTGATACTCAGAGAAGCTTCTGGCAGTGGAGGGAGGACATAGCCATCGTGGCATGAATATGCCTAACGCTTGTCCTAGAAATCAACAAATCAGCAGTTTCTACCCAAATGCGATTTTGGTTTTAAACGCAGTGTAAGGAGTCTCTATGGGAGTATATTATATTGCATTTAAAAATGGGGTATCAGAGTTTTTAGGGGGCTAACCAGATTGGGATAGCAGGCTTGTTGGTTTTTGAATGTCTTATGTAGATTTTTCAATTTCGTTGTTCTGTATGGGACAATGACAATAAAGATTATCGTACCGTATCTGTTAAGTTGTGGGCGAACATAGCAGACGACACAGCGATTCTTCAAACAGCTCTTCTTTATTCAGATGTCAGAACAGAACTAAACTAAACTGAGGGGCTCAGTCAGCCTGCTTATATAGTGCTCCAGAACAATTGTAACTGTTGCCATTTTCCAAAACTATCCAATCACTGAATGTCACTTTTCGATCCTTCATTTGCATACAAAACTATCCAATCACTGAACGTCACTTTTCGATCCTTCATTTGCATAACTATCTACAGTATCCCACTGCTGGCCCAGGGTGAGAACTTCAGTACATAACAGTATCGTAACAAGGTTTGGCTTCAGGATTAAGGGCCGATGTCCCGATCAACAAAAAAAGAGTGACGGTAACATGGGGTATCGTTTAAGTTCTTATTTATTTATTTCATAAAATTTATCAACCGCTTGATTGCAGGTAAAACCTCAAAGCGCTTTACAAAAAGAAGAAAAACTGCAAGATGTTTTTAGCAGGCCCCGGGGGGGGGGGAGGGGAAGTATGGTGAAGGTGCCTGCAAGACGTTATTAGGCAGGGAGTTCAAAAGTGTTGGTGCTGCTACACTAAAATATCAAATTCTTACTAATGAAGAACGGATATTATGTGGAACCTATAACAGTTCCAGTTCTACAGATCGCAGCAGTCATGAGGGAATATATGGAGTAAGGCAGTCTTGCAGGTAGACTGGGATAAGGGCGAGGGTGGCAGCTGCTTGGTTCATATCACGGGCGTAGCCAAGGGAGGGCAGGGGAAAGCTGTTCTCCCCCATCAAGTAAATAAATAAAAATACTTAACTGACCAGTCACATCACATATTGCTTGGTTGCGCCCCCCCCCAAATCCTGCCCCTCCCAACATAAATCCTGGCTACGCCCATGGTTCATATTCTGTATATTTGAGGAAGTAACTCGTTGTTTGTTGTGTGTCAACTACTGGATAAATATTTGCATTTTGGACAAATGTTCAGAGCACCTATGGAGCAGGTGGGTAATGTGACTCTCCTGTTACGCATATCGAAAAACAGAGGGATGACGCTGGCGTATGTTTCGAAAGGTCATATTGTGGGATCTGTAACTGCCTTGGACTCTGCTGGTCTCTGCGTGCTGTCCAGCACAAAATCCTGAATCTTAAGGCGCCTTCAGAAAGGTAAGATACCTTTGGAAATTTCTATTTTGCTTCCTTGAGGTGTGGATTGGGGAGCCTGGAAGGGTGAGTGAAGCCTCGTACGTGGCCCAAGAAATGAACTCAGATACAACATCAGGAAAAGGAAACAGAACGACCTCCCCATTTGGAGCTTCAGTCCGTTGGCAGAGGACCCCTTAAATATATTTTCCATCAACCATGGCTGTTCCTACTGCCAGTATCATGGTGCAAAGATGGCTTATGTCCATTATCTGGTTCATGAGTGGGGCTACATTGTTATTCCTCTAATTGAATTTCCATGCTGGTTATTATTATCCTCTCAGGAATAGCAGCTATTATGTTTGGAGAACTGTTCAGGTTAACCATTATTGTGCTTTATCTGCGGAAAACATGCTTATAAAACCGTCCCATCTAATGAATATGCTTCTTGCTTTATAAGTACAATTGCTCCTGCTGTATGAACTACAACCCAGCTCCCTTCTGGCAAGGTTAGGGGCAAAAGAGAACTTTCAGAGGCCCAAAGTGATTAGGGCATAACCACACCTCAGCTTGCTTTTAAGGGAAATTGGAAAATTAAACAACCTTATGGGGGGAAATGAAAATAGTACTGTGAAATAGTGGGAAACTATTTGTCAGTCAGGGAGAAGAGTTTCAGAGCCTGTGCAGAATGCTTTCCCCTTGCGCTGGAGTCATCAAAGCCACAAACCCAGCCCCATATGTCTGTGATTAGGGAATGATCTTCTAAATCAGAGGGGGTGAACCAAGAGATATTTTTCAGAATCATAGAAACATAGGATTGTAGAGTTGGGAGGGACCCTGAGGGTCACCTAGTTCAACCCCCTGCAATGCAGGAATCTCAACTAAAGCATCCGTGACAGAGGGTCACCCAACCTCTGCTTAAAAACCTGCAAGGAAGGAGAGTCCACCACCTCTCGTGGGAGTCTGTTCCACTGCCAAACAGCTCTTACTACCTGAAAGTTCTTCCCTATGTCTAGCCAGAATCTCTTTCTTGTAACTTGAATCCATTTGTTCGAGTCCTACTCTCTGGAGCAGCAGGAAACAAGCTTGCTCCATCTTCCATGTATCAACCCTTGAGATATTTGAAGATGGCTATCCTATCTCCATTCAGTCTCCTCTTTTCCAGGCTAAACATACCCAGCTCCTTCAATCATTCTTCACATGGCTTGGTTTCTAGACCCTTGATCTTGGTTGCCTTCTTGCTGTCCCCCCCCCCCTTAAAGTGAGTTTCAGATATAAAATTGGCCTAGAGGTGTTGCAATGGTGTCTGTGCATGCAGGCATGCATGCATGCGTGTGCTGAATGTGTTGGATTTCTGCCTGCCATCCAGTCCCTGTTCTTTCTAAAGCTCCAGGTACGGTGCAATAAGAATGAGAATAGACACAGTTAGGGACAATGCTCTTTGGGGCCTCTCAGGTTCCAGGGTTGAGCCCTGGAGGACTTGAAAGAACTTAGGAACATCAGAAGTGCCCGATGGCCAGTGGCTCATCTAGTCCAGCATCCTGGGGATGTCCATTCTCACAGGGGACAACCAGAGGCCCCCAATGGGAAGTGAAATATACTCAGAGTTGAGAGTGCATTTCATGCTCTTTATTCAGCTCATAGTGGTGAGGAGGAATGAAAGTCCCCCCAAAGTATCTGCTTTATATACATTATTTACACAATGGGCTACACGTGATTGGCTAATTCTGGAATTCTCCTGTAGACCAATCAGGTTGTGGATTCACTTCCATCTGGAGCCGGATTGGGTGGCTCCTGCAGACCAACCATACTGCTGCATTGTTCCAGGACCAATCAGACTGCTGCATTTTGGATCCTATTCAACTCAGTACATAACAGGAAGCCTCAAATCAAGACCTGAGTGTGACAGGAACCAATTCCTGGCAACTGGTATTTAGAGAGGCCTTTCACACTAGTAACCTTATCTTCCATGTATTTGCCTAAACCTTGCTATAGAAATCAATAAAGTTTGGCTTCAGGAGCAAGGATAATGAAATTTCCCTTCATCAACAATAAGAGTGAAAGAGACATGGAATAAGGGTTCATATTTGCTTCGTTCATATGCTGTATATTTGAGGAAGTGACTCATTGCTTCTTGTGTACCCACTCCGTATTTGCATTTTGGATGATGTTCAGACTCTCCTAATACACGTCTCATAAAATAAAGCGACGAAGCTGGCTTATGTTTCAATTATTATCTTGCGCTTTGATTTGGGCCTCAGCTCAGTATACCTGAAGGAGGGTCTCCACCCTCATCGCTCAGCCTGGAGATAGTCCTCTGAAGGTCTTCTGCTGGTTCCCTCACTACGAGAAGTGAAGTTGCAGGAAACCAGGCAGAGGGCCTTCTCAGTAGTGGCACCCGCCCTGTGGAACGCCCTCCCTTCAGATGTCAAGGAGATAAAGAACTACAAAGTTTTAGAATACATCTGTAGGCAGCCATGTATCGGGAAGTTTTTAATGTTTGATATTTTACTATGTTATATATATCCTGTAGATTAAATAACTCTTCTTGTGGTGATCTATTCTCTTGCCAGCACTTTCAATAGCGTGATGCATACCTTACCAATACTGGAGATAGATGATGGCACCTTGGACAATGTGGAGGCAAGGGAGAAGAAGGCAGTTGGGGGGAAAGGAGAGCCGCGGCCCATGGAAACCTCCTATGAGCTGGAACGTCTGCCATCTCCTAAGATTGGGCTTAAGATTCCTCCTCTGAGGTAAGGAGTTTCCTTCAGGGGTCAACCCATCTACTGCAGGGGAGGGGATCATCTGTGGCCCTCTGGAAGTTGGTGGACAACAACTTCCATCATGGGCATGTAGGCTGCTATCCATATTTGTTGATAAAGTGGTACCTCGGGTTAAGTACTTAATTCGTTCCGGAGGTCCGTTCTTAACCTGAAACTGTTCTTAACCTGAAGCACCACTTTAGCTAATGGGGCCTCCTGCTGCCGCCACACTGCCGAAGCACGATTTCTGTTCTCATCCTGAAGTAAAGTTCTTAACCTGAGGTACTATTTCTGGGTTAGCGGAGTCTGTAACCTGAAGCATATGTAACCCGAGGTACCACTGTACTCCCAAAGAGTTCTGAAAGGTAAATCCCCCAGAGCCATCTGGAAACACACTGGATCAATCAGTCTCCAAGGGCGGGCCATCCTAATAGATCTCCCACCTCTGCAGAGGGGGAAAGGTGCTGAAAGCCTAAATCTCCAGCCCTTCCTGGAGAAGCTTCCATGGATTGAACTTGGGACCTTCTGCTTGCAAGGATCTCTACCACTGAGGTATAGTCCTTCCTAGACTAGCTGGTTGGCATCCATCTGTCTCAGGAGACAATGGAAAAGTGTGCCTTTGGGGATGAGGTCAAACCTGCAAGGGATTCTCACGTTGTGGGCTTCATGTTGCCAGCCAGTCACACCTACGCCATAAAACGCTATGATACCAACTTAACATCCATCGATTCCCTGAATAAAAATATCCCAGGAACTATAGTTTGCTAAAGGTTCTGAGAGTTAGGAGACCTCTAATAGTGCTACAATTCCCAGAGAGCTTTAGCAGTCAGTTCCTCTCTTCCATGCGAACTCTGGAAATTGTGAGGGGAACTGGAGTCTCCTAATAACTCAACACACCCTTAACAAACAGTTCCCAGGATTCTTTGGGAGAAGGCATGACTGTTTAAACTGGTATGATGCTGCTTCAAATGTATGCTGCCGATTTGTTCATTCTGCTTTTCTTCCACAGTAAAGAGAAGACTTTTAACAAGGATCGCCTCTTTGGTGCTATCGTGCGGGGGAACCCTGAGGAGCTGGAAGGACTGGGGGACTATTTGCGAAGAAGTGGCAAATATCTTACCAACTCGGAGTACACAGGTGGGCATGAGCCTGAGAGCTGGGGCTATTAGTAGTAGTAGTATTAGTAGTAGAACTTCTCATTGATGTGAGAATAGGCAGGAATATTTCAGGCTTCACAGAAGTATTTACAAGATAGATGAGGGCCATCAGAGTGCAAGAGGACTGACAGTGGAGTTCGGAAGAGAAAAGAGTGAAAAAGTGATTTACTAATGGCATTATTTCTGAGGGTAAGTTGTGTGGTTTTTCACTAACTAGCTGCTTCACACCTGGCATTGTTTGGAAATTCTAAGGAATTAAAAGAACTTGTGGTTGAAAACAGGGCAGTTTTTGAAAGGCTCAGTCTGCCATATTGATTCAGTTGAGCAGACAAAAACCTGTTTCTAGATCTCCCAAATCATCATGCAATATATGATTACAATACCTTAAGAGGTGTCCAAATACACAGTTCAGTTTTGAAAGGTTCAATCCATCATCTTGATTCAAAACAGATCCCAGTTGTATCCAGACTTAGACAAAAACCTGCTGCTTGGTCTCAGGGGCCAACATGCAAAAGTTGGTTAAAATCAGCAGAGTTTTGAAATGCATATTCTACCATATTGATTCAAAATCGTCACCTGATTTTGGACCTTACATATTTTGTGGCCATTTATTTTGTAACTGCAAGTTTCCCTGTTTTACAACTGTTGCTTCAGACATACAATTTTTTTTTAAAAAAAACCTTAACATCCCAATTAATGTGAAATTTGTTGAAAAATATTTGGTACTTACAAATTAGTGTTGTTCATGGGAATGAATGTACATCATCTGACTGCAGGATGTGTTGGGTTCAATCATTATGTGACCCATCTACACAGATTTCATGACCCAGTTGAACAGGCTGAGAAACGCTGTAGTATATGATGCCGTAAGGACCCACAGCACAGCGGTACATTTACTTGTTTTGTGTTCAGAAGACCCTAGATTAAATTCCTGTGAATTTCCAGTGAAAAGGATCTGAGAGCAGGTGAGGAGCAAGGCTAGGAATTGCCAATAAGTTCAGTGCAGTTAACAAAGTGAGCCAACTTAATTCACAAATCCAAATTTGCTCTTCCCTGAATGTTTGAAATGCGGGTGGGGTGACTTATTTGGCCTCCTGGCATGAGACTTTCTTGATCTTTATGGACATATCTTGTGATTAAAATCTTTAATCTCTGAGCGAAGACAGCAGATAAATATTTTAATCTTGATTAGCAAGTGCTATTGGTCCACAGAATCTTAGATCTGCTGGGTCTTTGTTAGGTTTCAAAATAGCTGCAACTCAATATTGTTTTCAAGACTGAGAGATCCTCTTCTCCTCTAGACAACTTTTGAAAACAATCCTTAATTTGGAGATGAGCTCTTTTGTGAAGGCTTTCTAAAATTCACCTGGTAGTCCATCTAAAGCCTTACAGCAAGTCACACTTCTCTGAAGTCTCTCAGCCCCACTCACCTCACAGAGTGTTTGTTGTGAGGGAGGAAGGGAAAGGAGAATGTTAGCTGCTTTGAGACTCCTTAAAGGGAGTGAAAGGCGGGATATCAAATCCAAACTCTTCTTCTTCTTCTTCTTCTTAAAGCATTTGATAGACTTGAATGGCCCTTTATGCTGTCCTTGTTAGAAAAAAGAAATGCACTTCTCCAAACAAAGGATGGAAATCCCTTCTCTTCCAGATGGAGAAACAGGCAAGACCTGCTTGATGAAGGCCTTGCTGAATTTAAAAGATGGGGCAAACCCCACCATCCCTTTGCTGCTGAAGATAGACCAGGAGACCAAGAACCCAAGGCCTCTGATCAACGTAGCTTGTAAGGATAGCTTCTATAAAGGTAAGGACCTTGGCGTGGGGAGACAGCATTAAAAAAAGAACTCCTCCACTCAGGCGTAGGAGAACATGCTTGTTTTCTACGTTTGACTTCTTTAATGATTTTCTTTCATGCCATTTTTGTTCTGCTAGGCCACACAGCACTCCACATTGCCATTGAGGAGAGGAATCTAGATCTGATCAAGCTCCTGGTGGAGAACGGCGCTGATGTCCATGCCAAGGCCTGTGGAAAGTTCTTCCACCAGCAGGAGAGAGGGGCCTGCTTCTACTTTGGTAGGTTGATGCTGTGTGCCTAAAGTCCTGCTGTCACAGATTCTTGAAGTGGGTGCTCGTTCTTGTAACTTGTGCCAAAAGCAGCCATTCCTCTCCCAGCTTTGCTTCTGTTTATCTCCTTCCTCCTCCAGGTGAGCTTCCCCTCTCCTTAGCTGCTTGCACCAACCAGCCAGAAGTGATCAGGTATCTCCTGGATAACCCTCATCAGAAGGCCAACCTGGCAGAGCGGGATTCTCTCGGCAACACAGTCCTCCATGCCTTGGTGATGGTGGCTGATGATGTGGATGAGAAGAACAGGGAGCTGGTGATTGAGATGTACAACAAGATCCTGATGCACAGTGCTACGCTCAACCTGAGCCAGAAACTGGAGGAATTAACCAACAGGGAAGGCTTGAACCCTTTGACCCTGGCCGTCAAGACTGGAAAGATAGAGGTAAGCCAGTTGAGAGCTTATCATCAACTGCATTTCTGAGCTGAGGAACCTGTGACCTTCCAAGATGTTGTTGGACTCCAGCTCCCATCATTCTCCTGGCTGCTCTCACTGCTCATTCTCATTGGCTACTTGGAGATGGAAGTCCAACAATATCTGGAAGGTGGCATCTTCATGTCATGCTAGCAGAGATTCAGGCCACACAAGATAGGTCAGTGTTGTCAACCTCCAGGTAGGAGGCTGAGACTGAGAGGACAACTTGCAGAAGACTACTAAGAAGATTTGTATCAGGGGATACATGATTTCACAAGTCCGCCATTACAGTGCACAAGCTCAGATATCATGTCCTAGGGATGGCGAGACTCAGGCCTGAGAGCCAGTTTCAACCCTCCAGGCTTCTCTATCCAGCCATTGGGACTATTTTTAGACTTCACACCCTCCAAGCTACAGCTGTTTCTGGCACAGGTGTAGTGGTTCAGGATCATGGGAGATTGAAGTCCTGTTACTATTTCTGCAGCAGGGTCCCTTACTCCAGTGTCTGAAAGGGGAGCTTTTTAGTCACTGAGAAGAAATCTTCCCACCCTTTGTGCTGATTGGAGCCGATCAGAGTGGAAGGAGGTAAGTCAGCCACTCAGGATGGGCTCCTAAGGGTCACTCTGGAGAAGACATGCCAGCAGAACACTGAGGAGTTGTTGGTCTGTACATTCCAGAGCTAAGCATTTAGAAAGACCAAAAACACTGAAAAGGCCAGTTCTCATCTTGCCACCCTGCAGACCTCTTGTAGACACACAAAGAAGGGCCTCATATGATGTTTAAGTAGAAATAAGCATAAATGTTGGAAGGAAAAACCCCAAAGAAAATCCCTCCCCCTATTTTGTCTTTCGGAGATCTTCAAAAACATTATTCACCGTGAAATCAAAGACCCGCAGTACCGTCACCTTTCGCGGAAGTTCACTGAATGGACCTACGGGCCTGTCCACATCTCTCTCTACGACCTGACCTCCATTGACAGCTATGAGGAGAACTCTGTGTTGGACATTCTTGCCTACAGCAGCGATACTCCGGTGAGATGATCAATGAAGGCGACTTGTCTGCTTTAAAATAATCACTGGGGGAGATCCTTCAGTTCTCTCTGCATCTAGACTTCTCTCTTCAGGGAGATTTTCTTGGTGCCATCTTTGTTTTATGTCCAGTACTGAGCAACACCTCCTTAAAAGAAGTTTGCGCAGGCCGATTAGATACTTGTTTTATTCTTTGAGGAAGTCTCCACGAGAATAAATTTATTGTGGTCTTCCCAAAGGCACTGGTTGACCACTGTGTGACACTAGATGGGCCATTGGCCTAATCCAGGAGGGCTACTATTGTCTTGGAGAGTCTTGATTTGGTGCCTTTGTGGATACTTATTTTGGGAAAACAAAATAGGTAACCTTGATTGATAAAAAGCTGTAATATAAAATCTTGGATTGCTGTACTTTATCTCTGTTTTTATGACATTTGTTTTGGCATTTTAATACTGATTTGTTCTATTGTACATGTCTTAGAAAATTTGAAACAATTGAGCAGTTTAATATCATGCAACAAACATATACACACCAGTAAAGGCCATAGGCTGAATAAGCTGTGGTTTCGTGCAACTTGGAGAAGGGCAGGGGTACCCTGTTTCTCTCTGTTTTGATGGCACTGTTCTGGCATTCTTATGCCGATTTGCACTGTTGTACATGAATAAGCAGTTTAATAGTAAAGGGAAAGGTACCCCTGCCCGTATGGGCCAGTCTTGACAGACTCTAGGGTTGTGCGCCCATCTCACTCAAGAGGTCGGGGGCCAGCGCTGTCCGGAGACACTTCTGGGTCACGTGGCCAGCGTGACAAGCTGCATCTGGCGAGCCAGAGCCGCACACAGAAGTGCCGTTTACCTTCCCGCTAGTAAGCGGTCCCTATTTATCTACTTGCACCCGGAGGTGCTTTCGAACTGCTAGGTTGGCAGGCGCTGGGACCGAGCAATGGGAGCGCACCCCACCGCGGGGATTCGAACCGCCGACCTTTCGATCGGCAAGCCCTAGGCGCGGAGGCTTTTACCCACAGCACCACCCGCGTCCTTCAAGCAGTTTAATACCTTTAAGTAAAGAAACACACACCAGTATAGGCCTCTTCGTTGCGCAAAACCACAGTTTATTCAGCCAACCTGTTTGCAGGCTGAAGAAGCTGTGGTTTCGTGCGACTTGGAGCAGGGCTAGGGTACCCTGTGGCCCTCCAGATGTTTTTGGGCGCCAACTGCCAGCAGCCTCAGCATGGCTAATAACCAGGGATGGTGGGGTTGAATCAATGAATTATTTTCTTTCTTTCTTTCTCCTACATACAGAAGCGGTACGAGATGGTGGTCCTGGAACCCATAAACAAGCTTCTTCAAAGCAAATGGGACTCCTTTGCTGCCATGAGATTTTACATCAGTTTTTTCTCCTATGTGCTGTTCATGTCAGTGTTCTCAGCTGTTGCTTATCACCGGCCTCTGGAGGGGAAGGTAACAGCAGCTTTGGGGCTTGGGGGATACAGAGAGGGAGGCAGAGAGAGGAGGAGGGTGGCTCTCTAGGGCAGAAGTGTGGAAGCTCCCTGTTTGTTCTACAAGGCCCTTTTGGGCCAAGCCTCACCCACCTGCCCATACATGATGTAGGGCAAGGGTGGTAGAGAGATGCAATTCAGTTTGCGCTGAAAGGCAAACCTACTTAATTTCCACTTTCTGAACTGAAATGCAGTCATCCTTTGAAATCCACACTTCTCCGCATCTTTCACTGCAGTTCTGCAGCCAAGCAACATGTACAAAAGATGAACAGGTGTGCATTATTATGGATATATTGTGGGAAGATAGCATACAAAAGTACATTATGTTAGGGAAATCCACACCGTGGTCAACTCCTTCCTGGAAACCAATGTCCCCACTGTGGAAGGACGTGTGGATCCAGAATTGGCCTCCATAGTCACTTACGGACTCATTGTTCAAACCGTGTTTATGGAAGACAATCTTACTTGGCTATGAGTGATCGCCAAAGAAAGAAGAAGATGTTAGGGACGGTTGGTGTGCCAAATTTGCATTTAAATTCGGTGTGCCAAATTTGCATTTAAAGGCAAACCTACCTAATTTCCACTTTTTGGAACAATCCATAGACTGAAACACGGCCATCCTTTCACATTTTACAATGCAATTCTCAATCCAAGCAGCATGTACAAAAAAGAGAAAGAAATGCATGTACTTAGAGCAATGTGTGCATAGTTTTTCCTGAGAATGTTTTAAAAATGAGAATCCATTTTCATGCTTTTTATTTTATTTTATTGCAAACTGCTGCAGAGAACCAAAATGAAGATTGGAGAAAAGGAGAGAAGCTGGTACTGACAGATCCATACATCCATAGTTGTTAGGGAGTTAAATTTGTGCCTAGGTCAAAAAGAGGGTACCATCAACCAGTTGATTGGCACTGGCAACACCCTCTTCAGACTTCTGTGCAGCTTTTTGCAAACCCTGACAAACAGTTGATTTGTCTCTGCTTTTATCTTAATGAATTACTTAAGTTCTCTCTCCCAACCTATCTTTTTTCCTTTAATCTTCCCAGCCTCCTTTTCCAGTGACACTCACTGCTGGAGACGTATTGAGGCTCATTGGCCAGATCATTGTCTTAACTGGAGGCCTGTATCTCCTCGTTGATCAGGTATGACATACTCTTATAGCTCTTCCTGCTGCTGTTTGGGATGTGTTTGATATCTTAGGTTGGCTACAGAAAGCCAGAAGAAAATAGGACTGGCTGCAGAATTAAAGGTAAAGGTAAAGGGACCCCTGACCATTAGGTCCAGTCGTGGCCGAGACTCTGGGGTTGCGGCGCTCATCTCGCTTTACTGGCCGAGGGAGCCGGCATACAGCTTCCGGGTCATGTGGCCAGCATGACTAAACCGCTTCTGGTGAACCAGAGCAGCGCACGGAAACGCCGTTTACCTTCCCGCCAGAGCGGTACCTATTTATCTACTTGCACTTTGACGTGCTTTCGAACTGCTAGGTTGGCAGGAGCAGGGACCGAACAATGGGAGATCACCCCGTCCCGGGGATTCGAACCGCCGACCTTCTGATCAGCAAGTACTAGGCTCTGTGGTTTATCCCACAGCGCCACCCGCGTCCCTAGGCTGCAGAATTATAGAGCATCAAATCTTTCCTTTTAAAGGAATTAACAAAGTACCTAGTCCTTAAGGTTCCACACACTACCCTGGTTTGCACATAACCATGATTTCTTATCCTAACTATGGTTAGTTTGGACGTACAAGCCTACAACATCAGACTCACTGTGTTTTTTTTCTGTCAACCCACCATGATGTGAAGCCTTGAAAAAAATAGGTGATATCCTAATGAACCCAAGAGATATCCTAACCCAAGGATTCGATAACGCAATAATGAATATTTCACAGAGAATTAGAGGCACGGGGGAAGAACACTGAGGAAGAGTTCTTCTGCATGCAGCATTTAGGAACACTGACATCACAAGCTGCTAAAGTTTCAAGAGAGCATTGTGCAAGTTCTGTCATGCACAACTGCAAGGAGAACACAAATTAAACCACTGAGATAGAAGATCTGGAGCACTCCAGATGATTTGCCCGTGTATATACCTGGCGGGAAGGCAACACATGGGTGTCTGCAATGATCATTGCAATGCATCGCTAATTAATATTGTATAATTTTAGAAGGTTGTGCAGACTTAGTTTGGACTTATCATGAAGGGATCTTGCGCTTCTGAATTTGCCACTGCACTATTTCTGCTGTACTGACAAGAGTGTTCCTGTCCATTTGCTTATTAGGCTTTTTACCTGTGGAGAAGACGCCGGTCACTGACAACTCTGCTTCAGGATGGCTACATCGAGATTTTTCTGTATGTTGGGGGGGGGCGGTAGGGAAGAGGGTTTTTTTAAAAAAAAATAATAGTTGTTTTAAAACTGTTTTTACTGATAGTTTTATTGTTTCTGTAAAGAGCTTTGAGCCCGGCTTCAGCTGGGGAGGGCGGGATATAAATAAAAATTTATAATTTTTTATTATTATTATTATTATTATTATTATTTTACATTCAAGCAGCACAAAACTTTTATGAAATAATTTTTGTGTGTGTGTGGAATTACTGGAGCCAAGGTCTCTCATTGGGACACTTATACAGTACAGTGGTACCTCAGGTTACAGACGCTTCAGGTTACATACGCTTCAGGTTACAGGCTCTGCTAACTCAGAAATAGTGCTTCAGGTTAAGAACTTTGCTTCAGGATAAGAACAGAAATCATGCTCCAGTGGTGCAGCGGCAGCGGGAGGCCCCATTAGCTAAAGTGGTGCTTCAGGTTAAGAACAGTTTCAGGTTAAGAACAGACCTCTGGAATGAATTAAGTACTTAACCCGAGGTACCACTGTAGCTATGGTTTGTTCCGGCTTCACCGGTCATGGTTTATACCCTAGGACAAATCAGAAGCCCCACTTTGAATGTAGTGCGATAGCCAAACCATGGCTTAGCTCTGGCGGTAGCAGGAGCAAGGGAGGAGTGAAGAGGCTGCCTTTCCCCCACTGAATACCCACCCTGTAGCTCATTCATGCTTAGCTGTGGCATGTGGCTTAGCTTTTGTGTGCTAGGCAGGCCAAGCAGACTCCTCTATGCCTGAAAGGCGCCTTCGCTAAGCGGGACCATCTCTGCACCCACCCACCCACCCCATTTTCTCACAGGCTGTTGCAGTCAGTGACCCTGCTGGTTTCGGCAGTGATGTACCTTGCAGGCCTGGAAGATTACCTGTCTTGGATGGTCTTCTCCCTCCTGCTCGGCTGGACAAACCTGCTGTATTACATGCGAGGCTTTCAGCAGACCGGGATCTACGTTGTCATGATACACAAGGTTGGTTTAACTGCATATTCTAAAGGTCTAACAGCCTGTATTCCCATGCTTTGCTGCATGTTCTGTGATCTTAAATCTCTGCTGGTGCCCTCTCACCAAAGAGTACTCCAAAACCTGGATCTAGGCATTCAGGGAAGTGCCTCTTTGTTTTCGCTTTTAGCCAAATACCAAAATATTAAAACCAGCACACTGTATATAACAGACCTGGCACACCTTTCTCTTGAAACTTAACCACTTGGTGTTTTCAGTGTTCTTAAATGCTCAGCATACAGCACACAGAACTTCCTCAGTGTTCTTCCTGAGTATCTTCTTCAGAGTGACCCTAGGTGCCCATCCTCCGTGGCTGACTCACTTCTGCTTACGCTGATTGGCTCCAAAAAGGGTGTGAGGATTCCCTTTTATGCTGATTGGGTGACTCCAGGATGCTGGAAGGAGAGACCCTGCTGCAGAAACAGTAAAAAATCAATAAATAAGAAAATGTACAATAAGAAAAGTTAGGAAACATGATTATGACTGTGATATGGTTTTATGAAATGATGATATTGGAAACTGCTATATATAATTACTAAGAAATTCAGATGGAAGAGACTAGAGGAAGTCAAGTAATATGTTTATGAAGATGGATTTTAATTAATTAACTAACTAACTTTTAGTTTATGTGGTGATTTGATGTATTTTATGTTTTATATTCTTTTTGCCTTTTTCTTTTCTTTTTTATTATTGTTAACTCTTTCTTTTGTTATGTCTTTGTATGAAAAATAATAAATATTATTGTGAAGAAATAGTAAAAAGTCATTGACGCCCTGCGATCCTGGGCCATGACGCCTCTGCAGTTTAACTTGCCTCATAGGCTTGCTGTGTCAGGTTAAGCCTGTTGGTTATATGAAGCTGATTAATCCCACACTTCAAGTAAACACAAATTAAGTCACTGAGAAGGAAGATATTGGAGCACTCAAACAATTTGCCCATGTGATTTGCGCAGAAAAGTCGATTTAACTGAACGGCAACACATGGAGATCAGTACTGCTTATTGCAACGCATCCCTAATTATTGTTATTATATTTCTAATATTATTGTACAAACTTAGAGTTGTATAACATTAGAAGGGTGTGTGGCTGTGAGGGCACATGTCTGTGGATGCCTGCATTTCTGAATTGGCAACTGCACTACTGTTAAACTGCAAGGCAAGGTGATTGGCTTGTGGTCAACCACTTGAAAGTCACCCTTGGGCAAAAATCTGAACCCGAGTCTCTGCCCAGTCCTCCATCATGCTGGGCTTCCCCAATTCACTTCTCTCCTGCTCTGCATTCCAGGCTATCCTGCGGAACCTCATGCATTTCCTCATGGTCTATGTGATCTTCCTCTTCAGCTTTTCAACAGGTGAGTCTCTACCTATCCTAACAGGGAAGGGCCAGAACTGGCAACAGAAGCCAGAATCCTACCCACTTCCTCCTTTAGCAGCACTGTTGACTGGCTGTTGTTTTTTTGCATCCAATATATGAAGACAAGGAAAAATGACACATAGTAATAATCATGCCTAGTAATCATGCCGCCTGATCTCAGTTGCAGGGCTGGCCCTGCTATTAGGCAGAGTAAGGGGATTCATCGATATCCGTGCATTCCACTCTCCCCTGCAAAGGCCAGGGTTAAGAGGTGTGTCTTCAGCATATGTGGAAACTATATACAAGAACAGACCTCCAGAATGAATGAAGTTCTTAACCCGAGGTACCACTGTAATGGAAGTGCCCGATGCACATCTATGGGGAGAGACTTCCACAACTTAGGGGCTACCATAGAGAATGTCCTTTCTTGGGTCACCGACCCCCAAACTTAAGAGGGTCACAGAACTTCCAAGGAGCCCCCTCTGCTAATCTTAATGCCCTGGAGGGTTTGTAAGGAAGTAGGTGGGGTCCCCCCCCCAAAAAAAGCTGTTTGGGGCCTATGTCATTTATGACTTGAAACACTCATGTGAGCGCCTCAAATTGGACCTGGAAACCAACTGGCAACCCAAGATGAGTTGTGGATGGCACAGTCTATGACTAGTAGGTCCTGAGTTGTGACATCTTTCGGGACAGGATTCTCATGCAAATAGAGAGGTTTACAAGGAGATTCTTCACGGACCCTCTGATTTAAATATTCTCATTTATCATTTCAGCCCTTGTCATACTTACCGGGGAGCCTCCCCAGCCAGTCCAGAATGGGTCTTCCCTCGTCAACAGCGATGGCAAAGACCAAGTCAAGTATGTTGGGCTGCTACAGACTTCCCTGGAGCTTTTCAAGTTCACCATTGGGATGGGGGAGTTGGAGTTCCAACAGAACATGAGGTTCAGGTACTTTGTGATGTTCCTCCTGCTCTTCTATGTCATCATGACTTACATCCTCCTTCTGAACATGCTGATTGCCCTGATGAGCGAGACGGTCACCGACGTCTCTAAAGATGGTCAAAAGATCTGGAAGCTGCAGGCAAGTCCAAAACCACTTCTGGGTGGGGTTTAATTTGAGCCAAGGCCATTACACCAAGGACCCCTCCAAACTGGCTGTTTCTGTGTCCATTCTTCAGCATGTCTCTGTCATTGACTGTTGGCTTTGTCCTTGGTTTTGACAAGCATAATGGGCCTTGCTCATTGCTTTGGGAAAATGAAGCTACTGGGCGCAGCATACAACAGCTGAAAATAAATAAGTGGCTCCTCACTCTCCAACCCTTGATCCCGCTGTGACAGCTGCCTGTTAGCTCAGCCCTGACAAAGGATTCACACATAAGGAGAGCCCTGATGGAACAGGGCCAGATGAACCAGTACACTAAAGGCCCCTCCAGACTGGCTGTTTCTGAGTGTTCTGCAACATGTCTCTTTGTCATAGACTTTTGGCTTTATTCATTGGTCTTGACAAGCACAGTTGCCATTGTTCACTGGCCAGGGAACATAAAGCTATACGTTGCGGCATACAGATCCTGTAAATAAATAAGTACAGCAATTCCTGCCTCCTCACTCCCCAACTCTCGATCCCACTCTGACAGCTGCCTATTCGCTTAACCCTGACAAAGGATTCACACATAAGGAGAACCCTGATGGAACAAGCCCATGTGGTTCGGCACCCTGTTCCAAAGTGGCCCCCTGGGTGCCTATGGCAAGTCTACAAGCGGGACAGCATTTCAGAGCACCTGCTTTGCATGCAGAAGGTCCCAGGTTCAATCCCTCCAATTTTCAGGAAAGGGCTGAGAATGTCCCTCGCCTGAAACCCCCAGGAGCCACTTCCAGTCAGGTCAACTATACAGAGCTAGATGGAGGAGTGGTCTGACTTCATATAAGACAGCTTCCTCTGCTCCTATTCAAATCACCCCTAAATCTAAAAAATGTGACTATTCCTCCTGAATTGTACCCACAGCGAGCAACTGCTATTATGGAGTTGGAGAAAAGCTGGGTTTGGCATTGGCAGAAACCCAAGCGATCTGGTTGCCAGCTGTCTATCGGCTCCAAAGACGAGAAAGATAAGAGATATTTTTTCCGGTGAGTTTGACCGTGCCTTGCACTGTTGCAGGTCCACAGAGCAACAAGGGCTGCACAGATAAGCAAATATATATTGACTGTGTCTTTCCCCCAAGTGAGCGACGGGATTCAGGTGGTTCACCATTTATTTGTATGTTTTGCAGAGTAGAAGAGCTAGATTGGGCTAACTGGAAGAAAGAGGTGGGAGCCCTCAAGGAGGAGCCTGCAGACTCAGACCACAACGAGACAGTGTCAAAAGGCAAGTGAAGAGCAACACCCTACTCCAGATGTGGGGAACCATCACCCCCCATCCAGTACATCCAGTGTTTGGGGATGATGGGAGTTATAGTCCAACAACATCTGGAGGGCTACAGGTTCACCAAACCTGTCCTAAACAAGTCTAGGGGAACCTGCAGCCTTCCAGATGTGCAGTTACAACCCTCAGCAGGCAGCATGGCTCAGGGATGATGGGAGTTGAAATCCAGCCACAACTGGAGGAAACCACAAGCAATCCACCCCTCTGTTACTCAAAAGCCTTGTTTACCTTCTTGCCTTCACAGTCATTAATGCACTATCAGGTAAGTCTGTGTGGCACTTGAGACCTTTGGACAGCACCACAGCCTTGCTTGTGGCTCTCTCTTTTTTGGCTAGCCAGCAGGGGATGTTGCTTTATCAGAATCAGGAAAACAGTCGCAGGAGAAAGTCTCATGCCTGCCCATCTCTGCAGCTGAGTGACTTCTCCTGCCAAAAGAGTATTTTTATTTTATTTATTTTTAAAGATAATATTCATGATGTCACAACTGCTCTCTCTATACTTCTGAGATTTTCAGAAGCACTACAGGTTCTCAGGAAAGAGTCTTTCTCAGTTCTTTATGGAGGAGCCAGGATTTTTTTTTTTTTAAAACCATTTTTTAAAATGTTGGAGATGCAGATTAAACTAAGCAGTTTACATACTGGTACATATCTTCCTGGATTGTTCTCAAATAGAAATGTTCTGAAAATCTGTTCAGGCTAATATCGCTAATATGTTAGGATACCATATACCCTTGGGTCCTAAAATATATCTGCTTGGTTATCTAAAAGATGTTATTTTGGAAAATGATCATGAAATAGTGTTCAACCTTATAACTGCTGCTAAGATTAGAATAGCTAGAGGGTGGGACATATATCCTACTATAGCTGAATGTTATGAAAACTTAGTTCATGGTAACTATGATTAAGCTAACTTATTATATAAACCAGCCTAACTGTGTTTGGGGGGGGGAATGAATTATTTTGAATTGTTTTGGAACAAGAAGTTCAGTGATTATATGCAACCTCATGTTGCTTTCAACCTGCTGTAATAGTATTTCTTTATACTCTTTATCTTTGGTTCATTTTGTTTACCGTAATTAAAAAACAAAACATTTTTATTATAAGAAGAGGAAGAATGCCATACAATAATGAAGGGGGAATGGATTTTGGGGGAGCTTTATATCATTCCAGACAAAAATATGCATAGAGTTTTGCACCACAGGAAGTGACAGGCAGAAAGATATCAGGAGCTAAAGGTAAAGGTAAAGGTACCCCTGCCCGTATGGGCCAGTCTTGCCAGACTCTAGGGTTGTGCGCTCATCTCACTCTAGAGGCCGGGAGCCAGCGCTGTCCAGAGACACTTCCGGGTCACGTGGCCAGCGTGACAAGCTGCATCTGGCAAGCCAGCGCAGCACACGGAACGCCGTTTACCTTCCCGCTATAAAGCGGTCCCTATTTATCTACTTGCACCCGGGGGTGCTTTCGAACTGCTAGGTTGGCAGGCGCTGGGACAGAGCAACGGGAGCGCACCCCGCCGCGGGGATTCGAACCGCCGACCATGTGATCAGCAAGTCCTAGGCGCTGAGGTTTTACCCACAGCACCACCCGCGTCCCTATATCAAACCTGGGACCTTCTGCATACAAAGTCCCAGCTACAGCTCAGCTCTTCCTAACTTATTTGCCTGGGCACAACCGCTGACCTCCTTGAAGACTTGCCTGTTCTTGCGTCACAGCCTTGATAGATGCTTCCCCATTCTGTCCCATTCCAGGGAAGCGCCTGTTGAACCGAATGTCTCAGGGGGTGAGGGCACGATTCACGATGCCGGAGGTGGCGGAGGAACAGATGCCGCTGCAAGACGGAAGCCACTGAGGGAGAGAAACACCAGGAGGGCGTGATGGATTGCTCAGACTACGTGAACGCCCACCTCCAGCTATGCTCCTTCAATGGCCTGAGAGCAATCTGACCACGGCAACAACAAAACAAATCACTGTTAAGGACCACGCATCATGCCTTTTACAGGCTGGGTGTTTTTTTATTTATTTATACATTTTTATTAGTTTTTTAACATCTCATTTCCAACAATCATTTAACATAAATTCTTATCTTATACAATATTTTAGACTTCCATCAACAACCTCTGAAGATTGTCCGTTCTTTATCACTTATTCTGCATTTCTTAATTTCTCTATTACTTTTAATTATTTTTAACTAATCTCTTCATAATCTTCCTTGCAATATTTCACACAATCCTCCTTACAGAACTTCTTGCAATTCTACTAGCGTAATCTATTTATTACAATTGCTTTTTAAATAGTTCAAATATTTACTCCAGTCTTCTAAGTGTCTCTGGTCCCACAGGTTTCAAATCCTGTTAATTTGTCTAATTCTGCACAGTCCATTCATTTCATTTGCCACTCTTCCTTCGTCGGTAATTCTTCTTGTTTCCATTTCTGTGCCAGTAATATTCTTGCTGCCGTTATTGCATGTAAAAACAATTTACAATCCTGTCTGTTAATGTCCTCCCCTACAATGCCCAGTAAAAATGCTTCTGGTTTTTTAATAAATGTAGGCTGGGTGTTAACAGTCTTGCTTTAGAGGAAGGTTACTTCAAAGAGTTTCCTATCAAAGAGTTTCAGCCTAAGAACATCAGAAGGGCCTGGCTGCAGTGATACCTGGGTGTGATGCCCTGGGACCCAGGTGGATGTTAGTAATGCTCACTAATTCAGACAACTTTATGTAGCAGGTTGCAGAATAGCAACATTTTGCATGAAACAGAAAAAAGTAATGAATTTATAAACTTTGCTCAAAACTACCTGTTGCTGTAGTAATTAGGAGCAGGCTGCTGTGACCAATGAGATTAGTTTTAGGGGTCCACCGGCTGTTCATGCATTCTGTCATCCAATCATATTGCTGAAAGGGATTGTTCACGAGCTAGAGAGTGTTATAAAAGTGTTTGAATTTTGCATTCTAGGTCCAGAATTTGGAGAACTCCTCTGGGTCATTTATGCTTACTGCAGCCTGCAGTAAAATCTGAACTCTTCCCACGATGCTGTTGTCTTTATTTGGCTAAAACGCACACCTAGGTGAAGGGCTGCCCCCTCTCCCTCCAACCAATTTGTGAAGACTGAGTGCATAAAATGATGGATGTGATGACCAGGGAAGGGCTTACTTGCATTTCCATCAGGGGCAGGGCTGGGTGGAATAAAGGATTGATTTTGTCCATCACCCCCTCTCTTTTAGCTGCTGCCAAAATTGGCAGGGTCTTGCAGGGCTTTGCCCCAAGGTGGTTTGTTGCCAGGGGAACCCATGTAAGCCCTGCTCACTTCATTAAGATGAACCAGGAGGCTTTCTTCAGCATTGGAAGCCTGGTATGCCCCACAGAGAAACCTACGGTCTGCAAATAACAACATCCTCAAGGTCCCAGGCCTCAGAGAGGTTAGGCTGGCCTCAACTAGAGCCAGGGCCTTCTCGGCTGCGGCTCCAATCTGGTGGAATGCTCTGTCACAAGAGACTAGGGCCCTGCGGGACCTGACATCTTTCCGCAGGGCCTGCAAGACAGAGCTGTTCCACCAGGCCTTTGGCCAGGGCACAGCCTGACCCCCTCCTTTGGCAATCCTCACAGAACTCTAGCCCAATGGTTGCCATAAATCTGATTGGAATTAATTTTATAATGAAATATTTTTAGAATGTGTGATTATTTGACTGTTTGATTATTTGATTGTTGTTAGCCGCCCTGAGCCCGGCTTCGGCTGGGGAGGGCGGGATATAAATAAAATTTATTATTATTATTATTATTATTATTATTATTATTATTATTATTATTATCCTTCCAACCCCTGAGCCGAAATTCCTCAGGATGTGAATAAAGGCAGTCTCTGCAGAACTAACCTGCAGAACTCCCTGCCTTTAGAAAGTACACCTTGCCCATATGGAGTGTTAGAAGTTTGGAAGCCAAGCTGTTGCTCCATTTGCAGCTTAAACCAACCGGCAGTGATGGGGTGATGTTAACCCCACTCCCCCACCCCCTCCAACAACTTTATTGCTAAAGATGTCCTGAAAGGGCACCTTGGCTGAGTGCCTTAGTTTTTTCAGACAGAGAGCCACCTATAGTTGGAGCAGCAACACAACAGTTAAACTCTCTGGGTGGCTTCCAACATTTATAAAAAAAACCCCTATAATAAAATATTTAAAAAGAATAGTCTGTTAATGAATTTGCATTTTTTTAAAAATATTTTATTGAATTTTCAAATACACAGTAAGCAATATACATACGAAATCCCTTCACCAAAGAAGGAATAAACAAAAACACAAAAAAGGACTACAGAACAAATACACCAAGAAGCAATATAGAAAGGAGGTAATAAGAAAAAGAAGAAATAATAAAAAAAATTAAGAAGAACCAACCATTCAAAACATTTTTTTTTATAACTAACTGGACTTCCTCACATCTCCTTTACCCTGCATTATTTATAATAAAAATATCAGCAAATTATTACCTTGTTTCATACCTTATTTTGTACTTTCCAAATATTATACTTCTAAATTTAAAGTAGTTTTTATCCATTACTCATACCTTAAATTTAAACATAGTGTTACCTTAAATTTCGACCTTTTCTTGCTTATAGCTTAATTTTCTGTTTGTATTTTCTGCTTGTTTGAACTGGAGGTAGGCTGTCTGAATTGTGCATTGCTTTGTAACGATTTGTTGGGTCTCTGGACCGTAATAAAGATTGTTATTGTTTGTTATGTACTGAGTTGAATAGGATCCAAACTGCAGCAGTCTGATTGGTCCTAGAACAATAGGATCCAAAAGGCAGCAGTCTGATTGGTCCTAGAACAATAGGATTCAGAATGCAGCAGTCTGATTGGTCCTAGAACAATGCAGCAGTATGATTGGTTGGCAGGAACCACCCAATCATGCTCCAGATAGAAGTGAATCCACAACCTGATTGGCTTACAGTAGAATTCCGGAATTAGCCAATCATGGGCAGCCCATTGTGTAAATAATGTTTATAAAGCAGATACTTTGAGGGGACATCCATTCATTCCTCCTCACCACTATGAGCTGAATAAAGAGCATGAAATCACTTTGCGACTCTGAGTATATTTCATTGTTGTTGTTGCATTTTCAGCATCAAGGTGAGCTTATTGGTCCCTACTGCAGAGAGAGAGAGACAGAGACAGAGAAACCCCTACTTGAGGGTGCTGTGGTACCCATGGGCCCTGCATTGGGGACCCCAGGTCTAAGCTCCTTTTAAACCACCTGAGTTGGTGGCTGATGGTGTAAGACATCTGGGTGCCCTTGAGCCAGTTGTTACCTTCCCAGCCTAGCTTACCCCACAGGGTTGCTGTGAAGATGAAGCAGAGAGGGAGGGAGGACACATGTGTCTTCTACCGTGAGCTTTGTGGAGGATAAGTGTGATAGAAATGTAATAAATAAAAATAATGCTGTAGCAAATGCCATCGTTTAAGAAATTCCTCCTTTGGTCTCTCCTGAATCTTTCAGCATTTGGCTTCATGAGATGTGACCCTGTTGTGGGTTCTCATATTCTGGCACAGGGAAAGCAGCTTCTTATCTATTTAAAAAATGTGCCCAAATTAATATTGGTCTGCCCAGTAGCCCAGTGTTGCCCGCACTGACTGGCAGTGGCTTTCCAGGATCCTAGAAAGAGAAAGGTCATTCCCGGAACTCGCTCCTCAAGATCCTCGTAAGCAAAGATAACCGGGATTTGAACCTGGGACCGTCTGCATGCAAAGCTTCCATCAGCCAACTTGGTCTGTAGTCAGGGATGAGGCGAGTTGTAGCCCAGCAACATCCGGTGAACCAAAGATTGGGCCCCCCCCTTGCTCTGGGTGGCGTGTGAGCAAGTGTGGCAGCCCCTAGATAAAATCTGTCCTTCAGGTGGTGCTGTTTTTGGCCTGGAAAGTGTCAGAGCACCCAAAGAAAACTATGCCAGGTGAGCCAGAGTCTGGGGCCTGTTCTATCTACAACCACCTTTCCCCTCTCTGAACGAAGCAGCAAATGTAGCCCCAGTGGCGTAGCGTGGGGGGTGCAGGGGGGCCCGGCCGCACCGGGCGCAACATCTGGGGGTTAGGGTTAGGGGGCGCAAATCCACAGGTTAGGGGGTGCAAATCCATGGGTTAGGGGGCACAAATTACTTGCCTTGCCCCGGGTGCTGACAACCCACGCTACGCCAGTGTGTAGCCCAGAAGATGTTGCTTGTCAAAATGCCGGAAGACAAAAGACATGCGGCCCCCACACAGGTGCAAAACTGAAACCCCTTTGAGTGGGCTTGAAAGAGAGCAGGTGGAGGAAAGATGGTCACTGAAGATAGCCTTTGATGCAAACGGCGCCTCAGCTTCGCCTGGAGCCTCAGAGACTCAACCACATCTTGAAACTCATGTGAGGAAACCCACAACGGGCTTGTCTCGAGTTGTGTCTCATCAGTGACAGAGGCAGCAGTTCTGGAAAAGGCCTCCCCTCTTTCAGGCCACAAGCAGCTGCTACTCGTGAGTTTTATCTCAGAAGCTTTTGCACTGTCCACCCAGGAGCATCTCAACCATGACCACTCTTCAGTTCCTCCTCTTGCTTCTGGGTAAGTGAATCATCTCTTCTGCACAATTAACAGAAAGATATTTTTTTTGGGAAAAAAATGTTGCGCTGGTGGCGATATTTTTCTCTCCGCCTCGCCGCATCTTTTTTGCATGACATAGGAAGCTGCTGTGCATATACTGAAGTCCATCTTAGTTCAGTGATGTCTACGGTCCAGTTCAGTACTGAATGGCAGTGGCTCTTGGGGGTTTTAGACAAGGGGACTTTCCCAGCGCTACCTGGAACTGCTGAAGATTCAACCTAGGACCTCCGGCATGAAAAGCAGCTACACTGAGATAAAGAAAGATTTCAGCCCTTACTGCTCTGAATTAAGGGCTGATTTAAATAGGAACATAGGAAGCTACCTTATGCCATTGTCAGAACTTCAGTCCATCAAGCCCAATATTGTTGATTGGGTTTCAGATGGGGGTCTCTCACAGACCTACCTGTAGACGCTGGGCTTTGAACCCCGCTTGCAAAGAGAGTCGTGTCTCTTCCCCAGACTCTCTGGGATATGATTTTAGGTTATGTTCCCCCTCCCCCAATCCAAACTGCATCCTATGTGCTTTCCAAACACAAGAGCTTCTTTCAAAGTGGTTTGCAATCATTTACGAACTTCAAAAGAATTCATTCAGTAATGAGACAAGTCACAGAGAAACCTAGTATACAGCAGCTTTTGCAATACTGTATGTGCTAAAAGACTTAGGTCCCAAATATCGGCCCCTACAGACTTCCGCAGATATAAAAATCAGCAGAGGGATGGTGGCAGCCCTGGAGAGAAGCATTTTCTGTAGCAGCCCCTAAGCTGTGGGACTCCCTCCCACAGAGCTGTGTTGTTAAGTTTTCATGGAATATGAATATACATCTCCTTACCCTGATCTTTGACAACTGAGATGTACATTCTTGGGACCAACTGTATTCCTGAGATAGCCATTTGTTTTAAACTGTTTTTAATGTCTCATTTTAAATTGTCGGGGTCTGCCTTGGGACCTTGGGGTGAAGAGCAGGTCGATAAATCAAATTCTTAGCAGCAGCAGCAACAACAACAACTCGAATTCTCCAAGTTGCCGTGTTGATAAAATAGCTCAGGAAGCCTCAAGTTTCCCAAAAGTTGTTAATTAGTTAATACATGTTGCACTGAGCACCAAGATAGGCTTCTATTTCATAGGAGGAGACCTGTAGCTCAGTGGTTGAGCTTTGCATGGAGAAGGTTCAATCCTCGGTGTCTGCAGGTAGGGCTGGGAATTGTCCCCTGTGATTCAGTCACACACCCGCAAATTTGGGCTGCACCGTCATCCTTTTCACATTCTTTTTGTGAAAAAGGGAAGTGGAGCGGAAATGCTCTGGAGAGCCTGGGCTGACGTAATGTCTCCTCTAGCCTCCCCACAAATAAGTCAGAATGAATACTCAATGAACAGGTCATTTGGAAGATCCATCAAACGCTGTGAGTGGCTCTGCCAGTCAGTGAGGCGGTGAGAGGGCATGTATTTTCTGGACTCATGGGGGATCCATGCTTGTGTTTTACTGGAACACTCAGAACCACTTCTTCTTCTTTGGCGATCGCTCGTAGCTGAGTAAGATGGTCTGCCAAAGCAGGGTTTTAAAAGTGAGTCCGTAAGTGACTGCAGAGGCCAATTTTGTATCCACACGTCCTTCCACAGTGGGGACATTGGTTTCCAGGTGGGAGTTGATCATGGTGTGGATTTGCCAAGCGTGCCTTCCTCTTAGCACATTTCTCCCTTGCGTCCTGCGTTCAAGTGTCTTCAAAGCCCATGACACCTTTGGTAAAGGCTGTTCTCCAATTGGAGCGCTCGCAGGCCAGTGTTTCCCAATTGTCAGTGTTTATACTACATTTTTTTAGATTTGCCTTGAGACAGTCTTTAAACCTCTTTTGTTGACCACCAGCATTCCCACTAATCACTAATGCAAAAGATGCACACTTGGGTATTATAATGAGCCTTTGCAAATTTTCACCTAAGAAAACCCTAACTCCTTTTGGCACTTGAGATGTATATTTTAGGACCCACCTTATTTTTGTGATTGTGAGTTTTTAAAAATAATAATTCTTATTATTTTACATTACAAAACAGCACTACACCACCCTCCCACCCTTTCTGAAGACGTGAGGTCAGACTACGCCGAAGCTCGCATCTCTTAAATTGTCATAGTCCATTTGTGTGGCATACAGTCATAGCAACCAATATTTTTATATATATAATGTGGAGAAGGTCCCACATTCTCCTCTTTTGCACTGTGCATAATAAAAGGACACCAATCCACTGGAAATGGGTCTTTTTGTTTCATTTCCATTGCTATTTTTCGTTTAATGGTTAATTTTTCCGTCAGCGCTAATGGCCAGACTATTTTTATGCTGAGTCGTCAATGTTGCACGATCTAAGAATTTCCAGTATTACCAGTCTGGCTCCTAATAAAGCCAGCCAAAAAGATGCTTAAGAAACAGGTTCAGATTGTCTTCCTAGAAAAGATTAAGTAAAGTCTGGGCCTCTGACTAGACTTTGTCCAGTTATCTCCAATTTCTTTGAACACGGCCACCTTTGAATGCGGCTACCTTATCACAAATCCACCACATTTACATTGCAAGTAGTTTTAAGTGGCTTTAACATTGTTTTTTAATTGTCACAAGCTGCCCCGGGACCTTAGAGTGAAGGGCAGGTGGTGGATCACAATAACAGTAATAATAATAATTTTAAATGCTGAGGCACATTTCATGTCATGTCTGGCTTGGAGCTGAGCTGAGAAAAGTTCCTTTTCCACAGAAACTGCTCTGCTCTATACCTCTTATGTCTTCTTCTTCTTTGGCGATCCCTCGTAGCCGAGAAAGATTGTCTTCCATAAACAGGGTTTTAACAATGAGTCCCTACGTAGTGACTGTGGAAGCCAATTCTGGATCCACACATCCTTCCACAGTGGGGACATGAGTTTCCAGGTGGGAGTTGATCACGTTGTGGGTTTGCCAAGCGTGCCTTCCTCTTAGCATGTTTATCCCTTGCGTCCTGAGTTCGAGTGTCTTCAAAGCCCATGACACCTTTGGTTAAGGCTGTTCTCCAACAGGAGCGCTCGCAGGCCAGCGTTTCCCAGTTGTCGGTGTTTATACTGCATTCTTTTGAGAGAGTCTTTAAACCTCTTTTGTTGACCACCAGCATTGTTCTTGTTCAATTGTTTAGTCGTGTCCGCCTCTTCGTGACCCCCTGGACCAGAGCACACCAGGCCCTCCTGTCTTCCACTGCCTCCCGCAGTTTGGTCAAACTCATGCTGGTAGCTTCAATAACACTGTCCCACCATCTCGTCCTCTGTCGTCCCCTTCTCCTTGTGCCCTCCATCTTTCCCAGCATCAGGGTCTTTTCCAGGGAGTCTTCTCTTCTCATGAGGTGGCCAAAGTACTGGAGTCTCAGCTTCAGGATCTGTCCTTCCAGTGAGCCAGGCTGATTTCCTTCAGAATGGATCGGTTTGATCTTCTTGCAGTCCATGGGACTCTCAAGAGTCTCCTCCAGCACCAGAATTCAAAAGCATCAATTCTTCGACGATCAGCCTTCTTTCTGGTCCAGCTCTCACTTCCATACATCACTACTGGGAAAATCATAGCTTTAACTATATGGACCTTTGTTGGCAAGGTGATGTCTCTGCTTTTTAAGATGCTGTCTAGGTTTGTCATTGCTTTTCTCCCAAGAAGCAGGCGTCACTCTTTCCATTTTTAAGTTTGGAATAGAGTAGTTGCTTTGGCAGATGCTCATCAGGCATCCGCACAACATGACCAGTCCAACGAAGTTGATGTTGTTTATGCTCGATGCCTATGTACTAATCTGATCCATGCATTAAAGGTTTTGGGCAAATTGGATTCAGCTGTAAAAGATTCACCCTCAGGAATTATAATGAGCATTTGCAAATTTCCACCTAAGAAAAGGCAAAGAAAATACCTCCCCCCCCCCGCTGCATGTTAAATGCTGAGAGACATTTAGCGTCATGTCTAGTTTGGATCTGAGCTGCTATGCCACAAAAACCACGGTGCTCTGCAAGACTTCTTCAAGATGAGACTTCCCCATCTAGAAAAATGAGTTCTCAGGGGGTGGGGAGCTTAGTCATATCAATAAAAATAGCAATTCCATCCCACACTTGCAGTGAACCTGTTGTTTAAAGTAGCAGCACTTACTTTTGGAACTCCCAGCCCATTGATGTTAGAAAGATGCCTTTACTGCATTCCTTTTGGCACCTGCAAAAAAATGTTTGTTTCGGCAACCTTACCAGGGCATATAATTTTAGCCTGAGAGCGGGCGTTGTGTAACACTAAACCAAGGTTTGGAGTTACATCTGAACCACTGCTGTATCAGTGGCTTTCCTACTGAAATATACTCGGAGTCCTGTAGTGATTTCATGCTCTTTATTGCAGCTTGTATAAAACAGTGATTGAATTCCCCCCCAACCCCCAAGCTTTTTATATACATTATTTACACAATGAGTCCCATCTGATTGGCTGATTCTGCTTCCCTCCTGAAACCTGATTGGTCTTTTCCTGCCGGCCAATCACTTGTTGCATTCTAGGATCCTACTTGCCTATTGCTCTAGGATCCAAGCTTAGTACATAACACCTACCCAACTTGCAGCTTCTTTCTCCTTCCTAGAATAAGGTGGAAGGGATCTCCAAAGGCCATTTAGTTCAACCCCTGCTGCCAGACTAGGTGGCCACCTATCACCCTCTGTTAAAAACCCACCGACTTCTGAGGCAGCCCATTCCTCATCAGAATGTACTTCCTAATGTTTAAACAAATTCCCACCTGCTGTCATTTCAAGCCGCCAGTCACTCATCGTCTTTCTCTCAGCTCCAGATCCTCTGAAGAGCTTTAACATTGATACCAGCTGGAGGTGGGTCTCACCACAAGTCTCCCCTTCCTTTGGACATCAGGTTTTCCAACACACAGATGGGCGACGGAACTGGTAAGGGGAAACGTCTTGAGGCTGGTTGAGGGGGAAAGGAAACTGCCCCACTTCCCGCAACTGGAAGAATTTTCCAGAGAAAGGTGCAAAATTGCATCCATGTGTGTGCCAAATCACCACATAAATCACTGCACAGCCCTGACAGTGGCTTGGACTGAGACAAAGGATTGTTTTTGCACATTAAACACGTAAATTGGGTAACCAACGGCAGAAGGTCAGTCTCATTTGAAAACCGCTGTGTGATTGGCCACTGTGAAGGACAGATGGGGAGAAATGTGATTTTGTTTGCATTTGAATAAGAAATTATCGAATTCCCATTGCTCGGACCAATCTACAAGAATGGAAGCCTTCCAAATTCACGCTTCTCCAGATTTTACGATGTGGTTCTCCAACAAACACTGTGCACAAAAATGCATATATATGGGGAAAGAGTACCTAAAAATGGACATATTAGCAAAAATAAAGATGCAGTTACCCTGTGGGGATATTGGTTGCAAAAATGTACATACTGTATGGCATATAAAAATATGGAAATTAGGAAATATGTGCACTAGAGTACAGTATTGATGAATTGTCATGAGGACTTCTTGTACAAAAATAACTTGCAAACTGGTGCAGAAATGTGGGGAACGGAATTTAAGGTGGGGTTATAATTATTATTTAAGTGAGGCACCGAAATTGACAGATGTGTCCATTCTTAGAGGTAGGTTTGGCTGAGAGACAGTGTTTGATCCAAGGTCAGCACTTCAAAGAGCTTCATGGCAGAGTGGAGATTCGAACCCTGGACTCTCAGGCCCTAATCCTGTGCTCTAACCATTACTCTCTGCTTTCTCTCCCTGACTTCGCTGAGCTGGGCCTGATGGGCTTGGAGTCTGGCAACATCTGGCCATTTCTGCCCAAGAGCAGCTCTGCACTACATACTCAAAGGAGCCCCCCCCCCAAATCCCAGCTTTGATTTGAACATACGCTGAGCCAGCTCTTCGGTCCCTCTACCCTAGTGCTGTCTGCTCTGACCAGCAACAACTTTCCAAGGTCCCGGGCAGACAAGGATCTTTTCTCATCACCCGCTCCCTGATCAATTTTTAACTGGAGATTCCAGGGATCAAATCTGGGTCCTTCTTGTTTGCAAGAAAAAGTGTGTTTGCTCTTCTGTTCCATTGTAGCTCTTTGTTGAGTTAACATAATTATGAAGGAATGGGGGTGTTTCTCAGATGCATGAACGAAATCTTAAAAGCTACACAGAGGCTTGCTCTGGCCCACAGTGAGCAATATAGATTAGTGGTTTCCTCTAGCATATCCTGCCAGAGGGCTGCGCTGAGAAATAGATTTTGGTTTGTATTATAAAATATGCTTTTTCATACTAGGCAGACAAGGGGAAGAATGATGACGATCACTCAATGGAGCTTCTGCATCCAGGAGTACTCTACCCCCTGAGTAACCAAAAGTGCCAGGAGGGCTGTTGTCTCCCAGCCCTGGCTGTAGGCCGGTTGCATCTCCAACTTTGCAGGGGGACATCTTAGGTCTGCTCCAGGGCTGGTGCTTTTGGCCCTCCAGATGTTGTTGGACTCTCAGCAGCCAGCATGGCCAATGGTCAGGGGTGCCAGTTCCTGGGGGCCGAGCCCTTTGGGCAGCCCCCAATATATATATTTTATATATATGATTTTTTATTAGTTTTTCAACATATCATTTTCAACAATAGTTAAATGAACTTTTACATCTTATACAATTTTTTTGACTTCCATCAATCACATCTGAACATTTTCCAATCTATTCACTTAATTTACATTTCTTGTTTTCACTATTACTTTTAAATCTCATAACTAATATCTCTTTTTTTCTCTTCTTTGCAATATTTCATATATTTCTCCTTACAAAACTTCTTGTAGTCCTACTAGCGTAATTTGTTGATTACAGTTGCTCTTCAAATAATTCGTATATTTCTTCCAATCTTCTGTAAATCTCTGGTCCCACATGTTTTGAATCCTGGGGGGGGGCAATATTTTGGGGGTGGGGGTCTGGCCCCCTCAACGTCCAAAAAGTATGGAGGACAAGCACGTAGTCAAGTATGAGGTTGCCTCCCACCCCCCCCCCCGGCCCTTGGAAGCTGATGCTTCTGCTAATGGTCAGTCTGAAGAGTTGTCCAGTTTAACTTAAAGATAAAGAGCCCTAAGAAAGGAGAGTGGGGGTCGAGGGGGGGCAGTTTAGGACCTTGAAGTTGGCATCAACACTTAGCACTTGCATAACATATTGAGCAAGCAAGGACACAACTCACTTGGGAACAGTCTTCCCCACTGAAATATACTCAGAGTCGCAAAGTGATTTCATGCTCTTTATTCAGCTCATAGTGGTGAGGAGGAATGAATGAAAGTCCCCTCACAGTATCTGCTTTCATAGAATCATAGAGTTGGAAGAGACCACAAGGGCCATCGAGTCCAACCCCCTGCCAAGCAGGAAACACCATCAGAGCACTCCTGACATATGGTTGTCAAGCCTCTGCTTAAAGACCTCCAAAGAAGGAGACTCCACCACACTCCTTGGCAGCAAATTCCACTGTCGAACAGCTCTTACTGTCAGGAAGGTCTTCCTAATGTTTAGGTGGAATCTTCTTTCTTGTAGTTTGAATCCATTGCTCCGTGTCCGCTTGTCTGGAGCAGCAGAAAACAACCTTTCTCCCTCCTCTATGTGACATCCTTTTATATATTTGAACATGGCTATCATATCACCCCTTAACCTCCTCTTCTCCAGGCTAAACATGCCCAGCTCCCTTAGCCGTTCCTCATAAGGCATCATTTCCAGGCCTTTGACCATTTTGGTTGCCCTCCTCTGGACACGTTCCAGTTTGTCAGTGTCCTTCTTGAACTGTGGTGCCCAGAACTGGACACAGTACTCCAGGTGAGGTCTGACCAGAGCAGAATACAGTGGCACTATTACTTCCCTTGATCTAGATGCTATGCTCCTATTGATGCAGCCCAGAATTGCATTGGCTTTTTTAGCTGCCGCGTCACACTGTTGGCTCATGTCAAGTTTGTGGTCAACCAAGACTCCTAGATCCTTTTCACATGTACTGCTCTCAAGCCAGGTGTCACCCATCTTGTATTTGTGCCTCTCATTTTTTTCCCCCAAGTGCAATACTTTACATTTCTCCCTGTTAAAATTCATCTTGTTTGTTTTGGCCCAGTTCTCTAATCTGTCAAGGTCGTTTTGAAGTGTGATCCTGTCCTCTGGGGTGTTAGCCACCCCTCCCAGTTTGGTGTCATCTGCAAATTTGATCAGGATGCCCTTGAGTCCATCATCCAAGTCATTGATGAAGATGTTGAATAAGACCGGGCCCAAGACAGAACCCTGTGGCACCCCACTAGTCACTCTTCTCCAGGATGAAGAGGAACCATTGATGAGCACCCTTTGGGTTCGGTCAGTCAGCCAGTTACAAATCCACTGAGTGGTAGCATAGTCAAGACCGCATTTTACCAGCTTCTTTACAAGAATATCATGGGGCACCTTGTCAAATGCCTTGCTGAAATCAAGGTAGGCTACATCCACTGTGTTCCCTTCATCTACCAGGCTTGTAATTCTGTCAAAAAACGAGATCAGGTTAGTCTGACATGACTTATTTTTCAGAAATCCATGCTGACTATTGGTGATCACAGCATTCCTTTCTAGGTGCTCACAGACTGTTTGCTTAATGATCTGCTCCAGAATCTTCCCTGGTATTGATGTCAGACTGACTGGGCGGTAATTATTCGGGTCCTCTCTTTTCCCCTTTTTGAAAATAGGGACAACATTTGCCCTCCTCCAGTCTGCCGGGACTTCGCCTGTTCTCCAGGAATTCTCAAAGATGACTGCCAGTGGTTCTGAGATCACATCTGCCAGCTCTTTTAATACTCTTGGATGCAGTTCATCTGGCCCTGGAGACTTGAATACATCTAAACTAGCCAAGTATTCTTGTACTATCTCCTTAGTTATTCTGGGCTGTGTTTCCTTTGCTGAATCATTTGCTCCAAATTCTTCAGGTCGGGCATTGTTTTCTTTATCGGAGAAGACTGAGGCAAAGAAGGCATTGAGGAGTTCAGCCCTTTCTGTGTCCCCTGTTTGCATTTCACCATCTTCTCCTCTGAGTGACCCCACTGTTTCTTTGTTCTTCCTTTTGCTACGAACATACCCATAAAAGCCTTTTTTGTTGCTTTTAACCTCTCTAGCAAGCCTGAGTTCATTCTGTGCTTTAGCTTTTCTGACTTTGTGTCTACACGTGCTGGCTATTTGTTTGAATTCCTCTTTGGTGGTTTCCCCCCTTTTCCATTTTTTGTACACATCCTTTTTTAATCTTAACTCAGTTAAAAGTTCTTTAGATAGCCACCCTGGCTTCTTTAGGCACCTTCCATGTTTCCGTCTCATTGGTATTGCCTGACGTTGTGCTTTTACTATCTCCCTCTTAACAAACTCCCAGCCATCATGAACTCCCTTTCCTTTTAGTATTACTGTCCATGGGATCCCACCCAGCACTTCCCTAAGTTTTATGAAGTCGGCTTTCTTAAAGTCAAGAAATTGAGTCCTAGTATGCTTGGCTGCTCCTTTCCGCTGTATAGTAAACTTCAGAAGAGCATGATCACTCACGCCTAATGATCCTTCCACTTCTACCCCACTAACCAGGTCATCAACATTGGTTAGGACCAGATCTAAAATGGCTGTTCCTCTTGTTGCTTCTCCCACTTTCTGGACAATGAAGTTGTCTGCAAGGCAGTGAGGAATCTGTTTGACCTTATGCTCTTGGCTGAGTTTGACATCCAACAAATATCCGGGTAATTGAAGTCCCCCATTACTACTATCTCCCTTCCTTTTGCATGCTTGGCCATCTGTTCCAGGAAGGCATCATCTATGTCCTCCGTTTGGCTTGGGGATCTATAGTAAACTCCCACAATGAGGTCTCTGTTCTTCTTCTCTCCCTTAATTTTGACCCAAATGCTCTCACTTTGGCTTTGAGGTTCTAAATCTTGGATTTCTTCACAGGTATACACATCCCTGACATATAACGCCACTCCTCCTCCTTTCTTGTCTGGTCTGTTTCTCTGAAATAGATTGTATCCCCCCATTATTACATTCCAATCGTGGGACTTATCCCACCAGGTTTCAGTGATGCCTATTATGTCATATTTAGTTTGCTGTACCAAGAGCTCAAGCTCATCTTGTTTATTTCCCATGCTTTGCGCATTAGTGTACAGACATTGAAGTCCATTAATCATTCCCCCGTGTCTCTTATTTAAGGATTTTTTCCTCCCACCACTAGGTCTGCTTTATATACATTATTTACACAATAGGCTGCCCATGATTGGCTAATTCCGGAATTCTACTGTAAGCCAATCAGGTTGTGGATTCACTTCTATCTGGAGCAGGATTGGGTGGTTCCTGCCAACCAATCATACTGCTGCATTGTTCTAGGACCAATCAGACTGCTGCATTCTGAATCCTATTGTTCTAGGACCAATCAGACTGCTGCATTCTGAATCCTATTGTTCTAGGACCAATCAGACTGCTGCAGTTTGGATCCTATTGAACTCAGTACATAACACCCACTATGGTGAAATGGGTTGCATTTCTATGTAATGATTTAGCCAAGGGCACCCCTCCATATATGAACTAGCATGCGTACTCTTTAAATCTAAATTTCCTGTGCATTTTGTGCAAATTTCCACCCTCTTTCTGTTGGGGTCCGCTAATCAGGCCCAAGCTGCCTTGGTCACCCAAAAGCCAATAAATGTAATATAGACAGAGGAGATTCCCATAATCACTCGTTTATTCAGCTGAGTAAAACAGAGTGGGCAAGCCACACTCACCAGTGTGATGGTGAAGCCACGCCAAATAGCCTTTGTTCACACATTTTATAGGAATTTCCCCCTTTCAAGGTTCCTTGCGCTGATAGAAACAGGACCCCCTGCCTGGAGACCTTGAAAGGGACAGCTGCCAGGCAGAGGGAGGTTTTCCTGAAAATCGCCTAGCAACTGTTATCTGGTCTTCACATATTTGTGGCTCACCCTCCTAAATTCTAAAGCAGGTGGTTTTTTACAGAAGCAAAATGGCATCAGTTGGGCTAACCCAAAAAACACGACAAGAGCAGGCCTCTGTGGCTTTTCCTGAGACCCCAAACTTTCGTTTATTTTGGAGATTTTGAAAAACAAAAATGAAAAAAGCTCAGCAAATTTGGCCGCCTCCCTGCCAAAAAAAAAAAGCTCAAAAACTTTTGTGTCTGGATCGTCACTCTCCAGATCTCTGCTTTCACAGAGTTTCACACTGAATGGCAGGCTGGGTAAATTCTCCATGTGTTTGGATCTGATCATTCTTATCCCCACTGTTCTTCTTTTATTCTCTGTTTGCAAAGAGACCGTTTTCTCTCTCTCTCTCTTCCCCCAAAAAAGGATTGTAGCTGCTTCCTTGGGGCCAGGCGACTTGGGCAAGGTATATAAATGCAACCCGCAGGATAACCATTGCGAAGCAGTAAGCTTAGGCGGTACGTACACTTCTTAATTTTTCATATTCGCGAATCCATACCTGGTCTTCCTTCAAAAGTATGCAAGGCGAGGCAGCTCGTGCAAAACGAAGCCACCCAATTTGTTGGGTGGCTTCCAACAAATTAAAACACAATACGACATCAGACGTTAAAAACTTTCCCAAACAGTGGGGAGGTGAAAATAAAGTTGTGTGTGTGTGTATGTGTGTGTTCTCATATCTATACCCCCAATTTCTTTCTTCTCCCTCTCAAGAAAACATTCGGAAACTGAAAAAGCTCCGGTCTGGTATTGCTGTAGCCCAAAGCCCAGAACATATCCTGGTAAGTTGCATAGAGATTTTGCAGAGTTGAGTGTGTTCTGCTATTGTAAAGAAAGTTGCCTCAAGCCAGGGATACAATTAAGATTGTGGCAACAAAGTCTAGTCATGTAACTAGCCATCAAGGATTAGGTGGGCCAAGAAGGCGCCCCCAGTGTTTTCTCACCCCACCAGCTGCCCCCAAGCCATGCCGTGTATAAATCTTAAATTCAACATGCCCACTTAATTCATCCTTTTTTTAGTTCCAAGGCCACCATTTATTTCCATGCATTTATTCACCTTTGAACATTTTACATGAATGGTACATGACAGAATTGGGGAACCTGTGGTCCGGCAAAGGTCAGGAAACAGAGAGTTCCAGACCAGAGAAGCCTTCTGGTAAAGACCTCGGAAAATATGAAAGTATCTGAAACTGGGAAGTGAACCCTGACCAGAGGGAAGACCTCATATAAATCCCTGGGAACAAGCCTGAGAGTTAACTGGGGCACAGTTAGGAAGGGTAATTGGCTGATATTATTGTAACCTTACACTTCAGGAAGAACTTTATGACAATAATAATAATAATAATAATAATAATAATAATAATATATTTCTACCCTTCCCATCTAGCTGGGTTTCCCCAGCCACTCTGGGCAACTTCCAACAAAATATTAAAAATACATTAAGACATCAGTCATTACAAACTTCCATAAACAGGGCTGCCTTCAGATGTCTTCTAAATGTCATATAGTTGTTTATTTCCTTTGACATCTGGTGGGAGGGCGTTCCACAGGGCGGGCGCCACCACTGAGAAGGCCCTCTGCCTGGTTCCCTGTAGCTTGGCTTCTCGCAGTGAGGGAACCGCCAGAAGGCCCTCAGTGCTGGACCTCAGTGTCCGGGCAGAACGATGGGGGTGGAGACGCTCCTTCAGGTACACTGGGCCGAGGCCGTTTAGGGCTTTAAAGGTCAGCACCAACACTTTGAATTGTGCCCGGAAACATACTGGGAGCCAGTGTAGGTCTTTCAAGACCAGTGTTATATGGTCTCTGTGGCTGCTCCCAGTCACCAGTCTAGCTGCTGCATTCTGGATTAGTTGTAGTTTCCAGGTTACCTTCAAAGGTAGCCCCACGTAGAGCCCATTGCAGTAGTCCAAGCGGGAGATAACTATGCACCACTCTGGCGAGACAGTCTGCGGGCAGGGAGGGTCTCATCCTGCATACCAGATGGAGCTGGGAGATAGCTGCCCTGGACACAGAATTGACCTGTGCCTCCATGGACAGCTGTGAGTCCAAAATGACTCCCAGGCTGCACACCTGGTCCTTCAAGGGCACAGTTTCCCCATTCAGGACCAGGGACTCCTCCACATTCACCCGCCTCCTGTCCCCCCAAAACAGTACTTCTGTCTTGTCAGGATTCAACCTCAATCTGTTAGCCGCCATCCATCCTCGAACAGGAAGAGCTGCTGGACAGTGGTCTAACTTGATAGGTTGTAGACTCTCCATCCTTGGAGGTTTTAAAGCAGAGGTCATGGATGCTTTTAGTTGAGATTCCTGCATCGCAGGGGGTTGGACTAGATGACCCTTGGGTCCTTCCAACTCTGCAATTCCATGATTCTCTCTGTGAAGTGAAAGGGGCTCCACCCCTTTGCCATCTCACACAGTTATCTTTGATGCTTTGCGTTCTTCTTAATGGGCCATTCCCAAGCTAGCACCTCACCACCCTGGCTTACTTAGCCCTTAACACATGCTGATTCCAGAGGATTAGCACTGTCTAGCACACAGCCCAATGCAAACAGGTCTGGCCAAATGTCTGTCTGATACAATATTTCCCAGTTTTAACACTGCCAAATATTTATTAAATTCTGACACTTGCTCATTCTGGAGATCACAGTTGCCTTGCGCCCGCAAACTCATAACAATATAAAGTCTCTGCTTCTCGGTTTCTTTGTCTCTCTCCCTTGACAGGCTTGTCTCCAGCACAGACGTCGTCAGCGGCGTCGAGTCACAGAGGAGCTGAACGGTCTTTGTGTGCTGCTTTCAGCTGACTTCCAGGAGAAGGCTTTTATCAACCTCACAGACATCAGTACGAGATGTAGATGTGTATTTAGATATTATTGGCCACAGCCGTGTTCGGTTCATCGGGTGCAGGAGGAAACTGGCCCCGTGTCCTGAGCCGCCATTTGTGTCTGACATTTCCTCTAGCATATTTCTCCCTGAGCTGTGGTTTTGTGTCTGATTCTAACCCCAAAGCCACCATCTCCCCCGACGCGGCCAAGTTGCACCAAGCCCGGTCCCTTGAGCCGCCATTTTGCATCTGATTTTGCCCCTGGTGGTTTCCCAGTTTGCATATGGTTTCCAGAAGCCCAAATGAAATGCGAAACTCCCCTCATCCCTGCTCTAAGCAGCTACAATGGGAATAATGTCTGCTTGCTGATTTGCTTTGACTGTCAGATGTGAGCATTGCTTTGACTTTGTCCAGCCTTTCTCCTGCTGCCTTTGACTGGTTCTTATCTGGTGGTCCTCCTGTTCCTTCAGATGCCTTACTGTCCCTCTTGTTTTTATCGGTTTCTGCACTTCCTGTAGTCGAAACCAAGTTATTAAGCCAGAGGAGCGAAGAGCGGGGGAAAAGGGACACCCACAGTCACAAAATCGGCGGCGTTGACACCAACAAGTTTGGTTTGGCTGCTAGTACTGTATGCAAAGGTGAGATTGAAAGATGGAACTTTTGTTTTGTTTAATTGATTACATTATTATTATTATTATTATTATTATTATTATTATTATTATTATTACTACTACTACTACTGTATAACATTTACATTTGATTTGGGGTTTGTTGGAGGCATGCGGCTGGGTGCTGTGAGATTCCGACCGCAATTCACACAATTAACACACTATGATACCACTTTAAACATTCATAAAAAGGTAAAGGTAAAGGGACCCCTGACCATTAGGTCCAGTCGTGACCGACTCTGGGGTTGCGGCGCTCATCTCGCTTTATTGGCCAAGGGAGCCGGCGTACAGCTTCCGGGTCATGTGGCCAGCATGACTGAGCCGCTTCTGGCGAACCTGAACAGCGCACGGAAACGCCGTTTACCTTCCCGCCGGAGCGGTACCTATTTATCTACTTGAACTTTGACGTGCTTTCGAACTGCTAGGTTGGCAGGAGCAGGGACTGAGCAACGGGAGCTCACCCTGTCGCAGGGATTCGAACCGCCGACCTTCTGATTGGCAAGCCCTAGGCTCTGTGGTTTAACCCACAACGCCACCCGCGTCCCTTTAAACATTCATAGCTCCCCACAAATAATTCTGGGGGCTCTATTTTGTGAAGGGAACTCTGTTGCAGCAGAAAAATAAAGATCTGCCTTGCTTTCACTGCATCCTGCCTTCATCCATTCATCTCTGACCGATCATGGACTTAGGGGGCTCAGTTCCTTGGGGAGTTGGGCAGCAAAAGCCAACCACCCTTATTTTTCTATATCGTGAAGGGTGCTTGGAGTTGGTAGGAGAAGACTCCCTTTCCATTCCCCTCCCAGAGCTACAGTTCCCAGAGTGTTTTAACACTCAATCCCTCTTCAGAACTGTAGCTCTGGAAGGAGAATGGAGGGTCCCCTAGCAAATCTCAGCTCCCAGAATTCTTTGGGAGGAAGCCATGACTGTTTAAAGTGGTATTATACTAATTTAAATACGTAGTGTGAATGCGGCCTCTGGGTTTGGTTATTTTGTTTGTGTGTCTCTTTCTTCATAAAACCACTACCTCAGTGTCTGGTGCTTTCAAAGAGGGCAGGTCCCTGCCCTGAGGCGATTGCCATTTGACGCAGGAAGGCAATTTCCCAAACTTATGGGTTGAACTCCAGATTGCCAGCATTTTCCAGGAGAAACTATTAATAGCAGTAATAGTAGTAGACAGTGCTTTTTTCTGAAAAATTGTTTAGGGGGTACTCTCATTTTGACTCAAGAAAACCACCATTTTATAGTTCAAATTGGGGAAAATAAATACAGTAAATGGACAAAAGTACAATGATTCACAAAATTGTTTAGGGGTATGCGTACCCTTGCTTACCCCCAGAAAAAGAAGCACTGGTGGTAGATATATAGTCCTCCTTTTCTCCAAGGATCAAAAAGTGGTGTACATGCTTCCCCCTTCTCCATTTTATCTTCCCAGTGACCCTGTGAGGTGGGCAGTGGCCAGGCTGAAAGGTGGCAACTGGCTCAAGGTCACCCAGTGATTACTCCCCCCTCTCCAAAATCCTTAATCCCTTCACGTTTATTTTTTTAAAAAAATTACAGTTTTGTCCGACTGTTCCTCCAAGGAATTCTAGTAGAAACAGTCCCTCCCCCTGTAGTTTCATCCTCACAAAAACCCTGCAAGCCAAGTCAGTCTGCAAGATGGGTGACTGGCCCAAGGTCATCCAATGAGTTTCGTGGCTGAGATATGAATTCTGTATGCCAATAAAGTTTGGTTGATTGATTGATATGAATCCTGTTCCGCTGGGTCCTATTCTGACACTCTTTATACTTAATTTCCTCCTTTTTAAAGAAAAATATTCTACAGATGGGAGCTCTGAGTTTGGCTGCAAAATTCTTGAATCTAACAAGAACAACAACAGAAACAACGGAAACAACTACTACCTGGAGGATGAGGAGGAGGATGAATCCTGTAAGTCAGGGATGGGTAGAAGGAAGATGAGGTACATCTATATACAGTGGTACCTCGAGTTACATACGCTTCAGGTTACAGACTCCGCTAACCCAGAAATATTACCTCGGGTTAAGAACTTTGCTTCAGGATGAGAACAGAAATCGTGCTCCGGCGGTGCGGCAGCAGCAGGAGGCCCCATTAGCTAAAGAGGTGCTTCAGGTTAAGAACAGTTTCAGGTTAAGTACGGACCTCTGGAACGAATTAAGTACTTAACCTGAGGTACCACTGTATAGATGATGTTCAGGACTCAAGCTCCCTTCATTCCCAAACTGTTGGTTCCTGGGGCTGATCTGGACACAACATCCAGAGAATTACAGGATCCCCACCTCTGCAGTATAAATCTAAGCAAGTAGGCTAATAAATCCAATATCAGGAATAACTCAAATGTTCGTTTCCTTCTGTTTTACCCTGCCTCCTCCTGACAGCTATGGTCTTGGCCCAGGGCTCAGCAGCACAGAACTGGTTTCAAATACCAAAAGTCATTATTATAGCAGAGAGGGTTTCTGAACATCCACGGGTTCAAGTCCCACCAAGGGGGTGGGCAGCACACAGCTTCCCATAATCCTCAAAAAGTATTGAAAAGCATTAAAAATATTTAATTAACGGAGGTTCTGCCCTCCAAACAAAAGCTTGCCCCTCCCTGTAATGCCCTTGGGGGGGATTTTTACCCATGATTTTGAAAAAAAGCTCAACAAGTTTGGGGGGGCCACCCCTAAGAGAAACCCTGGCTTTGCCACCCACTTCGCTACTGAGCAGGGACGCGGGTGGCGCTGTGGGTTAAACCACAGAGCCTAGGACTTGCCGATCAGAAGGTTCGAATCCCCGTGACAGGGTGAGCTTCCGTTGCTCGGTCCCAGCTCCTGCCCACCTAGCAGTTCGAAAGCACGTCAAAGTGCAAGTAGATAAATAGGTACCCCTCTGGCGGGAAGGTAAACGGCGTTTCCGTGCGCTGCTCTGGTTTGCCAGAAGCGGCTTAGTCATGCTGGCCACATGACCCGGAAGCTGTACGCAGGCTCCCTCGGCCAATAAAGCAAGATGAGCGCGCAACCCCAGAGTCGGCCACGACTGGACCTAATGGTCAGGGATCCTTTTACATTTACATCACTATGGAGCAACCACAGCAGTCCACAGCCATTTGTGCTTAGAGAGCAGGGTGCCTTGGTCCAAGGGTATAGAATGGCCCCCAAACCTCTCACTTTTAGAAATCATGCATTAAAATTAGTCCGGTAAGGGCTCTTTCCACGGTCCATCTCATGATCTTTTCCGCGGCAGACCTGAGGACTGAAATCGCCTTGGTCCTGGACGGCTCTGGGAGCATCGACCCGCCGGACTTCGAGCGAGCCAGGAATTTCACCTACAGCTTGGTGAAGACGTCCTACGAGAAGTGTTTGGAGGTGACTGCCTCTGCCTTACGGGTTCATGATGGTGTTGTAACAAAACCTTCCCGTTTTCCCTTATGGGGTATCCAAGAGCCCGTGTAGAGTCCTTAAGTGGGCTCCCTATCGGTAGGAGAAAATTTGTTGTTGTTTAGTCGTTTCCACCTCTTCGTGACCCCCTGGACCAGAGCACGCCAGGCACCTCTGTCCTCCACTACCTCCCGCAGTTTGGTCAAACTCATGCTGGTAACCTCGAAAACACTGTCCCACCATCTCGTCCTCTGTCGCCCCCTTCTCCTTGTGCCCTCCATCTTTCCCAACATCAGGGTCTTTTCCAGGGAGTCTTCTCTTCTCATGAGGTGGCCAAAGTACTGGAGCCTCAGCTTCACGATCTGTCCTTCCAGTGAGCACTCAGGGCTGATTTCCTTCAGAATGGAGAGGTTTGATCTTCTTGCAGTCCATGGGACTCTCAAGAGTCTTCTCCAGCACCATAATTCCAAAGCATCCATTCTTCGGCGATCAGCCTTCTTTATGGTCCAGCTCTCACTTCCATACATCACTACTGGGAAAACCATGGCTTTAACTATATGGACCTTTGTTGGCAAGGTGACGTCTCTACTTCTCAAGATGCTGTCTAGGCTTGTCATTGCCCTTCTCCCAAGAAGCAGGCGTCTTTTAATTTCGTGGCTGCTGTCACCATCTGCAGTGATCATGGAGCCCAAGAAAGTAAAATCTCTCACTGCCTCCATTTCTTCCCCTTCTATTTGCCAGGAGGTGATGGGACCAGTGGCCATGATCTTCGTTTTTTTGATGTTGAGCTTCAGACCATATTTTGCGCTCTCCTCTTTCACCCTCATTAAAAGGTTCTTTAATTCCTCCTCACTTTCTGCCATCAAGGTTGTGTCATCTGCATATCTGAGGTTGTTGATATTTCTTCCGGCAATCTAAATAACAGAGGCCAACCATAGAATATTGAGAAGCAAAGCAGCTAGTAAGCCTGATCTTTATTAAAACTGTTGCAAGAGGGTGCTCCCCCCACATGCAGGAGGGAGGAGGAGGACCCAGAACAAAGGGGTGCCCGCCCTTATGTAGACTTTTGAAATTGCCCACCCTCAAGCTCCAGACCTCCCCCGGAAACATCATCCATCCATCACAGAAAGAGGTGGTTTCCAGCAAAATCCTGCCTGGCAGAAAACCTGTCAATGGTGACTGATTGGATCACCTGGCTAGGCTGGCCTTTCTTTTGTAATGATAAACACTTAATTCCTGAGCCAGGTCACAGGCTTACCCTATTCATACCTTAAATGTGCCCTTAAGGCAGGAGTTGTAATCACAGAGACAATGGGGAGGTTTTTTTCATTTCCTCCCTCCTTGCAGAGAAACATTTGGTCAGTTTGGGAGAGTCAAAACGGTTTCAGGACTCTCTTCCTGTACTGTTTCAGACATGTGGTTTATGTATTTATGTACATGATTGCCTTGTACATTTAATTTACATATTTGAGACCTTAAATTCTTATAACAACAGTGCCGGGGTTCTGCCAGGGACCAGGGCGGCTGTGTCAGCTCCTGAACGCAATCTCTGCTTGCTCACACAGTTTCCTTCTTTATTCCAGTGCGTCTTCGCCTTGGTTCAGTATGGAGACATCATCCAGACAGAATTCGACCTGCAAGAGGAGAGGGGCAGCGCCGCCCTGGAAAAAATTAAGGCCATGACTCAAGTGCGCAACACGACCTGGACTGCATCCGCCATCCAGCATGTCCTGTGAGTTAATGGGAACCCTTGAGGAAGAACTCTGTGTGACCCAGAGGTCTGCTTCTGGGATATTCTGCCCCAAAGCTTGCAAACCAAACATTTCTTTTCTTTTCTGTTTTAAACAGAGATTCCATCTTCAACCCAAACTATGGGTCGCAGCTGAATGCCTTGAAGATCATAGTTGTGTTGACAGATGGGGAGATTTTTTTGGACCCCTTGGACATAGAAACGGTGATCAGTTTGACCAGGGAGGCAGGCATCACACGTTACGCCATTGGGGTGAGTTTTGCGTTCAGCAAGGATATTAGAGGCATTTTTCCATTGGACGTATCAGAACCTGAATTCTTTGGCACGACATCAGGTTGGGGAGGTGGGTTTTGGTCATGTGAAGGGAAATAATAAATAATAAGCGCTCAACCTGAAGCACATTCAACCCGAGGTATGACTGTATTGTAAGTGAGCTGGAACTGGTCTGTGACTGTAATAATAAAATTCAAATTCAAATCCAGTATTGCCTGGGTTGGGGTGTCCTCTGCAGGTCGGGGAGGCCTTTGAGAAGCCAAAAGCACTGCAGGAGCTGCAGCTGATCGCCTCCGACCCGGATGAAAGTCACCTCTTCCGCGTGACAAACTATTCTGCCCTGGCCGTCCTTCTGTCCATGCTGCAAGAGAAGATTATTGGCATTGAAGGTGAGGCGTTGGGGTATTTGTTCTTAGGCAAAGCTTCCTTAAACCAAAGCTGAAGGGGAAGGGGAACGAACCCAAAAGACAACAAAGGAAACTAAAAGTCTGTACGTTCCTTTTTCAATGTATAGTTAAGAGAGTAAGCTATGAGCCAGGATGTCCTCCTGAGCAGAACATCAGAAGTTGCCTCACACCAGATCGGATCGTTGGTTCATCTAGCCCAGTTTGCCTGCTCTGACTGGCAGCAGCTCTCCAGAACATTCCTAACCATACCTGGAGGTTCTGGAGTTTAAACCTGGCATGCAAAACAGTTGCTCTGACAGAGGGCTTTAAAAATAAAGTAAGGTGCTAGTCCTCATGGTCCTGAATAAAGGGTTGATATAGGAATATAGGAAGCTGTCTTATAGCAACTTAAGACCATTGGTCCATTGGGGCTGGGGGGGGTTGTTGTGGGGGGGTTGCTGTTGGTTTTTTGCATCTTTGTTTTAGATCTTGTTGCGATTTATGTGGAAATTGTTCCATTTGGCTGTGAATTTTTTTAATGTCTTATTTATTTTTCTTTTTTTAAAAAAATATCATTTTTATTGATTTTTCAATGAAAACAGCCAATCAACATATCCGCATCATAATCCAATGAAAAACAAGAAACTAAAATTTTTAAAAAGACCAAATTGTAGTCCAAATTGTAATTATTAATTTTTCCGGGCTCCCCATGGTCTGGACCTCTGAAGCATATCTCCAAATCTTCAGTCCTGCCTCGTCTCGTTGTTTTCATATTTTCCGCCTTCTGGTCTTAACACTTTAAAATTCTCTAATGCCTTATTTAATTTTCATGACTACTTTTGTTATGTTGTAGTTATATAATTTCCCCCCTTGGTCGCAAGCCACCTTGAGCATAGTTTGAACTGTGTGAGAAGGCAGCATACAAAATAAAATTATGTATGCAGCTCTGTACTGTCTACCCTGACTGGCAGGGAATACTTCTCAGCCCTAACTGGAGACGCCAAAGATTTTAACCTGGGACCTTCTGCATGCAAAGCAGGTGTTCTGCTATTGAGCTTTGGCCCTCTCAGAAATACCTCACTGACTTTCCTTCTCAGGAACGGAAGGTGCCATCTTGGAATTTGATCTGGCCCAAAGTGGCTTCAGCGTTCACCTCCTGCAAGAGGTAAAAATGTGGGGTTGGGGTTTTTTTGGGAGGTGGGCAATAGAAACAAAGAATTGTAGCGCTGAAAGGGACCCAAGGGTCATCTAGTCCAACCCGCTGCAACGCAGGAATTATGAACTTACTGGGCAGCCAGTGCTATCTGAGTTCCTTTGCTTTTTTTAAAGACCTATTTAACTTCAGGTTTAGTTAGGCATAGGCCTTCTTAAACCAAGGATGAGTCTGTGGTTCTCTAGTTGTCGTGGGACTATAGCTACCAAGACAGACAGACAGAAGAAGAAGAAGAAGAAGAGTTTGGATTTGATATCCCGCTTTATCTTCGTCTCACGGCACATAGTTAGACCGTGAAACTCACTCCCCGCAAGAAACAAAATGGCCACTAACTTGGAGGGCTTTAAAAAAGAGGGTTACTTAAATTAATGGAGGAAAAGGCTTACCAGCTGCTACTGAAAATATTATGTAATTCAAAACAAAAACAAAATTAAATGCTAAAATAACATTTTAAAACAAAACAAAACATTGCTTTATTGCAACACATGGCAGGAAGTGATTTCCTCCTATTCCTTTGATCTATATTAGGGCTACTAACTTTGTCTGGATTTTCACTTTGGGGAATATGACAACCCTAATCCACATTAGGATTTAACCTCCATCCGTCGGGCCTGTAAAACAGAGCTATTCCGCCTGGCTTTTAATCTGAATTCAGCCTGATCTTTTATTTCCCTTCTCTTCCCTCCCCCTCCCCTTTTATGAAGATCACCTGCTCTGGGATCCCACAGCTAATTCTCCCCTGGCCTCCTCGCTGGTCCAAGTGGGACCAATTCAGCCAGCTAGCCCTGGGGATTATCTAATTGAGTTTTGAATTTTATTGTTATTCATGTTTTTATACTGTATTTTATGCTGCTTTTATAATTAAGTGTTTTAAATTTGTTGTTAGCCGCCCTGAGCCCGGTTTTTGAACCAGGAAGGGCGGGGTATAAATAAAAATTTATTATTATTATATTATCAGGATTCCCCCTGGTTTAGGTGGGGATAACTGATAAAAAGGGACATAGATAGATAGATAGATAGATAGATAGATAGATAGATAGATGAGAGAGAGAGAGAGAGAAGCAGGGGATCTATCTATCTATCTATCTATCTATCTATCTATCTATTGGCTAAACTTTCACTGACCCATCTACTATCTGTTTCAGCGCTATATACTTTTTGGTGCTGTGGGAGCGTTTGACTGGGCCGGAGGGGTTCTTCTCTACGACATGGCAGACAAGACCGTGGTTTTCTTGAACGAGTCAATGGGCACTCCGGGTGCAAGAAACGGCTATTTAGGTAAGGACCCTCTCAGATGACTGTTGTTCCGCAACTCCTCTGAATGATTTGACTTTCAGGGACACAGGAAGCTACTTTTTCCCAGGGTCTGACAGTTGGTCTATCTAGCTCCATATTGTCAGCACAGAATGGCAGCAGCCCTCCGGGGTTTCAAGCAGGGAGTCGTTTCCCAGCGTTGCCTGGCGGAGGATCAAACCTTCTGCATGCAAAGCCGGCACACTGCCATTGAGTTCCCCTATAAAGAAAGCAAGATTCTTGTCTTTGTGGTTCTGTATTAAGGGTTGAGGTAAACAGGAACGTAGGAAGTTACGTTATACTGAGTCAGATCAGTGGCCCAACTCTCTGGGATTTCCAGCAAAGGATCATTTTCTCAGTCCTAACTGGAGATGCCGGGGATCAAACTCGCGACCTTCTGCATGCAAAGCAGGTTCTCTGCCACTGCGCCACAGCCTTTTCAATTCACTTCGAATGAATGGGTTTCATCCACTTAGCTCTGATCGACTGGGAGTGTGAGAACAAACAGATCAATGCAACTCTTGGCCCATAGAAGGACATTGAGATATATATCTTCATTGCTGACAGAGTCATCTATCCTCATCCATGTTCAAGGAGTTAGGTATGGGAAGAGGACCAGCTTTCTTTCATCACAACCTTTTTCTGACTTTCACCCTGACCTGCCCTCACAAGGCAGAGTCCCCGGAGGAGAGATTAGATGAGAAACCTGTGTCCCTCCATCTGCTCCTGGATGCAGCAGCCGCCGGTGCCCATTTGGGACTGGTAGGGTGACAGGCAGGGAGACGAACAGTAGGGGGAGCCAGAGCCAATGGCTGGTAGTGGCATAGTGCTCTGCTCGCTCCCCCCCGAAAAGTCTCTACTTTTTTTTTTTAATTGCTTTTCTATTACAGTGGTACCTCAGGTTACAGACGCTTCAGGTTACAGACTCCGCTAACCCAGAAATAGTGCTCTAGGTTAAGAACTTTGCTTCAGGATGAGAACAGAAATCGGGCTCTAGCGGCGCGGCGGCAGCAGGAGACCCCATTAGCTAAAGTGGTGCTTCAGGTTAAGAACAGTTTCAGGTTAAGAACGGACCTCCGGAACGAATTAAGTACTTAACCCGAGGTGCCACTGTATATCACATCATCAACACATACTCCGTCAAGCACAGGATAATAAGAAAGAAATAACATAAATATAAGACATATATAGGTGAATAATAATGATAACATAACTCAGGGAACCAGGCAGAGGGCCTTCTTGGTGGTGGCGCTGACGATTCACCGTGCTAGAGATAAACTAAAAACTTTAAATATTTGGGTTTCTTCTCCCTTTAGATTCACAGAATGTTTAAGGGATGAGTCCCCCTGCGTCCCCCCAGGAAAAAAGCACTGTCTATGCCATGGGTAGGCAACCTAAGGCCCGGGGGCCGGATCCTGCCCAATTGCCTTCTAAATATGGCCCACGGACGGTCCGGGAATCAGTGTGTTTTCACATGAGTAGAATGTGTGCTTTTATTTAAAATGCATCTCTGGGTTATTTGTGGGGCATAGGAATTCGTTCAGATATTTTTTTCAAAATATACTCCAGTCCACCACAAGGTCTGAGGGACAGTGGACCGGCCGCCTGTTGAAAAAGTTTGCTGACCCCTTTATGTACTCATAAACTGATGAGGAGGGAGAAACGAGAGAACCCAAAAACCAACCGTCTATCCATCCATCACTCCGCATTGTCCTTTGTGTTTAAAAGTCCCACCAGCTTCCCATCTTCTTCTTGACCTTGAGGAAGTTCTGCTTCTGGTCTCTTTCTCCTCCAGGCTACAGCGTGGGCGCGATCGACACGGCACGCGGCACTTTGGTCGTGGCGGGGGCCCCTCGACACAGCATCAAGGGGAAAGTGATGGTGTTCGAAGGAGACCGTTTAAAGCAGATCCTCCATGGGGAACAGGTATGTCATCGCTGGTTCTTCCACAGCGCCTGCCTTGGATCCTCCTCGTCTTCTCATTTGCCCGTAGGCATTTCCTGGATCAGTGCCCTTCTGGGTGCCAGGCTAAGCAGAGTTGACTGCAGACCAGCGGTTCTCAACCCACCCACCCCACTTGGAAGTTTCTGGCTGGTTTCGCTGGACCACTTAAGAAATCGTTTAGCTGTTGTTCTACAAACCAAAGCACATACATGATTTCATTTTAATAATGGCAGCCTTGTCTCTAGCTCAGGGTTGGGGACCTCAGGACCCTGTGGGCTCTCCCCAGACCATTCTTCCTCCTTAGCCACATCCTCTCTGCCCCCCCCCCCGAGACCAGGCTGAGGAGTACAACTCTGATGAGAAATGGTGGGATCCTACCCCTTCCCCTGCTCATGGCCAGAATCCCGAAACTCCACAGTAGTTGATTCGGAACAACGGTTTGCCGAGGGTCACAGTTTGGAAGATAATAGCTGGGCAGAACTGGGACGTGAACCGTAAGGAGAAGAAAGGGAAGAGAGTGAGATAGCAGGCTCTCTCTCACTGGAAGATGTGCAGCTTCTCAGTCCCAAGGCTAAGAGATTAGATAAGGTGGCTTCGCAAAAGGCTCAGTGGTTGAGAAATCAGGTGGCTAGGAGATGGGAGGACGGAAGTGACTAGAGGGAAGTGCGCTCTGAGAACGGCCGCTTGTTCTTTTGCTGCGTTCATTAAACATTTCTGTTACTGGTAAGAGACTGCTTTCTCTTTATACTGCTTATCTATGGCCAAGGGGGGAGAAAGCTGAGCCCCCAAAGCCAGACCCAGGCCACTCTCCTCACCAAAACCAAAATAAACTGTCACTGGTAGATGCTGGCACAGGGAGACAAGGCAAGGATTCCTGGATTCCTTGTTATATACAAGTATGTGCATTTATTATACCCTTGTATGTTTCTTTGGAATTCTTGTAGCTATTATATTACAAAGTGTCTATGTTTATATGATTTAGAGTTACGCACAGCTGATGAAGCCCCTTCGGGCGAAACAGGGGAATATCCAGTAATCCTTGTCTTGTCTGTCTGTGCCAACCATCTAACAGTGCCAGTTTCTTTTGTCTACCAGCTTGATAGATTAGACACTTAGAAGATTATTTCATGTCACTCTTCTAAGGAATAGTTCAGACAGAAAAATACAAGAGAAGATGAAGAAATTAGAAATGAATATATTACGGCACTGACAAAATAGGATTTGTGTTTTGTATATACTGGACTGGGTTGTCAACTGAATAAACTACCTTTTAATATACAGTGGTACCTCGGGTTAAGTACTTAATTCGTTCCGGAGGTCCGTTCTTAACCTGAAACTGTTCTTAGCCTGAAGCATCACTTTAGCTAATGGGGCCTCCTGCTGCCGCCGCACGATTTCTGTTCTCATCCTGAAGCAAAGTTCTTAACCTGAGGTACTATTTTTGGGTTAGCAGAGTCTGTAACCTGAAGCGTATGTAACCCGGAAGCATATGTAACCCAAGGTACCACTGTATTATGTCACAATGTTGATTTTGACACTATATGAAGCTCTATCTAATTTTTGAGGAGTAGTTTCTAGTAAATAAGTTTGCAGTTGTTATGATACAGCCTATTACGTTTAGATGTTTTTTCACTCTCCTCACCAGCCCGGCTTCACACCCTCCTTGCATGTGTTTGCCTGGCTGGAAATGTGCCCGTGAGCTCTGATCGTGCCTCTTTGCTTGCCCAGATAAAGGCTAGAAAAGGGGTTCATGACTGTGGATAGAAACTTGTTGTTGTTGTTTAGTCGTGTCCTTCGTGACCCCCTGGACCAGAGCACGCCAGTCACTCCTGTCTTCCACTGCCTCCCGCAGTTTGATCAAACTCATGCTGGTAGCTTCCAGAACACTGTCCCACCATCTCATCCTCTGTCGTCCCCTTCTTGTGCCCTCCATCTTTCCCAGCATCAGGGTCTTTTCCAGGGAGTCTTCTCTTCTCATGAGGTCGCCAAAGTATTGGAGCCTCAGCTTCACGATCTGTCCTTCCAGTGAGCACTCAGGGCTGATTTCCTTCAGAATGGAGAGGTTTGATCTTTTTGCAGTCCAGGGGACTCTCAAGAGTCTTCTCCAGCACCAGAATTCAAAAGCATCAATTCTTCGGCAATCAGCCTTCTTGATGGTCCAGCTCTCACTTTCATACTTCACTACTGGGAAAACCAGAGCTTTAACTCTACGGACCTTTGCTGGCAAGGATAGAAACTAGCCTACTGTATAGAGATAAGTTGTGCATTAATCGCTCTGTGTCAGGGACTGGGCAGAGGAAGACTGCTGGAGATCACCTCCCCACCCGGACCCTCAGAGGCAGATGAGGGGGAAAGCTGGGAAATCATAGGAGAGCCAGAGCAACACCCGGCTGACAAGTTGTCATTAGAAAGCATCCCAGACCCTCCATCTCCCAGAACCTGGCGGGCCTTGAAAGTAGGAGAGTGTCAGGGAACTGCCATCGGAGCTAGAGGTGGAGGGAGGGCTCCAGAGGGATGCCGGAGAGGGTCCCAGTAGGGAGAGAGGCAGCCCATCTACGGGGGAAGAAAATCAGCGTAACACCAGTGGAGAAGGGGGGCAGATGGGGGAATCGGAGGGGAGGCTCCAGGACTCCTCACCGGAGACCAGCGGAGAGAGTACGGGTACTCCGCTGCCCACACCCTCCCTGCGCAGAAGACTTCCGCGCAGGGAGAGTAGGAGGAGACTTGGCGTCAAACAGCTTTTATGCTGGAAAAGGTTCAAGACACGCCCACTGACGGATTCTGCCAGCGACTGAGACAGCCACGAAACTTGAGGCTGTCCAGACAGAGAGGGTTCAACCAGGCAACCTAGCCAGGAGTAGCAGCAACTTACGCACGAGCAACCCCTAGAACCATTACAGAGAGCAAAGAGCTCAAAGGCAGAGGGCACGTAGAGGAGATGATGGTGATGACGAATGAAGACGTGGGAGAGCAGGGGGTGGAGATTCACTCGGGACAGCGCCATTATCGAAGAGGCTGGGTTCTATAGCCTCTCACTGTAAAGTTTGAATTAAAAAAGGACGGTGAGAAACTTTCCCTTGTCTTTATGCTCTCCTGGGCAACCAGCCAGGAGCTGCTGACAGCATCCTGACTCTCTGTCTGCTTCTGGCCTTGGCCACCATTGGTTTGTGGCCCTTGTAGAGTTGCCCACCTTTGTTTCTACTAGTCATGTTGTGAGGGGAAATTAGTAGGTGGCAGCAGCATATTAGGAAAATCAATTAAGCCATTTCTGTCCTTACATCGAACACTGTGGAGCGCTCTCCCCAGAGAGGCTTTTCTGGTGCCTTCATTACCTATCTTTAGGCACCCAGGAGAAATGTTTCTCTTTAACCAGGCATTTGGCTGATTAACATTCTATGTCTTTAAAAATGTGTTTATGACAGGGGAGTTTTTGGGTTGGTTTTGGCTTTTTTCTTGTTTTTATTGAAGGAATGGGTTTCCCAAACCCAAAACTGACTGTGCAGGCATTTTTAAAACTGCACCAAAATCCCCATTTCTCCTTAGCTAAAATGCATAAACTTTAGCCGTTGAGCAAATGCAAAACAAGAACACAGCTCTCTCCCTTATCAGTTTGACGGCAAGACTGGCCTTGACTTTACCAGTAGAACAGACACAGACATATCTTATGTTCTGACCACAAATGACGGGGAGACCCAAGTCTGGGACTAACGCCAGAGCATGTTCTCGGAAGTAGTGACCTTTTGCTCCAAGATAGGAGTAGGAACAGGAATATCCTTTTATGGTCAGGAGTGCAGGAAGGAAATCCCTTTTATGGTTGAGAGTACCAGAGCAGGAACATATGTGATGTCAACCTGCATACATAGGCTGACGTGGTTGGAAGGAGGGAGAGGGTGCCTGGAGATATAAATACTGCATGAAACTTGTCATTTCTTTGGACTTGCTGTGGACTTGATCACGCAAGTGCCTTCTGCTATCCGGAGAGCAGAATAAACTCTTTCTTTGAACCAACTCGGTGTCATTTTGACTTCCTTCCTCCTGTCCCGGAGCAACGCAGACCCAATCAGTGAGTGAACTCCAATAAGGCTACATTATTACGTATTTGTGTTCTCATTTGAATTTTCATGTTGTGAACCGCCCTGTGACCTTCGGATGAAGGGCGGTACACAAACTTAATAAGTAAAAACTGTGGCAGTTTAAATCTGAATTCTCTGATTGTAAAAGCTAATTGCCTTCAGCCCTCAAGAGCAAAACTTAAATCATGCATATCCATATTCTTTATATATATCTATATCAGATAGATAGATAGATAGATAGATAGATAGATAGATAGAGATATAGATATAAAGAGAAAGTGGATGCCTTTTTTGTGGTCAGTGTTTGGAAGCGTTTGGGCACAGAAATCCCACTGGTGTTTATTCTCTTGGACTGCAGATTGGGTCCTATTTTGGCTCCGAGCTCTGCCTGTTGGACATCGACCTGGATGGGGTTACAGATCACCTGCTGGTGGGAGCTCCATTTTTCCATATGCAAGGGGAGGAAGGAAAGGTTTACCTTTATCGCTTGGATAGCCAGGTAAAACATCCTACTGTGCACATTTTAACACCTGTGCTAAAAAGATTGCACAGGCTGCCTGTTACTACGAATCAGTTTAATACAGAAGTGTGTCTTCAGCATACAGTCCAAATGCACCTTTGTGCAGACAGAATTTCTACACAATGCTTAGGAGCTGCCGCAGAAAATGCCCTCTCCCATTGCTCCGAAATCCAAGGGCGGTGGAACGACCAAGAGAGTCCTTCCAAATGCATTTATGATTTACAGTGGTGCCCCGCAAGACGAATGCCTCGCAAGACGAAAACCCGCTAGACGAAAGGGTTTTCCATTTTGGAGGTGCTTCGCAAAACGAATTTCCTATGGGCTTGCTTCGCAAGACGAAAATGTCTTGCGAGTTCCTGCAGGGTTTTTTCCTCCCCCCCCTTTTCCCAAGCCGCTAAGCCACTTATCAGCTGATCCGCTAAGCCGCTAAGCCGCTTAACAGCTGATCGCTAAGCCGCTTAACAGCTGATCCGCTAAGCCGCTTATCAGCTGATCCGCTAAGGCCGCTAAGCCGCTAATAGCGCTAAATCCGCTAATGGGCTTGCTTTGCAGACGAAAAAACCGCAAGACGAAGAGAATCGCGGAAGAGATTCTTTCGTCTTGCGAGGCACCACTGTATTTTTATTTCGCAAAATGTGTACCGTATTCTGCTTGATTGTAAGCGGAAACTCTAAGCAGTTTACCCCAAAAAGGGGGTGGGGATTGCCAGCAAAAGACAAAGTTAAAAGGAGTATTAAAAAAACAACATTTTAAATACAAATATAGTTAAAATCAGTGGTTAGGCTGGGGGGGGGGGACTAATTAAAACACCTATCAACTTTGACATGTTTTGGATAGCTTTCCCTGAACAAAAAATGTTCCGGTTTGCCGTGAGGGGAGAAGGAAGTGGGCGCTGTGATCGCAGCAACCCGGCTGCTGCTTATGGGAGTTTAGGGGTAGCTGGAAGGTCCTGGGGATGAAGCCAAGGGGTCCGGCAGCAATGAAATCCAGCTCCCAAAGGGCCCACCCAGTTCCAATGGAAAGTGAGTGAAGTCCCTTGCGAAGAGGTTTGGCAACTTAGAATATGCAGAACTTGCAGGTTCAACCCTCAGAATAAGAGAGCAAGAAGAACATATTTTTAAAGAAGAGTGGAAAATATTTATTGAATTGTACACAATAATTGTACACAGCTGAAAATGCTGGCAGCGTTAAGATCAATTCAACAGAGTAAACTCCAAACTGTTGGTTCCTGGGGCTGATCTGGACACAACATCCAGAGAATTACAGGATCCCCACCTCTGCAGTATAAATCTAAGCAAGTAGGCTAATAAATCCAATATCAGGAATAACTCAAATGTTCGTTTCCTTCTGTTTTACCCTGCCTCCTCCTGACAGCTATGGTCTTGGCCCAGGGCTCAGCAGCACAGAACTGGTTTCAAATACCAAAAGTCATTATTATAGCGGAGAGGGTTTCTGAACATCCACGGGTTCAAGTCCCACCAAGGGGGTGGGCAGCACACAGCTTCCCATAATCCTCAAAAAGTATTGAAAAGCATTAAAAATGTTTAATTAACGGAGGTTCTGCCCTCCAAACAAAAGCTTGCCCCTCCCTGTAATGCCCTTGGGGGGGATTTTTACCCATGATTTTGAAAAAAAGCTCAACAAGTTTGGGGGGGCCACCCCTAAGAGAAACCCTGGCTTTGCACCCACTTCGCTACTGAGCAGGGACGCGGGTGGCGCTGTGGGTTAAACCACAGAGCCTAGGACTTGCCGATCAGAAGGTTCGAATCCCCGTGACAGGGTGAGCTTCCGTTGCTCGGTCCCAGCTCCTGCCCACCTAGCAGTTCGAAAGCACGTCAAAGTGCAAGTAGATAAATAGGTACCCCTCTGGTGGGAAGGTAAACGGCGTTTCCGTGCGCTGCTCTGGTTTGCCAGAAGCGGCTTAGTCATGCTGGCCACATGACCCGGAAGCTGTACGCCGGCTCCCTCGGCCAATAAAGCAAGATGAGCGCGCAACCCCAGAGTCGGTCACGACTGGACCTAATGGTCAGGGATCCTTTTACATTTACATCACTATGGAGCAACCACAGCAGTCCACAGCCATTTGTGCTTAGAGAGCAGGGTGCCTTGGTCCAAGGGTATAGAATGGCCCCCAAACCTCTCACTTTTAGAAATCATGCATTAAAATTAGTCCGGTAAGGGCTCTTTCCACGGTCCATCTCATGATCTTTTCCGCGGCAGACCTGAGGACTGAAATCGCCTTGGTCCTGGACGGCTCTGGGAGCATCGACCCGCCGGACTTCGAGCGAGCCAGGAATTTCACCTACAGCTTGGTGAAGACGTCCTACGAGAAGTGTTTGGAGGTGACTGCCTCTGCCTTACGGGTTCATGATGGTGTTGTAACAAAACCTTCCCGTTTTCCCTTATGGGGTATCCAAGAGCCCGTGTAGAGTCCTTAAGTGGGCTCCCTATCGGTAGGAGAAAATTTGTTGTTGTTTAGTCGTTTCCGCCTCTTCGTGACCCCCTGGACCAGAGCACGCCAGGCACCTCTGTCCTCCACTACCTCCCGCAGTTTGGTCAAACTCATGCTGGTAACCTCGAAAACACTGTCCCACCATCTCGTCCTCTGTCGCCCCCTTCTCCTTGTGCCCTCCATCTTTCCCAACATCAGGGTCTTTTCCAGGGAGTCTTCTCTTCTCATGAGGTGGCCAAAGTATTGGAGCCTCAGCTTCACGATCTGTCCTTCCAGTGAGCACTCAGGGCTGATTTCCTTAAGAATGGATGCGTTTGATCTTCTTGCAGTCCATGGGACTCTCAAGAGTCTTCTCCAGCACCATAATTCAAAAGCATCAATTCTTCGGCAATCAGCCTTCTTTATGGTCCAGCTCTCACTTCCATACATCACTACTGGGAAAACCATAGCTTTAAGTATACGGACCTTTGTTGGCAAGGTGACGTCTCTACTTCTCAAGATGCTGTCTAGGCCTGTCATTGCTTTTTTCCCAAGAAGCAGGCGTCTTTTAATTTCGTGGCTGCTGTCACCATCTGCAGTGATCATGGAGCCCAAGAAAGTAAAATCTCTCACTGCCTCCATTTCTTCCCCTTCTATTTGCCAGGAGGTGATGGGACCAGTGGCCATGATCTTCGTTTTTTTGATGTTGAGCTTCAGACCATATTTTGCGCTCTCCTCTTTCACCCTCATTAAAAGGTTCTTTAATTCCTCCTCACTTTCTGCCATCAAGGTTGTGTCATCTGCATATCTGAGGTTGTTGATATTTCTTCCGGCAATCTAAATAACAGAGGCCAACCATAGAATATTGAGAAGCAAAGCAGCTAGTAAGCCTGATCTTTATTAAAACTGTTGCAAGAGGGTGCTCCCCCCACATGCAGGAGGGAGGAGGAGAACCAGAATAAAAGGTTTGCCTGCCGTTATGTAGACTTTTGAAATTGCCCACCCTCAAGCTCCAGACCTCCCCCGGAAACATCATCCATCCATCACAGAAAGAGGTGGTTTCCAGCAAAATCCTGCCTGGCAGAAAACCTGTCAATGGTGACTGATTGGATCACCCAGCTAGGCTGGCCTTTCTTTTGTAATGATAAACACTTAATTCCTGAGCCAGGTCACAGGCTTACCCTATTCATACCTTAAATGTGCCCTTAAGGCAGGAGTTGTGATCACAGAGACAATGGGGAGGTTTTTTTCATTTCCTCCCTCCTTGCAGAGAAACATTTGGTCAGTTTGGGAGAGTCAAAACGGTTTCAGGACTCTCTTCCTGTACTGTTTCAGACATGTGGTTTATGTATTTATGTACATGATTGCCTTGTACATTTAATTTACATATTTGAGACCTTAAATTCTTATAACAACAGTGCCGGGGTTCTGCCAGGGACCAGGGCGGCTGTGTCAGCTCCTGAACGCAATCTCTGCTTGCTCACACAGTTTCCTTCTTTATTCCAGTGCGTCTTCGCCTTGGTTCAGTATGGAGACATCATCCAGACAGAATTCGACCTGCAAGAGGAGAGGGGCAGCGCCGCCCTGGAAAAAATTAAGGCCATGACTCAAGTGCGCAACACGACCTGGACTGCATCTGCCATCCAGCATGTCCTGTGAGTTAATGGGAACCCTTGAGGAAGAACTCTGTGTGACCCAGAGGTCTGCTTCTGGGATATTCTGCCCCAAAGCTTGCAAACCAAACATTTCTTTTCTTTTCTGTTTTCAACAGAGATTCCATCTTCAACCCAAACTATGGGTCGCAGCTGAATGCCTTGAAGATCATAGTTGTGTTGACAGATGGGGAGATTTTTTTGGACCCCTTGGACATAGAAACGGTGATCAGTTTGACCAGGGAGGCAGGCATCACACGTTACGCCATTGGGGTGAGTTTTGCGTTCAGCAAGGACATTAGAGGCATTTTTCCATTGGACGTATCAGAACCTGAATTCTTTGGCACGACATCAGGTTGGGGAGGTGGGTTTTGGTCATGTGAAGGGAAATAATAAATAATAAGCGCTCAACCTGAAGCACATTCTGTTATGTAGTGTAGTTTCACCCTGGGCCAACAGGGGGATACTGTATATAGTTTTCACTCAGGTCTGTAGATAGTTTTCACTCAGGTCCGCGGCAGTTATTTTAGGCGGGAACTCTGGGCTGTTGTGGTTACAATGTGACAGCCGGCTGCCTATAAATACAGGCCGGCTGAGCTGTCGCAGTCAGTTGTATTCCAGCTTACCATAATAAAGAGCTACTTGAAGAAATCGCTGTGCCGGCTGCTATGTCAACCCACGACTTAACACTGGCGACGAGGATGGGATAGATGGACATCAGAGCACAGCCAGATGCGGCCAGCCTCTGAACTGAGCTGAATCACTGAGCTGAATCACAGAGCGAAATCACTGAGCGAAATCACTGGGCAGAACCAATTCAGAGCTGACTGTTCTGGCTAGAGCACTGTGTTCCATCCATCGCCCTTCACGCCGGCATCGGAATCATGGCTTCACTTGTGCCTCTACCGCCGTTTGCGCCAGCCTCTGAATCGTGGGACTCCTACCTCGCTCGGTTCGACTGCTACCTCCAAGCCAACGAGCTGACAGCAGTATCAAAGGATCGGAAGCGGGGCCTATTCCTCAGCCTCTGTGGGCCTGAGGTGTTTGAGACGGCCCGAGCGTTGGTTGCGCCTGAAGCAGTCCAGGCAACACCATGGGACACGATCCAAGAGAAGCTCCGCAACCACTACGCACCAAAGCCGTCCAAGATTGCTGCCCGCCATGCGTTCTACCACCGGAACCAGGCAGAGGGGGAGTCAATCAACAACTACACCACCGCCCTGCGACAGGCTGCAATGCACTGTGAGTTCCGAGACTTAGACGATGCCCTGATGGATCGAATCGTCTGCGGGGTCCGGGACATCCATCTGCAACGGCGCCTCCTAGCCAAGCCAGACCTCACGCTACAGAAAGCCATTGAGGAGGCTGTGGCCTCAGAAGCTGCTGAACACTCCGCCCAGGAGATCCGCAAGTCCAGCAGCCCGCGTCTTGCTAGGGAGCCAGTTCCAGTGCATCATGAAGAGGCCAGCAGTGATGAGGCATCCTCCAGTGAAGACGATGACGTGCACCAGACAAAGCGGGAGCGCAGGAAGTTCCAACAGAAGTCCAAGGGCCAACCGGAATGTGCTGGCTGCGGAGGCAACCATTCCCGTGCCAAGTGTCGATTCAGAGACGCCATCTGTAGGAAGTGTTCCAGAAGGGGCCACATCGCTAAGGTCTGCCGATCGGCTCCGTCTGACACCCCCCCTTCATCGACTCGCAAGTCCAAGTCTTCACTCCAGTCTGCCAAGGAAAGTTGTTTCGCTCTCACCAACTGCCGCTGCCCGTCTGGAACCACGATTGGCCAAACCGACTCGCCTACGCGACGCAAGCTGAACGTCACGGTGCTCATTGAAGGAGCTCCATGTGACATGGAGATTGACACCGGGTCTGCCCTGTCCATCGTGTCATGGAGCACCATCAAAAGACTGGTACCCAGAGTGTCCAAAAGGCAACTCGACTCTCACCGCGTACACCTGAGAGACTACCAGGGAAACGACATTCCCGTGGTAGGCGTTGGCCGGTTCCGGATCGCTTTCAAGGATTTTTCGGGCCTGCTCCGGTTGGTGGTGGTCGAAGGTCAGCGGCCAAGCCTCCTAGGGCTAGACTGGTTTGATGCCCTCGGCCTGGAAGTCACCGGCATCAACTGCATCTCTAACGCAGAGACTGAGGGTCTGGTCAAAGACTTTGCCGAGGTTTTTGACGGCACCTTGGGCCAATATACAGGTACGCCCATCTCCTTTAGCCTTGATCCACAAGTCGCCCCCATCAAGCTAAAGCCACGCCGGGTTCCCTTTGCTCTCAAGGCTAAGGTGGACGAACAACTGGACAAACTGATCGCCCAAGGAGTTTTGGAGCCGGTTGACCACGCAAAGTGGGAAACCCCCATCGTCACGCCTGTCAAGCCAGATGGGTCGGTGAGAATCTGCGCTGACTACAAGTGCACGATCAACAAGGCACTTCAGCAGCACGCTTATCCGGTTCCTGTTGTCCAACACCTGCTGCATTCCCTGGGTGAGGGTAAGGTCTTCGCTAAGCTGGACCTTGCCCAAGCCTATCAACAACTGCCAGTCGATGATGCCACTGCTGAAGCCCAGACGATCGTCACCCACCGGGGGGCTTTCCGTTGCCGCCGGTTGCAGTTCGGGGTGAGTGTGGCTCCTGGCATCTTCCAAAGCCTTATGGAGCGTCTCCTGCAAGGGCTTCCGGGCGTGGTACCATATTTTGATGACGTCTTGGTGTCTGCAGACTCACACCAGCAGCTGTTCGAGCGCCTCCGTGCCGTGCTGACCAGGTTCCAGGAGGCCGGGCTCAAGGTAAAGAGGGAGAAGTGCCAGATCGCCGTTCCACAGGTAGAGTTCCTGGGCTATCTTATCGATGCCTCTGGTCTTCATCCAACCACATCCAAGATCCGCGCTATCCAGCAGGCCCCCACCCCAAAGAACAAAACGGAGTTGCAGGCATTCCTGGGGCTGCTGAACTTTTATAACATGTTCCTGCCCCACAAAGCCACAGTGGCTGAGCCTCTTCACCGACTCCTTAGCACTAAGACGCCTTGGGCCTGGGGTCATCGGGAGACGGCGGCCTTCAACGCGGTCAAGGCTCTCCTTTCTTCAGATAGTGTGCTGGTACAGTACAGTGAATCCAGGCCGCTGGTCCTTGCCTGCGACGCCTCACCTTTTGGCATCGGTGCTGTCCTTAGTCACCGTTTTCCAGATGGAAGAGAAGCACCGCTCGCCTACTTTTCCAGGACACTATCTCCGACGGAACGGAATTACAGCCAGCTCGACAAGGAGGCATTGGCACTTGTGGCTGGAGTGAAGAGGTTCCATGAATACCTCTATGGCAGGACTTTTGACCTCATCACTGACCACAAGCCACTCCTGGGCCTCCTCGCCGGTGATCGTCCAACTCCACCGGTCCTCTCACCACGCATGCTGCGATGGACTGTTTTCCTGGCTGCCTACCACTACCGGCTCATCCATCGCCCGGGGAAATCGATGGGCCATGCCGACGCCCTCAGCCGTTGCCCTCTTCCAGCATTTGTGGAAGACCCGGCTCCAGCTTCATCGCTCCTTCTGATTGAGGATCTTCCGGCAGCGCCTGTATCGGCTGCCACTGTGGCCTCCGCATCTGCCCAGGATCGCACCATCAGCCGGGTGCTCAACTGGGTGTGGAGGGGGTGGCCACAAGGGCCTTTTGCATCGGAGTTCCAGCCCTTCGCAACCAGACAACATGAACTCTCAGCTCATCGTGGCTGCCTGCTGTGGGGAGACCGCGTCGTGATTCCCCAGGGACTCCGTCAGCGCGTCCTGGAGGCTCTGCACGTTGGCCACCCGGGAATTGTCAAAATGAAGGCGTTGGCTCGGTGTTACGTCTGGTGGCCTAATATGGACGATGCCATCACTGCCTGGGTGTCCGCCTGTCAAGCGTGCCAGGAGTCGAGGCCTGCACCACCGGCAGCTAAGGGACACACCTGGGAGACGCCAAAGACACCCTGGTCGAGGGTGCACATCGATCTGGCTGGCCCCTTTCACGGCCGGACCTTTATGGTAGTGGTGGACGCCTATTCCAAATGGCTGGAGGTCGCACTGATGCCCTCCACCACTACCGAAGCTGTCATCCGGGTGCTGCGAGGCCTGTTTGCAACGCATGGGTGTCCTGATGTCCTTGTCTCTGACAACGGACCGCAGTTCACGTCAGGCACGTTTGAGCGGTATCTTTTGGGACTGGGCATCCGCCATGCCCTAACGGCACCCTTTCATCCATCCAGCAACGGGCAAGCGGAAAGAATGGTGCGCTCGACAAAAGAGGCACTGGCGCGCCTGGGCCGGGGAGACTGGCATGAGCGGGTCGCCGAATACTTGTTCGTGCAACACATCACCCCTCATGCGGCCACAGGGAGGAGTCCTGCTGAACTGCTTATGGGCCGCCGCCTCAGGTCACCGCTCGACCGGCTACACCCAGACTTTGCCGTGGCTGAACCCCCAGGCTGTGCCAACGCACCACGGTCATTTGTCCCAGGAAACCAGGTCTTTGCCCGGAACTATGTGGGGGACATCCCTTGGGTGCCAGCCACAGTAGTGGGAGTCACTGGACCTCGCTCGTACCAGGTGGCACTCGAAGACGGACGCTTGTGGCGACGGCACATAGACCAGCTTAGGCGCAGGGTTGGGGACTTGGACACTACCGAGGTGCCCCCAACTGCGCTTGCGGCTCCAGAAGAGACACGTACAGATGGCGAGGCCCCACCTACACCTCCCTCGCAAACTGCCAGCGTGGAGCCGAACCAAGCCGTTTCAGAACAGACTCAGACCACTCCACTTGCGGAGGCTCCACCCACAGCAGCGGATCCAGGGGAGTTGGTTCCAACGCCACCTAGGGTCGCACCACAGCCTCAGCGAGAACTGTGTGGCCCTCCGGACTTGGCTACCAGTTCCCGGCGGTCTGGCAGAGTTTCCAAGCGCCCAACTTATTTAAAGGACTATGTTGTTGGACAGGTATCACTGTTGGTCTAAGTATGGGAAATGTAACCGATATGCTTTTGTGCTTAATGGAACCATTACGCGTAGTGCTGTATATAAGGAAACCATTACGATTGTAACTAACGCCTTATCTCGGTGGGGAGGGGTGTTATGTAGTGTAGTTTCACCCTGGGCCAACAGGGGGATACTGTATATAGTTTTCACTCAGGTCTGTAGATAGTTTTCACTCAGGTCCGCGGCAGTTATTTTAGGCGGGAACTCTGGGCTGTTGTGGTTACAATGTGACAGCCGGCTGCCTATAAATACAGGCCGGCTGAGCTGTCGCAGTCAGTTGTATTCCAGCTTACCATAATAAAGAGCTACTTGAAGAAATCGCTGTGCCGGCTGCTATGTCAACCCACGACTTAACACATTCAACCCGAGGTATGACTGTATTGTAAGTGAGCTGGAACTGGTCTGTGACTGTAATAATAAAATTCAAATTCAAATCCAGTATTGCCTGGGTTGGGGTGTCCTCTGCAGGTCGGGGAGGCCTTTGAGAAGCCAAAAGCACTGCAGGAGCTGCAGCTGATCGCCTCCGACCCGGATGAAAGTCACCTCTTCCGCGTGACAAACTATTCTGCCCTGGCCGTCCTCCTGTCCATGCTGCAGGAGAAGATCATTGGCATTGAAGGTGAGGCGTTGGGATATTTGGCTTTAGGTAAAGCTTCCTTAAACCAAAGCTGAAGGGGAAGGGGAACGAACCCAAAAGACAACAAAGGAAACTAAAAGTCTGTACGTTCCTTTTTCAATGTATGGTTAAGAGAGTAAGCTATGAGCCAGGATGTCCTCCTGAGCAGAACATCAGAAGTTGCCTCACACCAGATCGGATCGTTGGTTCATCTAGCCCAGTTTGCCTGCTCTGACTGGCAGCAGCTCTCCAGAACATTCCTAACCATACCTGGAGGTTCTGGAGTTTAAACCTGGCATGCAAAACAGTTGCTCTGACAGAGGGCTTTAAAAATAAAGTAAGGTGCTAGTCCTCATGGTCCTGAATAAAGGGTTGATATAGGAATATAGGAAGCTGTCTTATAGCAACTTAAGACCATTGGTCCATTGGGGCTGGGGGGGGGTTGTTGTGGGGGGGTTGCTGTTGGTTTTTTGCATCTTTGTTTTAGATCTTGTTGTGATTTATGTGGAAATTGTTCCATTTGGTTGTGAATTTTTTTAATCTCTTATTTATTTTTCTTTTTAAAAAAATCATTTTTATTGATTTTTCAATGAAAACAGCCAATCAACATATCCGCATCATAATCCAATGAAAAACAAGAAACTAAAATTTTTAAAAAGACCAAATTGTAGTCCAAATTATAATTATTAATTTTTCCGGGCTCCCCAAAGTCTGGACCTCTGAAGTGTATCTCCAAATCTTCAGTCCTGCCTCTTCTCGTTGTTTTCATTATTTTCCACCTTCTGGTCTTCACACTTCTCTAATGTCGTATTTAATTTTCATGACTACTTTTGTTATGTTGTAGTTATCTAATTTCCCCCCTTGGTCGCAAGCCGCCTTGAGCATGGTTTGAGCATAGAAGGCAGCATACAAAATAAAATTATGTATGCAGCTCAGTACTGTCTACCCTGACTGGCAGGGACTCGCCAGGGTTTTAGGCAAGGAATATTTCTCAGCCCTAACTGGAGATGCCAAGGATTTTAACCTGGGACCTTCTGCATGCAAAGCAGGTGTTCTGCTATTGAGCTTTGGCCCTCTCAGAAATACCTCACTGACTTTCCTTCTCAGGAACGGAAGGTGCCATCTTGGAATTTGATCTGGCCCAAAGTGGCTTCAGCGTTCACCTCCTGCAAGAGGTAAAAATGTGGGGTTGGGGTTTTTTGGGGAGGTGGGCAATAGAAACAAAGAATTGTAGCGCTGAAAGGGACCCGAGGGTCATCTTTTTTTTTTTTAAGATATTTATTAGAATTTTACAAAATGAAAAACGAAAAAAGAAAAATACAAAATGAAAATAATTAAAAAAACAATTCCATCTTTCAATCACTTATCTTTCATTTGCTTGTTGTATTCCCGTTCAATTTGTTAGTTCAGCAAATCCTTTCCCTCTTTGTTTATCCTAATCTTTAATCTTAAAATAATGTAACATTAAATTTTGCCTGTTAATAGTCCATTTTTTCCTACTCCTTATAGTGTTGTAGCTAAAAACCACATAACTTTTCATCCAACATCATTCTAACATTCATTAATTTTACAATGTTTCTGTAGGTAGTCTTTGGGACCTGAGGGTCATCTAGTCCAACCCACTGCAACGCAGGAATTATGAACTTACTAGGCAGCCAGTGCTATCTGAGTTTATTTGCTTTTTTAAAAGACCTATTTAACTTCAGGTTTAGTTGGGCATAGGCCTTCTTAAACCAAGGATGAGCAGTCTGTGGTTCTCTAGTTGTCGTGGGACTACAGCTGCCAAGAAAGACAGAAGAAAGGACTTCTTCACACGGCACGTAGTTAGACCCTGAAACTCACTCCCCGCAAGAAACAAAAATGGCCACTAACTTGGAGGGTTTTAAAAAGAGGGTTGCCAAAATTAATGGAGGAAAAGGCTTACCAGCGGCTACTGAAAATATTATGGTGCGCCCGCCCCCCACCGTATGTAATTCAAAACAAAAACAATATTTAATACTGAAATAACATTTTAAAACAAAACAAAACATTGATTTATTGCAACACGTGGCAGGATCTGATTTCCTCCTATTCCTTCAATCTATATTAGGGCTACTAACTTTGTCTGGATTTTCACAACCCTAATCCATATTAGGATTTAACCTGTCGGGCCTGTAAGACAGAGCTATTCCTCCTGGCCTTTAATTTGAATTCAGCCTGATCTTTTATTTCCCTTCTCTTCCCTCCCCCTCCCCTTTTATGAAGATCACCCGCTCTGGGATCCCACAGCTAATTCTCCCCTGGCCTCCTCGCTGGTCCAAGTGGGACCAATTCAGCCAGCTAGCCCTGGGGATTATCTAATTGAGTTTTGAATTTTATTGTTATTCATGTTTTTATACTGTATTTTATGCTGCTTTTATAATTAAGTGTTTTAAATTTGTTGTTAGCCGCCCTGAGCCCGGTTTTTGAACCAGGAAGGGCGGGGTATAAATAAAAATTTATTATTATTATATTATCAGGATTCCCCCTGGTTTAGGTGGGGATAACTGATAAAAAGGGACATAGATAGATAGATAGATAGATAGATGAGAGAGAGAGAGAGAGAAGCAGGGGATCTATCTATCTATCTATCTATCTATCTATCTATCTATCTATTGGCTAAACTTTCACTGACCCATCTACTATCTGTTTCAGCGCTATATACTTTTTGGTGCTGTGGGAGCGTTTGACTGGGCCGGAGGGGTTCTTCTCTACGACATGGCAGACAAGACCGTGGTTTTCTTGAACGAGTCAATGGGCACTCCGGGTGCAAGAAACGGCTATTTAGGTAAGGACCCTCTCAGATGACTGTTGTTCCGCAACTCCTCTGAATGATTTGACTTTCAGGGACACAGGAAGCTACTTTTTCCCAGGGTCTGACAGTTGGTCTATCTAGCTCCATATTGTCAGCACAGAATGGCAGCAGCCCTCCGGGGTTTCAAGCAGGGAGTCGTTTCCCAGCGTTGCCTGGCGGAGGATCAAACCTTCTGCATGCAAAGCCGGCACACTGCCATTGAGTTCCCCTATAAAGAAAGCAAGATTCTTGTCTTTGTGGTTCTGTATTAAGGGTTGAGGTAAACAGGAACGTAGGAAGTTTACGTTATACTGAGTCAGATCAGTGGCCCAACTCTCTGGGATTTCCAGCAAAGGATCATTTTCTCAGTCCTAACTGGAGATGCCGGGGATCAAACTCGCGACCTTCTGCATGCAAAGCAGGTTCTCTGCCACTGCGCCACAGCCTTTTCAATTCACTTCGAATGAATGGGTTTCATCCACTTAGCTCTGATCGACTGGGAGTGTGAGAACAAACAGATCAATGCAACTCTTGGCCCATAGAAGGACATTGAGATATATATCTTCATTGCTGACAGAGTCATCTATCCTCATCCATGTTCAAGGAGTTAGGTATGGGAAGAGGACCAGCTTTCTTTCATCACAACCTTTTTCTGACTTTCGCCCTGACCTGCCCTCACAAGGCAGAGTCCCCGGAGGAGAGATTAGATGAGAAACCTGTGTCCCTCCATCTGCTCCTGGATGCAGCAGCCGCCGGTGCCCATTTGGGACTGGTAGGGTGACAGGCAGGGAGACGAACAGTAGGGGGAGCCAGAGCCAATGGCTGGTAGTGGCATAGTGCTCTGCTCGCTCCCCCCCCGAAAAGTCTCTACTTTTTTTTTTTAATTGCTTTTCTATTACAGTGGTACCTCAGGTTACAGACGCTTCAGGTTACAGACTCCGCTAACCCAGAAATAGTGCTCTAGGTTAAGAACTTTGCTTCAGGATGAGAACAGAAATCGGGCTCTAGCGGTGCGGCGGCAGCAGGAGACCCCATTAGCTAAAGTGGTGCTTCAGGTTAAGAACAGTTTCAGGTTAAGAACGGACCTCCGGAACGAATTAAGTACTTAACCCGAGGTGCCACTGTATATCACATCATCAACACATACTCCGTCAAGCACAGGATAATAAGAAAGAAATAACATAAATATAAGACATATATAGGTGAATAATAATGATAACATAACTCAGGGAACCAGGCAGAGGGCCTTCTTGGTGGTGGCGCTGACGATTCACCGTGCTAGAGAAGAAACTAAAAACTTTAAATATTTGGGTTTCTTCTCCCTTTAGATTCACAGAATGTTTAAGGGATGAGTCCCCCTGCGTCCCCCCAGGAAAAAAGCACTGTCTATGCCATGGGTAGGCAAACTAAGGCCCGGGGGCCGGATCCTGCCCAATCACCTTCTAAATATGGCCCACGGACAGTCCGGGAATCAGTGTGTTTTCACATGAGTAGAATGTGTCCTTTTATTTAAAATGCATCTCTGGGTTATTTGTGGGGCATAGGAATTCGTTCAGATATTTTTTTCAAAATATACTCCAGTCCACCACAAGGTCTGAGGGACAGTGGACCGGCCGCCTGTTGAAAAAGTTTGCTGACCCCTTTATGTACTCATAACCTGATGAGGAGGGAGAAACGAGAGAACCCAAAAACCAACCGTCTATCCATCCATCGCTCTGCATTGTCCTTTGTGTTTAAAAGTCCCACCAGCTTCCCATCTTCTTCTTGACCTTGAGGAAGTTCTGCTTCTGGTCTCTTTCTCCTCCAGGCTACAGCGTGGGCGCGATCGACACGGCACGTGGCACTTTGGTCGTGGCGGGGGCCCCTCGACACAGCATCAAGGGGAAAGTGATGGTGTTCGAAGGAGACCGTTTAAAGCAGATCCTCCATGGGGAACAGGTATGTCATCGCTGGTTCTTCCACAGCGCCTGCCTTAGATCCTCCTCGTCTTCTCATTTGCCCGTAGGCATTTCCTGGATCAGTGCCCTTCTGGATGCCAGGCTGGTTTCGCTGGACCACTTAAGAAATCGTTTAGCTGTTGTTCTACAAACCAAAGCACATACATGATTTCATTTTAATAATGGCAGCCTTGTCTCTAGCTCAGGGTTGGGGACCTCAGGACCCTGTGGGCTCTCCCCAGACCATTCTTCCTCCTTAGCCACATCCTCTCTGCCCCCCCCCCCCGAGACCAGGCTGAGGAGTACAACTCTGATGAGAAATGGTGGGATCCTACCCCTTCCCCTGCTCATGGCCAGAATCCCGAAACTCCACAGTAGTTGATTCGGAACAACGGTTTGCCGAGGGTCACAGTTTGGAAGATAATAGCTGGGCAGAACTGGGACGTGAACCGTAAGGAGAAGAAAGGGAAGAGAGTGAGATAGCAGGCTCTCTCTCACCGGAAGATGTGCAGCTTCTCAGTCCCAAGGCTAAGAGATTAGATAAGGTGGCTTCGCAAAAGGCTCAGTGGTTGAGAAATCAGGTGGCTAGGAGATGGGAGGACGGAAGTGACTAGAGGGAAGTGCGCTCTGAGAACGGCCGCTTGTTCTTTTGCTGCGTTCATTAAACATTTCTGTTACTGGTAAGAGACTGCTTTCTCTTTATACTGCTTATCTATGGCCAAGGGGGGAGAAAGCTGAGCCCCCAAAGCCAGACCCAGGCCACTCTCCTCACCAAAACCAAAATAAACTGTCACTGGTAGATGCTGGCACAGGGAGACAAGGCAAGGATTCCTGGATTCCTTGTTATATACAAGTATGTGCATTTATTATACCCTTGTATGTTTCTTTGGAATTCTTGTAGCTATTATATTACAAAGTGTCTATGTTTATATGATTTAGAGTTACGCACAGCTGATGAAGCCCCTTCGGGCGAAGCAGGGGAATATCCAGTAATCCTTGTCTTGTCTGTCTGTGCCAACCATCTAACAGTGCCAGTTTCTTTTGTCTACCAGCTTGATAGATTAGACACTTAGAAGATTATTTCATGTCACTCTTCTAAGGAATAGTTCAGACAGAAAAATACAAGAGAAGATGAAGAAATTAGAAATGAATATATTACAGCACTGACAAAATAGGATTTGTGTTTTGTATATACTGGACTGGGTTGTCAACTGAATAAACTACCTTTTAATATACAGTGGTACCTCGGGTTAAGTACTTAATTCGTTCCGGAGGTCCGTTCTTAACCTGAAACTGTTCTTAGCCTGAAGCATCACTTTAGCTAATGGGGCCTCCTGCTGCCGCCGCACGATTTCTGTTCTCATCCTGAAGCAAAGTTCTTAACCTGAGGTACTATTTTTGGGTTAGCAGAGTCTGTAACCTGAAGTGTATGTAACCTGAAGCATATGTAACCCAAGGTACCACTGTATTATGTCACAATGTTGATTTTGACACTATATGAAGCTCTATCTAATTTTTGAGGAGTAGTTTCTAGTAAATAAGTTTGCAGTTGTTATGATACAGCCTATTACGTTTAGATGTTTTTTCACTCTCCTCACCAGCCCGGCTTCACACCCTCCTTGCATGTGTTTGCCTGGCTGGAAATGTGCCCGTGAGCTCTGATCGTGCCTCTTTGCTTGCCCAGATAAAGGCTAGAAAAGGGGTTCATGACTGTGGATAGAAACTTGTTGTTGTTGTTGTTTAGTCGTGTCCTTCGTGACCCCCTGGACCAGAGCACGCCAGTCACTCCTGTCTTCCACTGCCTCCCGCAGTTTGATCAAACTCATGCTGGTAGCTTCCAGAACACTGTCCCACCATCTCATCCTCTGTCGTCCCCTTCTTGTGCCCTCCATCTTTCCCAGCATCAGGGTCTTTTCCAGGGAGTCTTCTCTTCTCATGAGGTCGCCAAAGTATTGGAGCCTCAGCTTCACGATCTGTCCTTCCAGTGAGCACTCAGGGCTGATTTCCTTCAGAATGGAGAGGTTTGATCTTTTTGCAGTCCAGGGGACTCTCAAGAGTCTTCTCCAGCACCAGAATTCAAAAGCATCAATTCTTCGGCAATCAGCCTTCTTGATGGTCCAGCTCTCACTTTCATACTTCACTACTGGGAAAACCAGAGCTTTAACTCTACGGACCTTTGCTGGCAAGGATAGAAACTAGCCTACTGTATAGAGATAAGTTGTGCATTAATCGCTCTGTGTCAGGGACTGGGCAGAGGAAGACTGCTGGAGATCACCTCCCCACCCAGACCCTCAGAGGCAGATGAGGGGGAAAGCTGGGAAATCATAGGAGAGCCAGAGCAACACCCGGCTGACAAGTTGTCATTAGAAAGCATCCCAGACCCTCCATCTCCCAGAACCTGGCGGGCCTTGAAAGTAGGAGAGTGTCAGGGAACTGCCATCGGAGCTAGAGGTGGAGGGAGGGCTCCAGAGGGATGCCGGAGAGGGTCCCAGTAGGGAGAGAGGCAGCCCATCTACGGGGGAAGAAAATCAGCGTAACACCAGTGGAGAAGGGGGGCAGATGGGGGAATCGGAGGGGAGGCTCCAGGACTCCTCACCGGAGACCAGCGGAGAGAGTACGGGTACTCCGCTGCCCACACCCTCCCTGCGCAGAAGACTTCCGCGCAGGGAGAGTAGGAGGAGACTTGGCGTCAAACAGCTTTTATGCTGGAAAAGGTTCAAGACACGCCCACTGACGGATTCTGCCAGCGACTGAGACAGCCACGAAACTTGAGGCTGTCCAGACAGAGAGGGTTCAACCAGGCAACCTAGCCAGGAGTAGCAGCAACTTACGCACGAGCAACCCCTAGAACCATTACAGAGAGCAAAGAGCTCAAAGGCAGAGGGCACGTAGAGGAGATGATGGTGATGACGAATGAAGACGTGGGAGAGCAGGGGGTGGAGATTCACTCGGGACAGCGCCATTATCGAAGAGGCTGGGTTCTATAGCCTCTCACTGTAAAGTTTGAATTAAAAAAGGACGGTGAGAAACTTTTCATTGTCTTTATGCTCTCCTGGGCAACCAGCCAGGAGCTGCTGACAGCATCCTGACTCTCTGTCTGCTTCTGGCCTTGGCCACCATTGGTTTGTGGCCCTTGTAGAGTTGCCCACCTTTGTTTCTACTAGTCATGTTGTGAGGGGGAAATTAGTAGGTGGCAGCAGCATATTAGGAAAATCAATTAAGCCATTTCTGTCCTTACATCGAACACTGTGGAGCGCTCTCCCCAGAGAGGCTTTTCTGGTGCCTTCATTACCTATCTTTAGGCACCCAGGAGAAATGTTTCTCTTTAACCAGGCATTTGGCTGATTAACATTCTATGTCTTTAAAAATGTGTTTATGACAGGGGAGTTTTTGGGTTGGTTTTGGCTTTTTTCTTGTTTTTATTGAAGGAATGGGTTTCCCAAACCCAAAACTGACTGTGCAGGCATTTTTAAACTGCACCAAAATCCCCATTTCTCCTTAGCTAAAATGCATAAACTTTAGCCGTTGAGCAAATGCAAAACAAGAACACAGCTCTCTCCCTTATCAGTTTGACGGCAAGACTGGCCTTGACTTTACCAGTAGAACAGACACAGACATATCTTATGTTCTGACCACAAATGACGGGGAGACCCAAGTCTGGGACTAACGCCAGAGCATGTTCTCGGAAGTAGTGACCTTTTGCTCCAAGATAGGAGTAGGAACAGGAATATCCTTTTATGGTCAGGAGTGCAGGAAGGAAATCCCTTTTATGGTTGAGAGTACCAGAGCAGGAACATATGTGATGTCAACCTGCATACATAGGCTGACGTGGTTGGAAGGAGGGAGAGGGTGCCTGGAGGATATAAATACTGCATGAAACTTGTCATTTCTTTGGACTTGCTGTGGACTTGATCACGCAAGTGCCTTCTGCTATCCGGAGAGCAGAATAAACTCTTTCTTTGAACCAACTCGGTGTCATTTTGACTTCCTTCCTCCTGTCCCGGAGCAACGCAGACCCAATCAGTGAGTGAACTCCAATAAGGCTACATTATTACGCATTTTGTGTTCTCATTTTGAATTTTCATGTTGTGAACCGCCCTGTGACCTTCGGATGAAGGGCGGTACACAAACTTAATAAGTAAAACTGTGGCAGTTTAAATCTTGAATTCTCTGATTGTAAAAGCTAATTGCCTTCAGCCCTCAAGAGCAAAACTTAAATCATGCATATCCATATTCTTTATATATATCTATATCAGATAGATAGATAGATAGATAGATAGATAGATAGATAGAGATATAGATATAAAGAGAAAGTGGATGCCTTTTTGTGGTCAGTGTTTGGAAGCGTTTGGCACAGAAATCCCACTGGTGTTTATTCTCTTGGACTGCAGATTGGGTCCTATTTTGGCTCCGAGCTCTGCCTGTTGGACATCGACCTGGATGGGGTTACAGATCACCTGCTGGTGGGAGCTCCATTTTTCCATATGCAAGGGGAGGAAGGAAAGGTTTACCTTTATCGCTTGGATAGCCAGGTAAAACATCCTACTGTTCACATTTTACACCTGTGCTAAAAAGATTCCACAGGCTGCCTGTTTACTACGAATCAGTATAATACAGAAGTGTGTCTTCAGCATACAGTCCAAATGCACCTTTGTGCAGACAGAATTCTACACAATGCTTAGGAGCTGCCGCAGAAAATGCCCTCTCCCATTGCTCCGAAATCCAAGGGCGGTGGAACGACCAAGAGAGTCCTTCCAAATGCATTTATGATTTACAGTGGTGCCCCGCAAGACGAATGCCTCGCAAGACGGAAAACCCGCTAGACGAAAGGGTTTTCCATTTTGGAGGTGCTTCGCAAAACGAATTTCCTATGGGCTTGCTTCGCAAGACGAAAATGTCTTGCGAGTTCCTGCAGGGTTTTTTCCTCCCCCCCCTTTTCCCAAGCCGCTAAGCCACTTATCAGCTGATCCGCTAAGCCGCTAAGCCGCTTAACAGCTGATCGCTAAGCCGCTTAACAGCTGATCCGCTAAGCCGCTTATCAGCTGATCCGCTAAGGCCGCTAAGCCGCTAATAGTGCTAATCCGCTAATGGGCTTGCTTTGCAAGACGAAAAAACTGCAAGACGAAGAGAATCGCGGAAGAGATTCTTTTCGTCTTGCGAGGCACCACTGTATTTTTATTTCGCAAAATGTGTACCGTATTCTGCTTGATTGTAAGCGGAAACTCTAAGCAGTTTACCCCAAAAAGGGGGTGGGGATTGCCAGCAAAAGACAAAGTTAAAAGGAGTATTAAAAAAACAACATTTTAAATACAAATATAGTTAAAATCAGTGGTTAGGCTGGGGGGGGGGACTAATTAAAACACCTATCAACTTTGACATGTTTTGGATAGCTTTCCCTGAACAAAAAATGTTCCGGTTTGCCGTGAGGGGAGAAGGAAGTGGGCGCTGTGATCGCAGCAACCCGGCTGCTGCTTTTGGGAGTTTAGGGGTAGCTGGAAGGTCCTGGGGATGAAGCCAAGGGGTCCGGCAGCAATGAAATCCAGCTCCCAAAGGGCCCACCCAGTTCCAATGGAAAGTGAGTGAAGTCCCTTGCGAAGAGGTTTGGCAACTTAGAATATGCAGAACTTGCAGGTTCAACCCTCAGAATAAGAGAGCAAGAAGAACATATTTTTAAAGAAGAGTGGAAAATATTTATTGAATTGTACACAATAATTGTACACAGCTGAAAATGCTGGCAGCGTTAAGATCAATTCAACAGAGTAAACAATATTTGATTGATGTAAAAGTGGAAAATTGATTTGAATGGTTCTAGTAAAATAGGCAGGAGAGTATGATATGAATCATGGAAGGAGAAGAAGGGAAGCCGTTGGATATTACAAAGTTTGTAAAAATGTTTGATTTGAAATGTAGAAAAATGAAAACTCAATAAAAAATTACATATCCGAAAAGAGTACAGTGAAGGCATCTGCTATGCTAAAAGATTGATTTCTTACAAGAGCAGAATGAGGATTATGTGGCACTCGTAACAGTACCAGTTCTGCAGATTTCAGTGATGGGGTAAAGGGGTGCCTCAAGTAAACTGGTCCCAAGCTGTTAAGGGCTTGAGTCCTGGCCTGGTAAATTCAGTTGAAGGAACTTCCCCCATCAGGTGGAAGCAGCAGACAAAAAGCACTTTCATGTAACTTTCCCCCTTTCCCCTCTCTCCTGCTTTCTCCCAGGCCAACAACTTTACTCTACAGAGACATTTACACAGCCAGCTGGGGTCCCTTTTCTCCAGGTTTGGATTTGCCATGGCTAGCATTGGTGACGTGGACCAGGACGGTTTGGGAGATGTTGCCATTGGCGCACCCCTCGAGGACCATGGGTCGAGCCCCAACTCTTTTGGCAGTGTTTACATCTTTAACGGCGGCAAGGACGGGTTGCGGGATCCCTTCTCCCAGGTAAGGGAGTCTTGTGGAATTGTATTTCGGAGAAAGAAAGAGGGACGGCTTGTTTATTGAGCATTCCTCCTGATTTGTTTACAAGGAGATTAGACCATGTTCGGCCATTTATTGAGCCTTCACTCTGCTTAGTTTGCAGAGAGAGAAGGCAGCAGGGCATCAAAGCAACATAGGAAGCTGTCTTATGCTGAGTTAGACAGTTGCTCCACCTTCCTCAGTCCTGTCTGCACCAGAGCTTTCCAAACCGTGTGTCGTGACATGTTAGTGTGTCGGCTGCAGTGTGCAGGTGTGTTGCACGAATGCTCCCCACACTCTTCCCAGGGCTGGAAAGGGGCTAGTTCATGGGTAGGCAAACTAAGGCCCGGGGCCCGGATCCAGCCCAATCGCCTTCTAAATCTGGCCCGCAGACGGTTACCGTATTTTTCGCCCTATAGGGCGCACTGGCCCATAGGGCGCACCTAGTTTGGGGGAGGGAATAAAGAAAAAAATTATTTCCCCCCAGGCTTGGGGCTGGGGCGGGGGAAGCCTGAGCTTCCCCTGGACCCCAGCCCCCAGAACAGGCTGCTATCCACAAGCCTTGGGAGCCTGGCGGGAACTCCTGCAGGGCTCTCCAGGCTTGCGGATATTTGCCCGAAGCCCGGGGCATGCTGCTCAGCGCGCCCCAGGCTTCGGGGTGCAGGCTGCTATCTGCAAGCCTAGGGAGCCTGGCGGGAACTCCCGCGGGTTCCCAAGGCTTGCGGATAGCTTCCTGAAGCCTGGAGAGCGCGAGGGGTCGGTGCACACCGACCCCTCTCGCTCTCCAGGCTTCAGCGAAAGCCTGCATTCGCCCCATAGGATGCACACACATTTCCCCTTCATTTTTGGAGGGGGAAAGTGCGTCCTATAGGGCGAAAAATACAGTAGTTTCTGTGTGTTGTCACTGTGCAGTGCTTTCGGAGTCACAAGACTGTTTACATTCCAGAGACCTTCCAGGCTATTGGAAGTCTCACAGGAGATGGGAGACGGATGTGACGTTAGTGGTTTCCTGTTCCTTTGTTCCTTTGCTTTTCAGTTGCTCTCTGCTCTCACAGAGAGAGGATGTATTTCTTTCTCCCTGCGTAGCTTAGTAATAAAGCATAGCATGTAGCCATAAATCTCATCACTTCCATGTGCTGTTTTGGATTCTCTGCTGAATGGGAATGTGCCTGAGCCTCATCAAAGGCTCAGGTCGTTATCGTCGGAGGGCAATTCCGAAGGACCCAGCTGGAAGATGAGCTTTATCAGCTCGGTCGGACGTGGAAATGCTGACAAGTTGCTCCACCTTCCTCAGCCCTGTCTGCACCAGAGCTTTCCAAACTGTGTGTCGTGACACGTTAGTGTGTCGGCTGCAGTGTGCAGGTGTGTTGCGCGAATGCTCCCCACACTCTTCCTGGGGCTAGAAAGGGGCTAGTTCGTGGGTAGGCAAACTAAGGCCCGGGGCCTGGATCCGGCCCAATCGCCTTCTAAATCTGGCCCGCAGATGGTCCGGGAATCGGCGTGTTTTTACATGAGTAGAATGTGTCCTTTTATTTAAACTGCATCTCTGGGTTATTTGTGGGGCATAGGAATTTGTTCATATATATTTTTTTCAAAATATAGTCCAGCCCACCACATGGTCTGAGGGACGGTGGACCAGCCCCCTGCTGAAAAAGTTTGCTGACCACTGGCGCTAGTTTAACCTCTGGTTTGCTCGCAAAACTGGATTGCTGTGTCGCGCAAAATGATGCATGTCTACAAAGTGTGTCACCAACATGAAACGTTTGGAAAGCTCTGGCCTACACTGACTGGCGGTGGCTCTCCAGGATAGTGGTTCAGGCAGGGGGCATTCCCAAGCCTACCTGGGGATTGAGGTCTTCTCTGCCTGCAAAAAAAACCCTCTGCCCTTGAGGTATATGACCCTTCCCCTAATAATACAGTGGTACCTCGGGTTACGGGACGCGTGTGGCGCTGTGGGTAATACCTCAGCGCCTAGGACTTGCCGATCACATGGTCGGCGGTTCGAATCCCCGCGGCGGGGTGCGCTCCCATTGCTCGGTCCCAGCGCCTGCCAACCTAGCAGTTCGAAAGCACCCCCGGGTGCAAGTAGATAAATAGGGACCGCTTACTGGCGGGAAGGTAAACGGCGTTTCCGTGTGCGGCTCTGGCTCACCAGAGTAGCTTCGTCACACTGGCCACGTGACCCGGAAGTGTCTCTGGACAGCGCTGGCTCCCGGCGTATAGAGTGAGATGAGTGCACAACCCTAGAGTCTGTCAAGACTGGCCCGTACGGGCAGGGGTACCTTTACCTTTACCTCGGGTTACAGATGCTTCAGGTTACAGACACTTCAGGTTACAGACTCTGCTAACCCAGAAATAGTACCTTGGGTTAAAACTTTGCTTCAGAATGAGAACAGAAATCATGCTTTGTTGGCGCAGCAGCAACGGGAAGCCCCCTTAGCTAAAGTGGTACCTCAGGTTAAGAACAGTTTCAGGTTAAGAACGGACCTCCGGAACGAATTAAGTTCTTAACCCGAGGTACCACTGTAAATCAAAATTCCTGTCCTCGTGGCTCTGAACAAACGGCTGTTTTGAACAGCAACATAGGAAGCTGACTTATCACATGAGTGAAGCAGTCGAGAAAATGGTTTTCTTGTTCGAAGAAAACAGTTCCCTTGACTCAGGTCTCTGGGTAACAAAACTGGCCTTTGAGAAAGTATCTTCTTTCCCACTAATGGGAGATAAGCTTGTGAGTACCAGCGCCTGTGTTGTCTCAAAAGTTGCTGAAGGTCAAGCTTTGAGGCTTGCTAATTTAAAGCACTGCGATGCCACTTTTTAAAGTTGCGGCTTTCCCCAAAGAATTATGGGTGCTGAGAGAGTTATGAGGATGCCTCTCACAGAGCTATAATTGCAAGAGAGCCTTCTTAAACCACTCTGCATATTTTATCTTTGTGTGGGGAATGAGATGTCGTGTGTCTCCAAACCATTTTCAGCACCTTAACAAACTACACTTCCCAGAATCCTTGGGGGGATTAATAGTTAATTGGAGGAGTTGCTGAAGAAATGTAAAACAAGGATTCAGAAAAGGGGAGGTATGGGGAAGTCCGGGAAGTAAGGTGTATGAAAATAAGATTATGAAGTTATATATGTTTATATGTTTGTATGTTTGTGTATTGTGTATTGTCTGTTCTTATTTTTTGTGTTTGGAAAACCAATAAAAATTTATAAAAAAAACAAAACAGAATCCTTGGGGGGGAAAGCTCTGGCTGTTTAAAGTGGAATGATGGTGCCTGTTTTAAATGTATGGTATGACAGGAGTCTTCATAATTTCTCATGGCACACTGGCTAGTCCCTCACAGCGCACCGTTTAACTGTCCCATGCAAGGGAAACCCTCTTTCATTAATTAATTATTGCAATTATATCCTTAAATGATCTCAAAAGCAGTGTTTGTGGTTCTACCTAGGGTTCTATCTACCATTTTTCTATTTCCCTCTTCTTATTCTAGAGAATAACAGCTGCTCAAACCGGTCCGCCTGGACTCATGTATTTTGGAAGGTCCGTGGCTGGTGGATTGGACTTCACCGAGGACAGTCTCCCCGATATTATTGTTGGATCATTAGGTTCTGTTACTTTGCTCCGGTAGGTCGTAATGATCTTTGGGTTTTCTCCTGGGGAAAAGAGAGACTAAAACCCCCTCTGGTCTGCAGTCTTCTTGAGCTGAGTTTTTCTATAGACAAAAAACATTTTTCGGCTGTCGGGGGGAAAACGTGTCTAGCATCAGCATGCCAAATAAATTCAGAACTCACCCCCCTTTTCCACGCAGTCATGAGAGTAGGCATGGGTTGGCAATTTGGGGTCCGTGCTGCAGGTGTTGGTGTGCAAGACTGTCCCGAGTAAATTTGGGAGAGTTGGATGTTACAGAGCTGATCAAATCAGCAGCTTCTAGGCTAGGGATGGAGAACTTCAGCCTTCCCACTGTCTCAGACCAGGAGTGGGAATGTTATTCAGCCCAATAACCTCCTTCCCTTCTGATCAACTTTTGAGGCAGGGTGGGGGGTGGGCAGATGTAAAGGTGGGCAGAGCAATGGGTTAAAAAATTATCTTTGCACAGTAGGGCTGGGCAATTTATCGATATATCGCTCAAAGCTGGTTCAAAGTCCATATTGCGTTATCAGTTTCATAGTTTGACAATATGTTGCAAATGAGGATGTGTGTTAGGGCTGGACGATGTATCATCTAAAAAAAAAAAAAAAGGTAAAGGACCCCTGACAGTTAAGTCCAGTGGTGGCTGACTCTGGGGTTGCGGCGCTCATCTCGCTTTACTGGCCGAGGGAGCCAGCATACAGCTTCTGGGTCATTTGGCCAGCATGACTAAGCCGCTTCTGGCGAACCAGAGCAGCGCACGGAAACACCATTTACCTCTGTGGCTTAAACCACAGAGCCTAGGGCTTGCCGATCAGAAGGTCGGCAGTTCGAATCCCTGCAACGGGGTGAGCGCCCGTTGCTCAGTCCCTGCTCCTGCCAACCTAGCAGTTTGAAAGCACGTCAAAGTGCAAGTAGATAAATAGGTACCGCTCCGGCGGGAAGGTAAACGGCGTTTCCGTGCACTGCTCTGGTTCGCCAGAAGCGAACCAGTCATGCTGGTCATGCTGGCCACATGATCCAGAAGCTGTCTGCGGACAAACGCTGGCTCCCTCAGCCAATAAAGCGAGATGAGCACTGCAACCCCAGAGTCGTCTGCGACTGGACCTAATGGTCAGGGGTCCCTTTACCTTTACCTTTCTTTCCCTCTTCCTCCATCTAGCTCCAGGCCAATTCTTCGACTGAAACCCACCATGCACTTTACTCCGGGGAGAATAGTCTATTTCGATGGCGTCGTTACAGCCAGATTGTGCTTCAATAGGGTTTCCCCTCCTGGGACCGCGCAGTCAGGTAATGAACACCCAAATGGCAAGCATTTTAGCAGCGCTTAACTTTAGCCCAACAGGGACGCAGCAGCAGCTGTGCCGTACGGTTGGCGCTTAATTTTCCGCTAGCAGCAAACAAAAAGGAAGTTATATTTCTGCTGGCGTGGAGTACTCTAACAGCTGTGCGAAGCTACAGTTGGAGGTCAAGCAAAGGCGCAGTCCGCTCTCATTTTCCATTCAGACTTTGTATTTTGGATGAATCTGCCATGTCAATTTCTCTCTGCTTCTCACACCCCAATTCTTAAACTCTGTTCACATTTCTGCAGGAGGTTGCAGATTATTGATTCAGTGCCCTTTTAAAATATATGTGGGGGTTTTTTTTGGGGGGGGGGGTTACAGTGGCACCTTGGTTCTAAAAAACCCAGAAGTAAGTGTTCCGTTTCTGAACGTTTTTCGGAAGCCACATGTCCGATGCGGTTGTCGGCTGTTGTTTCCGGGGCACCTGCACCAATCAGAAGTTGCACCTTGGTTTTTGAACATTTCGGAAGTCAAACAAACTTCCAGAACAGATTAAGTTTGAGAACCAAGGGATATATACACAAATAAAGCTGTACTCGATGGATGAAAGGATATGTGATATCTGACATGATTGAGAATTGTAGAGCCAGAGACGGAGAACTTTAAAGCGTTAAAATCAAGATGTGGAAAATATGGAAACAACGAGGAGAGGCAGGATTGAGATTTGGAGATATGCTTCAAGGTCCAGACTATGGGAAGTCCCAAAAAAATAATAATTATGATTTGGATGATAATTTGGTCTTTTTTATTTTAGTTTTTTATTTTAATTGGATTGTAATTTGATATGTTAATTGGATGTTTTTTATTGGAAAATTAACAAAAACGATTTAACATAAGTTTGGGAACCAAGGTACCACTGTATTGGGTTGTTCTTGTTTTTATTTTGATTATGTATTTGGCGTTTTTATGTTGTGATTTTATCCTGTGAAACACCCTGGGACCTGGAGGTACAGGGTGGAATAATAATAATAATAATAATAATAATAATAATATTTTTAAAATCCCTGGACATGTTTCACCATCCTCCCCGCTGCCAAGTGTTTCTTCCTTTGTCCCAGGGCTGCCCCACCTCCTTCTTCACTACACTGTGGATTTAGATGTTGAGATGGAAAAGAAGAGGGTGCAGTTTGAGGACCAAACATTCTCCAGCAGCAGCGACACCTCCTACACAGGGGATTCTTGTCCCGAACTGCAGCTCCACATCCTGGTGAGTGCAAGGAGAAAGCGAGTTCTACGCTGTGGGTGCCCACCCAAGCAGCAGCTACAATTGGGGGGAGGGACACCGTGGTGGAAATCCCCCAAGTCATAAACGTTGACCTGAGAGCACCATCTTTGCTGCAAAGTCAACGTGCATCGGGGACAGATCTGTCACTAGCTGAACAAAGACTCCATGTCTAGAAGCAATCTACCTGTTAGTATCAAATGTTGGGGACAATCAGCAGGGAAGGGCTACCTGTATTTGAGCTTCCCAGTGCTCTCTGCCTGGAGAATGTTCCATGGGGTCTGATCTGTAGTTCAGGTTAGCAGAAGCGCTGTAGGCAGGTTCATTTTTAAAAAAATGATTTTTATTAACTTTCCATTTAACAATATATAATCACATCATTATTTCCCACTTTACTCTCTGGCTCCCTAGAGCCTATTGACTTCCTTCCCTCCCGTCTCTTGGCTTTTAAAATTAACCTTTATGTCCAGCATTTTATACATTTTTCAAATCTGATTAATTTCATAACAAAATACCTCAAAATTTAACTAAGTATAAAAAGGGAGGAAAAAGGGATCAATAAGTATAAAAAGGGAGCTTACAATGTTTTTCCAAATGTCATATAAATTTACTCCAGTCCTTTTGGAATACTTGATCTTGCTGGTTTCAGATTTTCCCCGTCAGTTTTTCCAATTCTGCAAAGTCCATCGTCTTAATCTGCCACTTTTCTTTCATTGGTACTTCTTGTTGTTTCCATTTTGGGGCTGAAAGAGTTCTTGCTGCTGTTGTCGCATACATAAACAATCTTTTAACTTCTCTTAGTATCTCTTCACCTACTATACCCAATAAAAAGGCTTCTGGTTTTTGAACAAAAGTGTTTTAAAACAATTTTTTAAACTCATTATATATTATTTCCCATAATGCCTTTGCTTCTTTACAGGTTCACCATATATGGTAAAAGATACCTTCCTTTTCTTTACATTTCCAACATTCATTAGTTCTTGTCCTATATATTTTGGCAAGTTTTGATGGTGTTAGATACCATCTATACATCATTTTCATGACATTTTCTTTAAGTGCACTGCATGCAGAGAAATCTCAATTCAGAACCATGTGGACTGGCAGCTTGTTTTTAGTTTTAAACAAAGAGCTGTATATTGTGTGCTCTGTTTCAATGAGGAGGGGAAAGTTAATTCATTTGATGTTCAAAGGTAAACCTGCCTAATTTGCAGATTCCGAAACAATATTTGGACTGCAACAAAGACATCCTTTAAAAAACACACTTCTCAAAATCTTGCAATGCACTTTTCCGGCTAAGTATCGTTTACAAAAATGCATGCACTAAAGTGTGCCTAACAGGCATGTATTAGTGAAAACAACATATGGAAATTGGGTGGAGGGGTGGAGGGAGGGAATGCAAAATTGGGTAGAGTTGTGTGCAAAATTGCATACAAAAATGGGTGTGTTAAGAGAAATTCGCACTATAAAAAGCTGAAGAATTTGGAAAAGGCAAAGTGAGAGAAACCACTTTGATGATTAAAAAGAGCTGTGTCCTGAGCTTGACCAGAGCAGGAATAAAACTAGAAAGCTGTGTTCAGCTGGGTCGGACTATTTGATCATAGGAACAAAGGAAGTGTCCACTTGTGTTTCATGCCAGTCAAGCAAAAATACAGATTAAAGGCACATTTCCATCCAGGAAAATGCACTCAGTGAGGATGTCAAGGTGGGCTCGTGAGAGGTGTGGTCTGAGGAGAGAGGGTGTGGTTTTGGGGAAAGTCCCGGGGGCCGGATGGAGAGATCTGGAGGACCGCATTCAGCCCTTGGGCCTGAGGTTCCCTACCCTTGCCCGGCTTGATTGCAAATTCATCTGTCTCTTTTCCAACTACAATATCAGCCCTGCACTGATGACTGTTACTCCGACATTACTCTCCGCCTCACTTACGAGCTTCATGGACCCTGACGGAAAAGTCCTGGACTACCCCAAGCCTATGCTTGATATGTATCAGAAACCTGAAGTGGATTTCCAGGTAACAAGATATAAATAATGGTTTTTTAGGGGTCTTAACTTTGTTTAAGGGATGCGGGTGGCGCTGTGGGTTAAACCACAGAGCCTAGGGCTTGCCGATCAGAAGGTCGGCGGTTTGAATCCCCGCAACGGGGTGAGCTCCCATTGCTCAGTCCCAGCTCCTGCCCACCTAGCAGTTTGAAAGCACGTCAAAGTGCAAGTAGATAAATAGGTACCACTCTGGCGGGAAGGTAAACAGCGTTTCCGTGCGCTGCTCTGGTTCTCCAGAAGCGGCTTAGTCATGCTGGCCACATGACCCGGAAGCTGTACACCAGCTCCCTCGGCCAATAAAGCGAGGTCGTGACTGGACCTAATGGTCAGGGGTCCCTTTACCTTTAACTTTGTCTAATCTTTATACTGCAAACTGCCCTGTGAGCTTTGGATGAAGGGCGGTATCATCATCATCATCATCATCTGTTAATTTGTGGCAGAGTGCCCAAGAGTGCTTCTGTGTGGTGTTGAAGCTTAAATTGAGGACTCAGCTACACTTGAAATAAAACATTTTAAGTGTTGTAAAGTGCATTATACAAATGTGACACTAGATGGCGATGATGAGCTATGGCAAATTCAATATATATTTCAAAACATTTTTTTTTAAAAAAAGGATTTTTTTGCACCTTTTTATAGATTCCACCAGAGAAAGGCACCTGGAAAGGTGTGTAATATGGTCCCACTTACAGTTTTCTGGCTGCTGTTTGAGTTGTCTGAGCCCTGGCCAAATATTATGGGAGGAGCTTGCATAGAAACCAAACTGCCGTCAAAAGTGTCCTTCCCAACCAAGAGAACCCAAGTCCAAAGGGGAGACCCGGGAGACACCACTGTCTTCCATATGCAATATTAAGGAGTTCAAAAAAACCAGATACCAAAACTAGGTATCCGATGCCAGCATATCTGTCCATTGATATATGAATACTCTGGGCTCCAGCACCAAATGGAATGTAAAACAATTAATTCACTGGGTTCATGTTGTTATTATTATTTGTTTCATAAAATTTATACACTGCTTGATTTAAAAAAACAAAGAAACCTCAGAGGTTTATGAAAAGATCAAACAATAAAATCGAGAAAAAGCAACAGCCATACTTTAAAAGTTAAAATACTAAAACAGATTACAATTGCCTCAACGTTCTAAGCATCTGGGTAGGCTTGCCAAAACAAAAATGTCGCCGTTTCTCAGAGTGGCCTACTTTGCAGGACTGTTGTGAGTCTGGAAATGTGAGATGACACACACAGTGAGGTTGTAGCCAACCAACTTCTACACAAAGTAGACCTAAGTGAGTTATGGCCATTAATTTCAGTGGGTCTACTCTGAGAAGGACTAAGATGGGCCATTCCCATTTTGGGAAGGGTTGAGGTTGCTTGGATTCTGGTTGGCTTCAAGAGTTTCCACAGTGATAAAGATGATAATAATACAATTTTTTTGTCCCTTTGACTCCCAACATCCCTGTCAGCTGCCAGTCATGGAAGACTGTGGTGACAAGTCCATCTGCACACCTCGCTTGAGCTTAGCTGTTGAAATGGAGTGAGTCTTCTGAATGTGTTTTTATTTTTGTAATGTGCTTTTGGCCATCAGATAGGGGAAGGAAAACCCCATTTTGGACCACATTTGCACCATCCACTCAAAGCGCTGTATTACCACTAGTCATGGCTTCTTCCCCCAAAGAATTGTGGGAGTCGTAGTTTGTTGAGAGTTCTTAGGAGCCCCACATTCCCCCCACAGAGGTACAATTCCCAGAGTGGTTCAGCAGTCAATCCCTCTTCACAGGGAACTCTGGGAATTGTAGGTCTGGGAGGGGAATAGAGGCCTCCTAACAACTCCCTTTGGGACATGGCTGGCTCTGTGGGTTAAACCACAGAGCCTAGGACTTGCCGATCAGAAGGTCAGCGGTTCGAATCCCCGCAACGGGATGAGCTCCTGTTGCTCAGTCCCTGCTCCTGCCAACCTAGCAGTTTGAAAGCACCTCAAAGTGCAAGTAGATAAATAGGTACCACTCTGGTGGGAAGGTAAACAGCGTTTCCGTGCACTGCTCTGGTTCGCCAGAAGCGGCTTAGTCATGCTGGCCACATGACCCGGAAGCTGTACGCCGGCTCCCTTGGCCAATAAAGCGAGATGAGCGCCGCAACCCCAGTCGGTCACGACTGGACCTAATGGTCAGGGGTCCCTTTACCTTTACTTTAACAACTCCCTTTAGAAACTACAGCTCCAAGAATTCTTTGGGGGGGAAACCATAAATATTTAAAGTGGTATCAAAATGCTTTTCATAGATGGTGTGAAGTAAAATCCATTCACTGAGCCTATGCTGTAGAGGAAGCGCATAAATTTAACCAGAAATGTCCCTTTCCAGACATACTTTTTATTGTGCATTCATGATGATTTGGGCTCACGGTGGTATCATGGTGGTTATCAGCAATCCCACTTTCGCTACCGTTTCTGGATATAATAATAATAAATAATAATAAATTTTATTTATACTGCGCCCTCCCCGGCCAGAGCCGGGCTCAGGGCAACTAACACCAATAAAATTACAGTAAAAACATAATGGGGGGGGACCAATTTAAAATACAGTTAAAATGCAATTTTTAAAATGCAGCCTCATTTTAAAAGTAACCGATAGATCAAGACCATAAGGGGAGGGAAACATAAGGGTCAGACTGAGTCCAAACCAAAAGCCAGGCAGAACTGCTCTGTCTTGCAGGCCCTGCAGAAAGATGTCAAGTCCCGCAGGGCCCTAGTCTCTTGTGACAGAGCGTTCCACCAAGTCGGGGCCAGTACTGAAAAGGCCCTAGTTGAGACCAATCTAACCACCTTGCGACCTGGGACCTCCAAAATGTTGTCATTTGTGGACCTTAAGGTCCTCCACGGGGCATACCAGGAGAGACGGTCCCGTAGTGGTGATCTGGGCTGTCTGACAAAAGTTTCAGTTTTTAAGATGTCACAAGACCTTGCGCTGTTTTTACAGTGTCCGCGGGTCTTGAAATACTATCTTTTGTTTCATTACAGGAAGGAGCTGGTGGTTGGCTCCACCAAGGAACTGGCAATGAAAATCTACCTGTCCAACAGCGGCGACAACTCCCACATGACGTCTCTGGTTGTGCAGTACCCTTCAAACCTCCATTATAAAAACGTCCAAGAGGTCATGTCTTTCTTTGAACTTTCCCAGCGTTTAACTGGTCTTCTGTACCCCAATCTGGGCAGGTAGGGGGGCTATAGCACATTGGCAGAACACCTGCTCTGCGTGCCTAAGGCTCCCGCCTCTCTACGTAGGGCTGGGATGATGACTCCGTGCTGGGAAGCCTGAAGAGCCACTGCCAGTCAGTGCAGACAGTACTGAGCTATATGACCAAGGGTCTCACACGGGGAAAAGGTATATTCAGAATCACGAGGACAGGAATCTCACTTTATTTTGCGCCCAGAAAGTCCCAGGCTCAGTTCCCAGTATCTCCAGATATGAAACATAGATGGACAAATAGACTATTTCTATTGAATTCAGAACCATGATGACTGGAATCTTGTTTTCTTTTTAGGGGGGAGGAGCCACAGCTCAGTGGTATAGCATTTATTTTGCACGCAAAAGTTCCCAATTCTAACTCCCGTCATTTTCAGTTAAACTGATGGGAAAGGCCCTTTCTCTGCCAGACCCCCTAGAAAGCTGCTACTGGTCAGAACAGATAGCTGAAGGGTCTGACGTGGTATAAGGCACTGTCTCACGCCCCTAGCTATTTCCTCAGGTGCATGCTGTATCAAAAGGGGTTTCTGGGACATTCTGGATTGACGGAAGATTCCTGTTCTGCCCCTCCCCCCATGTCTCAACAGATTTCCTCTTCCGTCATCCACTGTGACGCACCTCAGCCAGTCTCAGTTTTATTCTCATCTCTGCGCTGCAAGGTTGGGCATCCGATCTTCAAGAAATCTACCGTAAGTTCAATTTGTGCAGGCGTTCAGCTACTCCCTAGACTTCTGCCTGTTGCCTTTGACACCCGCCCTCTGCCAGCCATTGGCTGAGCTGCTGCGTGACATCATGGAATGTTTGCCGAACATTCCAGCCGCTCAGACGGTCACGAGAATATTGATATACGCAGCACCCGCAGTGTTTTCTCAGAATGCCAGATGTGCCAGTAGGTTTGGCCACCAATGCGAGAGTCAAACCAAACAGCTGTTTCAAAGGCTGCCCATCAAAGCTTAAACATGGAAGGACGAGTGCAGGATTTGATTATTTTGCTTAAATACTCATTATCTAGTTACAGGGTAAACGTAAAGGGACCCCTGACCATTAGGTCCAGTCGTGGCCGACTCTGGGGTTGCGGTGCTCATCTCGCTTTATTGGCCGAGGGAGCTAGCGTACAGCTTCCGGGTCATGTGGCCAGTATAACTAAGCCGCTTCTGGTGAACCAGAGCAGAGCACGGAAACACCATTTACCTTCCCGCCAGAGCAGTACCTATTTATCTACTTGCACTTTGACATGCTTTCGAACTGCTAGGTTGGCAGGAGCAGGGACTGAGCAACGGGAGCTTACCCCGTTGCGGGGATTCAAACCTCTGACCTTCTGATCAGCAAGCCCTAGGCTCTGTGGTTTAACCCACAACGCCACCTGCGTCCCTAGTTACAGGATAAATTGACATAAATCTGATACCAGGAATCACAAGACAGAGAAACCTGTAGGAGAACACTTCAATCTCCCAGGACATTCTATACAAGATCTCAAAGTACCTGTCTTATTACAAAAGAATTTCAGAAATAGACTGGAAAGAGAAGTGGCTGAATTGCTACTTATTACCAAACATAAAACCATGGGGAGACCTGGTCTGAACAGAGACATTGGATTTTTATCTCATTATACATGGTAAGCTGTTTTTAGCCATCTCACTCCTTGCTTTTTCCTGTAAGACCAATTGCAGTCAACAGGTTTACCACACCTATCAGCCAATCACCCATTCCCACCACCCTTCTGAGTAATACCCCTCCCCACCCTCTCACTATATATAAGGGTCTGGTGACTTCTGTTTCAGTGTATCTGAAGAAGTGTGCAGGCACACGAAAGCTCATACCAATAACAAACTTAGTTGGTCTCTAAGGTGCTAGTGGAAGGAATTTTTTTACTCATTGTCTAATTCTTGCTCTCTCTCTTCTTTCATTTGCTGCACAGGCAAATTTTTCAGTGACCTGGCAACTAGATGGGAAAAAATTCCCCACAGAATCCGCTAACTTCATGCTTAACGTTACCAAGTAAGTGGTCAGTCTCTGCTGAAAACTATTGACTCTGACAGGGCAAATGATCATGTTTGGCGCATTAGTTTTTTATGCCTGGTGTTTTATTAACACACATTGCCAAAGTAGATTGGGGTGGGTGGGTGAGCTGGAATCTCCAGAGGCCACTAACTAGGTTGGAGAAGGCTGTTTTAGAGTCATCAGGTACTACAGAAAGCTAACAGTCATGTTTTGGGGAAAGAGGTGGGATATAAATGAATAATACAGCTCATCTGTTTGATTTTCACAGTGCCAACAAAAACAGCACAGCCCTGAGAGAAGACCATTCCCTGGGTGTGAAATATGCCATGAACGCTATCCTTACCAGGTCAAGTCTTCAGGATTAGCCAAAACCAGAATGTCTCTTTGGACACAAACAAATGAGCAGGACTTGGGAAGTTAGCTGTGCTTAATTTTTTTTAAGCTATTTTTGATTTTGATCCTCTTTTGAATGTTGTGGTCTAAACCACTGAGCCTCTTGGGCTTGCTGATCGGAAGGTCGGCGGTTTGAATCCCCGCAGCGGGGTGAGCTCCCATTGCTCTGCCCCAGCTCCTGCCAGTCTAGCAGTTTGAAAACACACCAGTGCAAGCAGATAAATAGGTACCGCTGCGGCGGGAAGGTAAACGGCGTTTCCGTGCGCTCTGGCACTCATCACAGTCCTTCGTGCACCAGTAGCGGTTTAGTCATGCTGGCCACATGACCTGGAAAACTGTCTGTGGACAAACGCTGGCTCCCTAGGCCTGAAAGCTAGAGGAGTGCTGCAACCCCATAGCCGCCTTTGACTGGACTTAAACGTCCAGGGGTCCTTTACCTTAAACCCGTTTTCAGTTGATAATTTTAAGGTTTTATTTTCTGCTTTTCCAAATGTTAGAGGGTTGTTTCTCCCCTCCCTTCAAGCTGTATATAGATTGTGTTAAATAAAATAAAAAAGTAGTAAAAATAACTCCCAGCAGCCTGGCCAGTGACAAGTCAGGAGTCGAACATCTGGAGGTTACCACCATAAACACTTAGTATCCTAGAAAAGCCTCTGGTGTGTGTGTGGGCAGATCCAAATAGATCCGCGAAGACCAAGGTGGCATTAATGCATGGAAGTGTGTGTGCAACACCCAAGTTCCCTCTGCTCCTTGTGCGCTGCTGATGCTTTGTTTTGTGATGATCAAACAGTTGTCCAATTAATTTATTTTAAAAATGTTTGTCCACAGGCAGCTTCCAAATGTGTATGCGAGCCTGGATGAAAGATCCTCCCACAGCACCCAATTCACCTTTAATGTAGGTACAAAGCTGCTGTACTCTTCCTCTCATCCCTAAGGTTCATTGTTACCTGATGTCGGTGTTTTCACCCTTCATTTAAAAATATAAAAATCTTTGCAGATCACAGGGAACCAATTTGGGGCACAGCTTGAGTTGCGGATCTGGGTCCCTCTCAACATAGACAACCGCCAGATTGCAAGCATAAAGAACGTGGCAGGGGTGCAGGTAAGTTTTCTGGTTCCCTCCCACTTAAAAAAACAAACAAACAAGCACGTGTGAGTATAGCTATAAAGATATGGAGCTGCTGGGATGATAGCGCAGTGCCAGCATCTGCCCCACTGCCTCTTAAGGGGGCATTCCCCAACCACTGGTGACTGGTGCTCATTCAGGCTGCTAAGACAGAGAAGGCAGGGAGCCCAAACAGGGAGTGGAGTCAGAGTCAGCAAAAGCCGACTAATTCTAGCCCATGCTAGAATCACCATATTTTTCGCTCCATAAGACACACCTAGTTTTTAGAGGAGGAAAGCAAGAAAAAAAATATTCTGAACGAAACAGTGGATGTATGGTTTTTGTGGTTCATGCAGTGGCCACAGTCATGTGATTTGACAGTGAGTTTGGGGTAGCCCAATGCAAAAATCCTGAGGATCCATGTGCTTTTACCTCCCCGTTCCCAGGCAGTCTCCTTTATCTCTAACGTCCCTTATCTCTCTCCCTGATCAGCGGCTTTGTTTCAACACCCACTTCCATCTTTCAAAAAGAAAAAAAGCATGATCTGCTTTTTGCCCCTGGGCAATTCAGCTCCAGGGACCACACATTCGCTCCATAAGACACAGACATTTCCCCTTACATTTTAGGAAGAAAAACGTGCGTCTCATGGAGCGAAAAATACGGTAGGTTGCCAGCTTCCATGCCAAGGAAGCTGGCAACCTGGACTTGGTTGTAAGGAGGCAGGCTGAGGTTGGGGAAGCAGTTTGTGATTCCCCCAATGGAACACCCTCACATCTGTAGCTCACCACCACCCTTCAGCCCAACAGGTGGGGGGGGGACCTCTCTGGCCCTCCAGATGTTGCTGAACTACAACATCAGTCCAGCCAGCATGACTAGTGGCTAAGGATGATGGGACTTGTAGAACAGCACCTTTTCTGTATCCTGGGGATAAAGTAAAACCTGGCTAGACTGACGTGGTTCATTTGTGTGACCTCTGGGTTTACTAGGCTGGGGCGGGGCAGGTAGAGAGGAGAGCCAATGAACCTCAAGGGTCCTACTAAAGAGACATGGGTGTGGTACAATTTATAGTAGACAAACTGTATAGTTCCAACCATTACAAAAATACAGTCATAAAAAATATACGTACATACATACAAGTTGGACGCCATATAAATCTTTACCAATATAAAACAGTGCTCTTAACAGGTTTAATACTGTGAAAGTTAAACTAGTTACAGTCTGCATGTTGTTTTTTTAAAGGAACTATAACATTAAAGGATAAAATCCTGCAAGATTTTTTTAAAAAAAGATTTAGAATAAAGGCTTTAATTAAAGATGCATGGACCTAAATTCTGAATTAAATGTTTTTGAACTGAAAGCAATTTGGTGGAGGGGAGGTGTAAATTAGGCTGAAATCTATTAGACAAAACATAAACCAATTATTTTGAAGATCCATTGCAATTGACCAAAGGTGAAACTAAAAGTTGAGAGAAAAGACACCTTATCTTTTATTATATACATAAATCATAAGAAATACCTGCGTGCTTACAAGAGCACCTGAAAGTTTCACCATTTGACAACCACAAGGCTCCGTTTAGTCACTGAAAGAAACTGCTTGTGTTCAGCAAATCTGTGGCAGACTTGAAGCTGAGAACCTCCGCACAGAACAGCTTGAGCTGCTTGTGTGCTTGTTTCAAGGAGGAAGTTGTTGGCTTCCTCTTGTAAGACACCTCTTTCAGAAGTTTGTCTGCTAAATAGTGAAGCCACAAGACGTTGCTGTGGGGGAAGTAGTCAGCCCAGCGGTTTGCGTTCTCCTCTCTCATCTGCCTGTAAATGTCAAACTGATAGTCACCTCTGCCTTGGAAGATCTCCTCATCAGTGGAGAGGTCACAGTACACGGTTAACCCATCCCTCTCCAGCCTGGAGAAGGTGTAGTCAATAATGTTGACAAGGATGCCATGGGTGGGGAGAGTGTGGGTCTCCCCATTCAATCTAAAGCTCACCTTCTTTAAGGCGGTTTTCTTCACCAGCACATTGCCCCAGTGGAGATCTCGGTGCTCAAAGTGCAAAGCTTCCTCAGCCACGGCCAGTGAAGCTGTGACTTGGTGCAAGATGCTCTTGGAGGCCAGCACAGAGTTCAGCTGCCGGTTCTGCATGTATTCCAGGTCCATGCCTCCATACTCAAACTCCAAGACCACAAAGAGCTGCCGGTCTCCAAAGAAGTCCGGCCGGTCGTTTTCAGACACCCTCAGCCTGTGATATTCATCCCAGGCAGCCAGGAGATGGTCAGGGTAGCTGCCCTGGACACAGTGAATGGAATGCAAGCTGATAAACCCAGACGTTTGGTGAACCTCCTCATCTGCCAAAAGGCTGAGCTCTTTTGAAATGATGATCTCGGGTAAGATCTCACCAAAGGTCTTTTGAGGTTCTCCATTGACTTGGTCGCTCCCTTCAATGGGGATTATTTTTAAAGCTGTGAGACCCCCTTCACCCTCTGTCCTGAAAACCTCCCCAAAAACACCTTCTCCAATTTTCTCACACTTCTGCATCTTATCGGGGGTGATGCATTCCTCAAAGGAGATGGGGCCACTCTGATGGCATTCCTTGTAGACTTTTTCCTCATCCGTTAGAACCATCTCTGACATGGCAGAAGAGGTCATGGACGACAGCAGGACCATAGAGGAGGAAGGGGATATAGAGTAGCTCAGTTTTTGAGTGAAGGGGGTCTTGGGAGTCTCCATCACGGATGGAAGAGAAGCATTGGCAATGCTGCCACTTAAGCTTTCCACCTCGGACAGGATGATCTTTTTCTTGTGGAGAGAAAAAGAAGCCCGGATCCTGCGCCACAAGCTGGAGTTCTTGAATGAGCACTCCGGAGACAGAATTGACGAGGAAAGATAGTCTTCCGTTTTGTTGCATTTCAAGCGTTCCTGAAGGAGGGAAGGATCAGCCTGCCTTTTCCGCCCCACGTTTCTCTTCTGCCTTGCTTTCTCAAGCTTCCCTCGTTGTCCCCATCGACTGGTACTGAATCCGCTGATGCAGGCTTTTCGACCAGTGCCTACAGTGCTACAGGTGGGGACCAACTTTCTGCTGGTGTCAGATAGGCCACAGAGAGAATCTGACTGCAAAGTATGTTGTTTTTTCCAAGTAAGCTGAACTACTGCTTGTTTTTTGGTGGACTGACTAGCCAACCAGTTTGGCACCACCCGACTGTCCAGGAGCACAGTGGGCTGAAGCTGGGGGCTACTATAGTCTTTTATGTTATCATTCCCATCTTCCGAGACCGCTCCGTTCAGCTCACCAACTGCCTTGGGAGAACTGGTGCATGCTTGAACTGAGACACGCTGCCTCTTGTTAGCAAGAGGCGCTGCATCTTTTGGCAAGCAGAGGTAAATCTTGTCATCATGCAAATTGGCTTGTAGCTGGAAAACACCCGAAAGAGGCTCTTTTGGTGACACTGGGAGGCTCTGGCCATGATCTGCACCCGGGCTTTGACTGGGGCTGACCACATAACACCCCGGCGAGATTGTGAGCCCTTCCCTGTTTTGCAAAGATGCTCCCGTCTCGCTGCAGGAATTGCAAGACTGCAAGGCAGAGCTGCTTTTGAACGGTGGATGGGGTGAGCTGCTGCAGGGCGGCTGAAATAACGTCACGGGCAGAGGTTCGGCCTGGGAATCCTCGTGCACAGACTTCCGCTGTAGACTCGGGACATCCTCCAGGGTGAAGAGCTCCAAGCTGCCTCCCATCTCCCTGGCATCCCCATCCATCTTCATTGAGCTCAGCTCAGAGAGGCCATCGCCACCGCCACAGCAGTCCTCTCGCAACACTTCCTGCAGATCGTCGGGATGAAAGCAGCAGGCGTAAGAGACGGGGCTGCTGCCCTGCAGGACGCCCTCCTCGCCTCCCTCTTCCTCCAAATCCCTTTTCGCCAGCTCAGGGGTGCTCGACAGCAACGGGAACCGTATACGCAGCCCTCTCTGGACCGGCTTCCGGCGGCGCTGAGTGACGTTCCTGCGTAGCGGGGTGGGGGGCACAAAGGTGTTGTTGGCAGCAGGCCGGCCCCCCAACTCTCCTTGCGGGGCCTTGTTCTCCTTGGCCCCCTTCCCCTTTTTCTTGGCGGTGCCCTTCTTGCTGGGGGGCTTTTTGCGCAGCCGGGCCTTCCTGGTGGGGGGCAGGAAATCGGAGTCCTCGGAGGAGGAAGGAGGGGCAGCCGGGGCCTTTTCCTGGGCCGCCTTGGGGGGCAGGTAGCTCAGGTCTCCGAAGGAGGAAGAGGCAGCCGCCTCTTCGAAGGACAGGGAGGAGGAGCAGCTGCTGCTGAAGAGGTGCCTGCGGTCCACCGGGGGCGAGATCCAGGGGGCGGGAGGGGGCAGCCGCCTCAGCCCAGCCCGGCGAGCGGCAGCAGCGGAGGCCGCGCCCGGCCCGCCTCGGCCTAGTCCCCCCCGCAGCCCCGAGTACGTCCTCAGCAGCCGGGCCCGAGGCTGCTCCATGCGAGCGGAACCAGGAGGCCCAGCCCGAGCGCCCCACACGGGAAGTGGTCGGCCGGAAGCGGGCGAGGGGGCGGGACCCTCGAGGGGCGGGTTCCTTCTCCTTCGCTAGGCTACGGAGCGGAGTTCGGCGCGCCCGCCACCATTTCAAAGCCAGCTCTCGCGAGAACTCCGGCGGAACTTCCCTTCAAGCTGCCTTCGCGAGAGGCTTCCGCGGCCACCGTAGCCAATCAGGAGCGGCGGCGCGCGGCCCAAGCTCTCGCGAGATTTTTTGAAGAGCGGTGGGGTTCGGGAGCGGTTTGCTCCTTTCCGCTACTGTCTTGCCTTTCCCGTCTCTATGATATGGAGCGCCGCCCCGCGCTTCTTTCCTCTTTGACGGTCCCTAGAGGAAAGGGGAATAGGGGCGACGCTCTACACCTTAGCGTCCTGTTTGGGTTCTTGCTCGCCATTTGAGGGGTCAGGCTGCGGAAAGCTGCGTTCAGTTGAGGGTGTGTGGCGGGATTATTCTTTCTGCTCCAGATAAATATAAATATAAAATATAAATGTATTATAAATATATAATGGGTGGTATGTACTTTTATGTACAGAACCATTGAAATTAATAGACGTTAAGCCCATTCATTTTTATGGGTCAACTCCTGAGTATAACTAACGCTGAAAAAATAAAATATTTCTTTTCCGTTTATTGCTTTTATATTCTTAATATTCAGGATTTCAAAGCAGTGCGCATAAACTTCAAAGAAAAACCGTACGCAACAAAAAATACGAATCCATCGTGAGAACAGAAAACCACCTTAGAATGCCTGTTGAAACGTTTATATCCAGCTGCCTTTGCATCCTGACTAATGTTTCCCCCATGAATTCCGCCCCCCTCAGGATTGCTTTGTACAGTGTAATTTTTAAATTGCTGCTACTAAAATGAATTCCAAACACAGCAATCTGCAATAGGTGGCGCATTAAGCACATTGTATTTTAATATTTTGTTGGAAGCCGCCTAGAGTGGCTGGGGTATAAATTATTATTATTATTATTATTATTATTATTATTATTATTATTATTATTATTATTTAAATAGTTAATGCCCTTTGAAATGATACATTTGAAAATTGCTAATAATTAGAAATAAAGTTTCTCATTACCTGCCTCCCCAGAGCTCACCATAAACTATATGGTTGAGCATTGTATCAGCTGTTTATCACTGTACTGTTCAAATAAACATGTAATTAACCAAGTAATTAAAGCCATGCTGCCGAGGTCCCTGGTGTACAGTAAGACGAGCACCAGCAGCTGGAACTTTCACCATCTGCTAACTTTCTTTCTCCTCTGTACAAACGTATTTAAGTCAATATGTGTTGTTGGGGTTTTTTGGTGTGTGTTTTTTTTGTAATGCCAAATTCATTCTGTGTTTGCCAAATTGTTGGTTTTTGTTCTATTTGACCTCCTTGGCCTGTTTTGTAAACTGCCTTCTTCCCCGCCCCCAATTTTTTGATTGTATTTTTATAAGAGGTGGATGTTTGTTGTCCCCAAAGCCGAAAGGAAGCATCAAAATAAACTCAATCTATTTATTATTATTTATCAATTTATTAAAGGTCCTTCTAGAATCAGCCCTACATTTGTAGCAGGGGCATAAGAATTCTAGACTACAGGGTAGCAATAAAACACTTTTCTTTTCTTTTTCTTTTCTTGGCTTTTTGGTGGAGAGGGCTTGTGTTCCTATCTATGGCCCTTTGAGGATTAAGACAAATTCATGGCGGATCAGGCTTTCAATTGGCCACAGGCTATGAAGCCTACCTCCACTGCAGATTCAGACCAACTATCCCTATGTTCCAAGGGCATCCCTGATTTAGAGAAGTTTTTTCTGATTGGAACCCGGAATGTCCCACTTTTCCTTAGGATGTTTTCATAGGAGGGTATGGAGTTATCCGATCCCCAAGCTGTCTGAAGACAATCCTGTATAGGGAAGTTTTTTTAATGTTAAATGTTTTTATTATGTTTTTATATATGTTGGAAGCTGCCCAGAGTGGCTGGGGCAACCCAGTCAGATGTGTGGGGTATAAATAGTAAAATTATCATTATGGAATGGGGCGTCCCTATTTTCATCAGAGAAATGTTGGAGGGTTTGCAGATTCATTATGCCTTTCAATACCAGTGTGAAAATAGGATGTTGTCATCAGGCTCTCACTGATGCAGCAACAGCTTCTACCTTAAGTCCTTTAATTTCAGTGGGTCTTCTCTGAGTAGGAGTAACATTGGGTACAAGCCAATGTTATTATTTTAAGAGAGGCAACAGTATATGATCAGAAATCTGTACGACTTTAATACTGCACAAGCTCTGTACATATAAAGCACACTCAAACATTGTTTCCCTCAAAGGATTACCCTTCACAGAGTTGCAATTCACAGCAGCTCTTAACAAACTCCAGTTCCCAGAATTATTTTAGATAAGGAATGTGTTTAAAGGTATATTGTGTACATGGCCTAAGGGCTATGAGTTGTATCAAATTAAGTGTTCTGAAATTAGTGCTGAAATTAGACCATGCCCATTCATTCCCGAGTTGCTTACTCTGAGTATGACCAGCATTGGACACAACCCTGTTTCATTCGTTTTTTCTCCTCTTTCATCAGAATACCACTGTGTGCAAAACAGACCTTGGACGCACAGACTCGAAGGTAAAAATAGGGCTGTGGAGGGAGGAAGCATGTTTGCTGATCATACTCCTGCCCTTTTGCCTCTCAAGAAGGCAGTTTACAAGAAATCCATACATACAAAAATTGGTGGGGTGGGGGGAGACAGAGAAATTAAACAGGAGTGAAAAAACCAAATAACCAGGAGTTTTAGTTTTTTTCAAAGCAAACAAAACCCAAACGTAACTGATAGGTGACTTTTTTTTAACCAACCAAAATCTGTGGGTTACAATCAGAGGCTGCTTCTGTTACCAGGAAAAAGCCTATTGCAAATTGTTACCAGAGAAATGGTGCCTTTTGCTGGCCCAACTCCCCAAGTTCATTACCGGTCAGAGATTAATGAGCTGCGGCAGAAATCCAGTGAAAGCAAAGCTGATTTTTAAATTATCTGTTGCAACAAAGTCTTAAAAGTTTGCATTTTGGCATGGAGGAGGACCTTCCCTTCTGCAGGGTCATCGGGGATAAGTGTCAGGGTTACATCACATACTAGGCAAACCAGAGTGTCATATTCCTGAGTAATAGCTTGTTTTCACACAGTTCCAGACAGAGTTTACCCAAAGTATTGGCACTGGAAATAGAGTTTGTGAATCCAGGATTCTCTAAAACAGATCCTTCAGTGAAGGTGGAGTTGCATTGTGCACAATTACTGTCTCTCTTCCGCTCTGTTTTGAAATACAACTGTGCCTCTTTCTCTGTCAGGACAGCGAGGGAGTTGGATACCAGCTCGTGAGTTGTACCATCACATCGGAGAAGGAGGACGTGGTTGTGACGGCAGAGCTACCTTTAGCCAATTCCTTACAGGTATATTTTGCGGGGAGAGATTCTTTTCCAGAGGCAAAGTTCCACCACTGAGTAGTAGATCAGGGGTGAGGAATGTCTGGCCATCGGGCCAAACTTGGCCTGACAGAGGTTCATATGTGATGTCAGGCATGACTGGGAGCCTCGAAGTGCACTCCTGGTTGAGCTTTGGGAAGAGAAAACAGGCTTTGGCTGTTCAGCCCAAAGCCTGCTAGATCGACTGCATGAGTTCTCTGCAGGGAGCGCAATTGTGAAGCCTGGGAAAAAACTGGTGAGTGCTTTGACATCCTCAGGTGCTTTGACATCCCGACTTTGGGATTTCAAAGTGCCCAGTCCCTTGATGTAATTGTGGCATCAGGTGATCAACAGGTAGGTGGCCCTGTCCTCCTTACAAATTTGACCCAAGAGGCTAGAATCTGGTCCGCGTAGCCTTAATAGTCCCCTCTCTGCACCATGGAGAAACTTTGAAATTTAGAAAGCTGCTTTGTGTTGAATCAGATCTTTGATCTACCTTTGTCTTCACCAGGTGCGGGAACTTCTGACCCCTGAACTGCTGCAGCTCCCTTCATCTCAGGCCATTGGCATGCTTGCTGGTGCTTGAATCCCAGCTTGGGAGAAAGTCAGGATATAAATGCAGTAAATAAGTAAAGAAACAGCAGGAGGGCTAAAGGTTCCCCACGCCTGGCCAATACTGACTTTCCTCATTTAACTATTGGAATATTATTATTATTAATTTATTAGTTGTACCCCGCCCATCTGGCTGGGCTTCCCCAGCCACTCTGGGTGGCTTCCAACAAAGATTAAAAATACATTAAAATGCCACACATTAAAAAATTCCCTGAACAGGGCTGCCTTCAGATGTCTTCTAAATGTCAGGTAGTTGTTTATCTCTTTGACATCTGGTGGGAGGGCGTTCCACAGGGCGGGTGCCACCACTGAGAAGGCCCTCTGCCTGGTTCCCTGTAGCTTTGCTTCTTACAGTGAGGGAACTGCCAGAAGACCCTCAGCGCTGGACCTCAGTGTCCGGGCAGAACGATGGGGGGAATTCCAGCTGGGCGTCATAAACATTGTTGTCGCTTCTTCCGCTCCTTCCTTTTAGGTCTTAGAAAACAGGACTGACTTGCTGGTTCGAGGGGAAATCGTTTTCGACAGGAACCTTTACGTGGGCCTGAATGCAGAAAATTACAAAACAGAGGTAACTAGCGGGAGGCAAGGCACTTCAGGCCCTTTTCCACAGGGAAGAGTGAACCGAAAGTGAGAAATGGGGCTCTTCTCAGTCCTTAGCACAGCAGGGCCAGCCCTATCATTGGGCACTGGGGAGCAGCGTCCCTCTGCAACTGGTTGTGGGGGGTCACAAAAGGGCAGCAAATGTTTAATAGCATGATTTATTATCTTATGGTTGGATTTTCACTGTGTTTTTCTACACCTACATACACGCCCAGGCAGCTGTGAATGTGCAGTCCACTCACGTTTATGAGGGAGCGGAAACATTTAAACATTTAATACTTAATACTTAGAATTAGCCAAATTGACAGATATAATAAGACAAAAACCAAAAAGTGAAGTTAAAAAAGAATGGGAGTGCCTAAATGAATACCTCAAAAGTCAAGGTTCGAGGGCAGAAATCTGGCTGAGTCTGGAATAACCTTGTGAATTGAAAGGATATGAAAGAAGGATTTTTATCTAGATGTTAGGATAGAGAGGATAAAGAAAACAGGAAGACAGGAATGAGAGATAAAGGAGGTGCTGTGGGAATGGTGGAAGTCAATGTTTTGTTGTTGTTTTAGTGTTTATAATATTAACTTGTAAGATGGATTTGTTTTTTGTTTTGTTGTTGTCTTTTTTAGTTTTCGAATGTTGATTTTTGTGTGTTGTGTATTGTTATCTTTTGATATCTTTCGTGTTGTTGTTGTGTGGAAAATACTAATAAAATTCATTTTTTTAAAAAAACCATTTAAGGTTGTAGCAGAGCGCTGAATGCCTCAAGGTCTTAGGATCGCTTCCCCTGCAAAATGCATCCGCTTCCCTTGTTTCTGTTTTGCCCCTTGTCCGTAGATCAAGGTGATTTTGCTGAAGGAGAAAGTGTTTGATTTCCTTCCCTTCCTCATCGGCAGCTCTGTGGGCGGCTTGGCGCTGCTGCTGCTAATTACCACCGTTCTTTATAAGGTTAGTATTCCTTCCACGGAGCCGTGTTTCAAAAATAGGCTAGATCAAGTCAAATCCGATATTTACTGTCACGGTCGATGAGCAGCGTGGAAGAAGCAAAGTAACAAGCGCGTCGGATGCATTATCCAAATGACTACAGCAGGATAAAATAATAAGAGCAGCACAGAGTGAAATAAAACGGGCACCGACGTTTCAAACTCTTGTAGTCATGTCACAAGCTCCAAAGACGAAAAAGGTACATCATGTCTGGGGTCAGTTCCTGGCGGGTTTTGCTTGCTGCAGCACAGTGTTTGGCCACACCGAGAGCAATAGATGCATTTTAATCGCAGGGGACTAAAAGGACGTAAAATGCATTGGTTGCCCTGGCAGATTTAATTAAAGGGGTTCAGTAAAGATTTTGCACAGAGCTCAGTCAAGGAGCAATATAGAAGGACTTGGGCCACTGAATTGACCTGTCCCAGAGGTGCTGGGGCGCTTGGGCTCGTGGTAGGGGGTGGTCCAGATTGTTTTAGGATGTTGTCAGTGGGAAGATGCTGATATCTGAGTTGCTGCTACCAGGGGTGACTTTAATGATGATGATGATGATGATGATGATAATTTATTTATACCCCGTCCATCTGGCTGAGTTTCCCCAGCCACTCCAGGCGGCTTCCAATCAAGTATTAAAACCTTCCCTAAACAGGGCTGCCTTCAGATGTCTTTTGAAGAGAAGATAGCTGCTTATTTCCTCTGAAGGGAGGGCATTCCACAGGGCGGGCGCCACCACCGAGAAGGCCCTCTGCCTGGTTCCCTGTAACCTCACTTCTTGCAATGAGGGAACCGCCAGAAGGCCCTCGGCGCTGGATCTCAGTGTCCGGGCTGAACGATGGGGGTGGAGACGCTCCTTCAGGTATACAGGAGCAAGCATCACGGGGGTTTAGTACAGACCACCGCGGAAGGGTTTTATACCTGGGAAGGGCTGTAGGCCAGTGTTAGAGCACCTGCTTGGCATGCAGAAGGTCTCTGGTTCAACCCCCAGCATCTCCAGGCAGGACTGGGCAAGACACTGGCCTAAAACATTGGAGGGTCACTGCCCATCAGCAGGGAGACGACATGGTACCCTCCAGATGTTGTGGGATTCTAACTCCCAACAGCGCCAGCTGCCAACAGGGTCAGGGGTGCTGGGAGTTGTAGTTCAGCAGCATCTGTAGAGCATCATGTTGGCTATCGCTGGCCTAGAGAACTTTGAGCTGGGTGGGTCAGTGCCCTGACTCTGTATAAAGCGCCTCCCCATGTACGTATATAAAGGGGTGAGGAGCCTGTGGCTCTGGACTCCGGCTCCCATCATGCCATGGCCATCAGCCCTGCTACCTGGTGCTGATGGGAGTTGGAGTCTAACAACCTCCTGAGAGCCACAGCCTCCCCTTCCCCCATCCGTGGGATTAGAGTGAACTTCTATTGGCACAGGAGCAAGCAAGGGAGTTTGTATTAGAAACTTGCATTCTTTTACAAACATGAAAGGCATCTATTACTATGCTCTGCCTTTAAAATTGAAACTACTGCTGTTGTTGTTGTTGTTGTTGCTTTAAAAAAAAAGTGAACACATTAGCCGGATTCCCCGTGGCTTATTTCTGCTCTCTTTTCACCCCCTTCTAGTGTGGTTTTTTCAAAAGAAAGTACAAAAATAGGATTGCAGAGCAGTGCGATTCCTGAGAACGAAGTGGAGAGAGATTCTGGAATGGGACGATGGGTAACCTTCCTCAGATGCGCGAGGCACAGTCAGATTGGACCTCAGCTCCTTTTTATTCATGTATTCCTTGCTGTAGGCTGAAAATAAACCTTTTGCCCTAGTCTTGTGTTCCTGAAAACCACTATTATGGATTCCTGTGCACTCCCCCCACAGGGTACTCAAGGGCACACAGTACCGGCACCTCTCTTTTTGTTGTTAAAAAGTGTGGCACTCACTGTAACAACTTCATGGTGAGTACCGGCACCTATTTTTCTAGAAAAAAAAGCACTGACAGATTTTATTTGGGAGCCTCTTGGGCCTTTGTGTGAATTTTTTGAGGCAACCTCGTACTCCACATGGCTTAGAATCATAGAATCATAGAGTTGGAAGAGACCACAAGGGCCATCGAGTCCAACCCCCTGCCAAGCAGGAAACACCATCAGAGCACTCCTGACATATGGTTGTCAAGCCTCTGCTTAAAGACCTCCAAAGGAGGAGACTCCACCACACTCCTTGGCAGCAAATTCCACTGTCGAACAGCTCTTACTGTCAGGAAGTTCTTCCTAATGTTTAGGTGGAATCTTCTTTCTTGTAGTTTGGATCCATTGCTCCGTGTCCGCTTCTCTGGAGCAGCAGAAAACAACCTTTCTCCCTCCTCCATATGACATCCTTTTATATATTTGAACATGGCTATCATATCACCCCTTAACCTCCTCTTCTCCAGGCTAAACATGCCCAGCTCCCTTAGCCGTTCCTCATAAGGCATCGTTTCCAGGCCTTTGACCATTTTGGTTGTCCTCCTCTGGACACGTTCCAGTTTGTCAGTGTCCTTCAAACTGGCAGTTCACAGGCAGCTTGAGATTGTGAACGTGTTTTTTTCCACCTATTCTCTCACTCCTGCCATCATCCATCATCTCCCATTTTCCATCTTAAGACTGTGACCCAGGGCCCGGGGTTTCCCCATCAGCCGATGGCCAAACCTCCTCAAACCTCCCTCTCCCCACCTGCCAAAGACTCCTGGGGAACACGAGAGCTTTCACACTATTTTTGTGGCATTTCTCGTCAGCCTAATAAAAGTATTACCCTAATATTGTTTTGTTTTTGGATTTTCCCAGCCTTTGATTCCATATAAAAGCTAAAGGTAAAGGACCCCTGACAGTTAAGTCCAGTTGCAAACGACTCTGGGGTTGCGGCACTCACCTTGCTTTACTGGCTGAGGGAGCCGACGTTTGTCCGCAGACAGTTTTTCCGGGTCATGTGGCCAGCATGACTGAGCCGCTTCTGGCGAAACCAGAGCAGCGCACGGAAATGCCATTTACCTTCCCGCCGGAGCGGTACCTATTTATCTACTTGCACTTTGATGTGCTTTCGAACTGCTAGGTTGGCAGGAGCAGGGACTGAGCAACGGGAGCTCACCCCGTTGTGGGGATTCAAACCTCCGACCTTCTGATCGGCAAGTCCTAGGCTCAGTGGTTTAACCCACAGCGCCACTCGCATCCCATTGATTCCATATAAAGAAGATCAATTGTTCATTTAAAAGACTGGAGCGAATTTAACTTTGCAGTGCCTCAGGACTCTTCATAGTGGTTGCGGGACAGCTGCCTACAATCGGCTTTCTCCCCAGCAGCTGCTAATTCAGTGGTAGACTGCTCCTGAACCTGGAGGGTCCTTGTAGTCACCAGGACTAGTAGCCATTTGTGGAGCTTCCACCCTCCGCAAAGCATCTGAGCCCATTTTAAAACTTTCCAAGCTGGTGCAGACATCACCAGTTCTTCAGGGTAGAAAATTATCTATGCTTATTAGAAGTGGCTTGAAAAAATATTTCTTTTCCTGGACTTTTCTCTGCCTTCTGCCAATCTGTTTCATTAGCTAACCCTGAATATGAAACTTGAGTATTGTGAGAGGTAGAAAAAATGTCTATCTTCTTTCTTTGTGACATACAGTGGTACCTCGGGTTAAGTACTTAATTCGTTCCGGAGGTCCGTTCTTAACCTGAAACTGTTCTTAACCTGAAGCACCACTTTAGCTAATGGGGCCTCCTGCTGCTGCCGTGCCGCCAGAGCCCGATTTCTGTTCTTATCCTGAAGCAAAGTTCTTAACCTGAAGCACTATTTCTGGGTTAGCAGAGTGTGTAACCTGAAGCGTATGTAACCCGAGGTACCACTGTATTTAATATTATGAATGTCATTACTCCCACCACATCCCATCCCAACACAGTCATTTAAGCTTCAATGCAACACTTATCAGGGAGTAATTTCTATTGAATTCAACGGGGCTTGCTTTTGAGTAGAAAAGTATAGAATTTCATTGTTTTGTGTGGGGGGTTTTCTCTCCAACCCCTCCAAACTTTCTCCTTTCTTCATAAGGATGGTGTTCCACCTCTCTGATAATTTTGGTCATATTTTTCTGAGCATTGTGTTTCTTCAGATGAAGAAGGACTAGGTGGACCTGGCAAGATTGACGGTCCTAAGTTTCTGTCTCTTTCATCTGCACAAGGCTTTTTTCTTTCTTTTTCTTTTAAAATCAAATCTCCTTCATTGTATTCCCCATGTCTATTTGACCCATCTGGCAGTGTCTCCAGTTTGTTATGGCTTGCTGGCATTCATCTATTTGGCACCGAGAGCCTGACTGCAGGAACCATCCAACTTTAGAGAGAAACCCTCCATAAATTTTAAATGATACTATTATCCTTTTGCACAGTAGGTCTAGCAGATGTGGCCTTGTCTCGTGCGCAAGACATAACCTGACATTTTTTCAGCAATTGCTCTTTCTCTCACCAGACCTCCTTGTCATTTAGCCACAGCCTGGGGAATCCTTCACATGACTCTCTGGGGGGTTTATGTAGGCAAAACAATCCTGTAATTCAAAGACACTTTGGGGATATTTAAACAGATGGCTCTTTCTTCGGGGGATGGTTTGATGCAGAAATTCAGAATGTCTGCTTAACAAAAGGTTTGCCGTACTGACAACCCCTAAACTTGCACCTGACACCTTCATTGTATAGCTTTTGCCTTATGCAGAAGACATACCTCTTTACCCTGGCCTTTTGACACTAGATATAGATAGATAGAAGGGACGCTGGTGGTGCTGTGGGCCTAGGACTTGCTGATCAGAAGGTTGGCGGTTCGAATCCCTGCGAGGGGGTGAGCTCCCATTGCTCGGTCCCTGCTCCTGCCAACCTAGCAGTTCGAAAGCACGTCAAGTGCAAGTAGATAAATAGGTACCGCTCCGGCGGGAAGATAAATGGCATTTCCGTGTGCTGCTCTGGTTCGCCAGAAGCGGCTTAGTCATACTGGCCACATGACCCGGAAGCTGTACGCCGGCTCCCTCGGCCAATAAAGTGAGATGAGCGCTGCAACCCCAGAGTCGGTCATGACTGGACCTAATGGTCAGGGGTCCCTTTACCTAGATAGATAGATAGATAGATAGATAGGGTAGATAGGTAGGCAGATAACAGTCTAATGTAAGAAATCTAAATCTCCATTATCCTTCACTTTTTGCTCTGTTGGCTGGAGCTGATAGAAATGAATCCAACATCATTTATTTGGCCCGGATGGCCACAGGTTCTCCATCCTTGAACTAGATTAATAAAATAATCTCTTATGCTTATAAGAGGTTGAAACAGGTGTGGGGGAACCTTTGGGCCTCCCGCTGTTGCTGAACTACAACTCCCATAGTCCCAGGCCATTGGCTATGCATGCTGCATGCTGGGGAAGATGGGAGTTGTAGTTCCGCAACGTCTGGAGGGCCAAAGTTCCCCCACTTCCGATGCAGTTGGCAGGCATCGATGCAGTTCTCTCTTCCAGCCAAGCCCCTTCGCTACTGTGGGTCTGTCCTATTTCAGGCAGGAGACCCTGTCAAAACAAAGCAGATGAACATAAGGAATGCATATATATTTGAGCCAGAGATACGTGCTGCGTACATATATATATATATATTTGCAGTCTGATCATCCCTGGCAAGTCGGGGCGGCATAAAACTGACCGTCCTTTGGCAGCTGGCCCAGCAAAAGAAGGAGATTTGTAGGAGCACATTTGAGAAATGGGAGTCGGGCTAGACTGCTGGTCCAGCATATTCCCTCCTGGATCATTAATCCAGAGTGTCCCGTTCTGCTCCATTAAATCCCTAAGTGGCAACCGTGAGCCACTCGCAAGGAAGATCTATGCATCACCGAGGGAGCCTCTGCACTAAATGTCTTGGAAGTCCTGTGGGATGGGCGCATGTCAGTGTGTTGCTCATCTGCGGAGGGCAAAGCCTTTAGAAATTCCAAAAAGTCTCCTGTGAACTCCCGACACAAGCTGCCTGCCTGTGCCAGCCAATTTCCATTCCCTGCCTTTTCTCAATAGGCAAAACTGCAGCTGGACCTCTGAAGATGGGGACATAACTCAGTGGGCGAAGCCTCTGCTTTAAGGTCCCAGGTTCAAATCTCCAGTAAGATAGATAATTTATTACGGTCAAAGACCAGCTTGCATAACATAACACAATAAAAACAGCGTTCATAAAGATAAAATATACAATCGGAGCAGATTGCAGCAATAGCTCATGAGTTAAAATTGAGATATATACATATATCCGTACAGCTGAGATTTGGGTACCTTCAGCAATTCCCTAGTAAGCTAGAGGATGATCTGTGCCTGCAAATCTCGGCACATTATTATTATTATTATTATTATTATTATTATTATTATTATTATTATTTTATTTATATCCTGCCCTCCCCAGCCGAAGCAAGGCTCAGAGTGGCTAACAACAGTAAAATAATACAGCACTCCAAAATCAATTAATTATAAAATCAGTTCAAATCAGGTCGTCTTGTGATCTTTGCCTAAGAGGAGAGAATTAAGTTTAGACTTGTCTGAAAGATCGGCAAGCAAAGGATCAATGGTGTCTCTACGAATCTCCAATAAAAAGAAGACGGAGGAACCTCAGAGCTGGGGGCCAGATATGGTCCTCTGGATCTCTTGATATGGCCCTCTAAACTTTCTCCAAGCCATGCCTCCTCTTTCCTGATTAACTCCGCCGCCGGTGATGCTTGAGAAAAGAGATGGCAGGCCAACCGCGGCCTCTCCACGGGCAGCAGACACACAAATCAAGGTGAAAAATGACCTTCTCAAAAAGGCGC